TTCTTTCAATCCTTCTAAATACAAGCTTCAGTTTTTACCATACTCTCCAATCTTTCATGCAGCTAGATGATGACTTACCTGCATGGCAAGGGAGGCCATGATTTATACAAGTTTAATCACCCCCTACACGCACAAATGTGTGGCCCAATTTTGTCCATAAGGTACTGTATAAGGGAAAGCTACGGAGGAAGCATCTGAGAAAAACATTGTTTGCTCCTAAGAGAAAGCTACAAAAAATAAAATTAAAATAAAATAAAATAAAATAAAATACTAATACAAACCATCTTTCTCCTCTACCTATAGTGTCCAATATGGTACTCACTAAACATGTGCATATATTATAAGCACTAAAAATGTGATTCCATTTTGGATGTGCTACAGAATATAAAATATACATTAGATCACAAAGATAAAAATTTTTAAATAGTTGATTAATAACTTTTATATTAACTACATGTTAAAATAAAATTTTGGATGTGTTAAGTTTCTTACAGGACATTTGGTCCTGCCAAACATCCATTAGTCACTTAGTCCACACCAAATGTCCTTGAAATTTGGCCTGTCAAAAATACACTTAGAAAATGTCCCTCAGTTTAAACAGCCCATAACATTTATTTATACTCTTGGTTTAGAGAGTTAATATGTGAAAAGTAATATTATGTTTTTCTGGTCCAACAATTATGTTGTAGCTTTATTGAAAATAATAACCCTCTGCCTTGGTAGCCTAGCTGGCAACATCATATGGAGTTAAGTAGATGAGTTTGGGTTCAAATCTTGAGGAAGAGCAGACCAGATGATTTTATGGTCATTTTGGGTAAAACAAAATTTCAAGAATCTTCTTGGTGTAGACCAAATGTCTCTAGGAATATTTTAGACAGGACCAAAATATCTGCTAATCTACCAAGTTAAATAATATATGTTACTATGTTAATTCCACCTGTCACATTTTACTTTTTGTGTGATTATTTAACAGCTAAAATTATATAACATGTCCCTTGCATTTGGGAGTTATATTGTATTTCTTTTGGCAGTGCTGCTCTAGATAGTACTATTTTTGGACATGGAACCTAAGACAGCTGCAACCATTTTTATAGGATCCTAAAGATAGAAACTTGAAGATGGAATGGATATGGGTCCATGATATTTAAAGTCATAGGATTATCCATCTCTAGTTCTTAGGCTCCTTATATGAGATAATTGTTTGAGCCAGTGTTTTGGTCAAGTGTTTTGTTCTGTGGAGCTGAAAGCATTCTCTTTCAAAGAAAAAATACTGGGGGACATTGGTTAATAAGATTATGTAGGTTTCAACAATATATTTCTATGATATTCGATCTGTATGTTGCATTGTCCATAATGCAAAGTCATATCATCTCCTTTACCCTTTACTATCCCAGTAACCATCACCAGTAACCACCACCAGTAACCACCATGCTGTTGTCTATGCCTGAGATTTTGTTTGTTTTTCTTGTTTGTTCATTTGTTTGCATTCAGTTTTAAAAGATTTTTATTTATTTATTTTTAGAAAGGGAAGAGAGGGAGATGAGAGAGAGAGAGAGTAAGAGAGAGAGACAGAGAGAAACATCAATGTGTGGTTGCTGGGGGTCATGGCCTGCAACTCAGGCATGTACCCTGACTGGTGCATTCAGTTTTATACCCCAAAAATGATGCTAGGAGAATTGGAAATCCACATGCAAATAAATGAAACTAGACAGCTGTTTGTTCCCATATACAAAAATTAACTCAAAATGGATCAAAGACCCAAATATAAGACATGAAGTAATAAATTACATGGAAGAAAAACAGGTGCTAAACTTATGGACCTTGGTCTTAGAGAATATTTTATGAATTAGACCCCAAAGGCAAGGGAAGTAAAGGCAAAAATAAATGAATGAGACTAAAAAAGTTTTGTTTTTGCTTGTACACAGCAAAAACAAATGGCTAAAAATGCACTACACAAAAAGCAACTGATCAACCAAGAAGAGATATTTGAAAACAATAGTTCTGACATGGTGTTAGTATTCAAAATATATATATATAAAAACTCATACAACTCAATATCAAAAATATCACACAATCTAATTAAAAAATATGCAGAGGACCTCAACAGATATTTCTCCTAAGAAGGCATACAAATGGCTAACAAAGATATCAAAAGATGCTCAGTTTCACTAGCTATTAGGGAAATGCAAATCAAAAGCACAATGAGATATCTCTTCATATCAGTTGGAGTGGCTATTATCAAAAAGTCAAGTAATAACAAGGGGTGGAGAGGTTGTGGAGAGAAAGGGAACCCTCATTCACTACTGGTGGGAATGTAAACTGTTACAGATACATGGAAAACAGTTTTGAGGTTCCTCAAAAAATTAAGTGTTGGGAACCACCCTGCCTGGTTTCAGAAGCTGTAACCTTCCCATGGCTAAGGCTGAGGGGGCGACCTTTGGACCAGAAGCCATTAAAGAGACAAAGCTTACCTCCCTGGCAGGAGCACCACTTCTGCTCCTTTTACTTCATAACTGGCCCCCCAATGCTTGATTGGTTAGCCAATGACAGGTAAGATTCTCCAAGGGGGAAACAACCTAAGACATGCACAATTATGTAGGAGGCCCCCAAGGAAGGACTTGGGGGGGCTACAGCAAAAGGGGGTGATGGACCCTTGTCCCTGGACTTTGATAAAGCCTGAGTCCTCATTCTGTCTGTGAGAAGTCTCCTAATCTCTTGGCTACCTTACTTCCCTGCCTGGCTTAAGCCTGAAATAATGGCAGAGGGTGGTGCAGCCCTGTGCTAAAAAGGGCAGGTTCCCTAGGGCAATCAGGCCTAAGAAAGTACATATGTAAAATCCTGTGAAACCTGCTTTGTTTAGAATGTTCTCAATTAAATGATAAGGGCCCAAGCAAGAAGTGAGTTTGTTCCTCAAAGTTTTATAGCTCTTTAGCTATCTGACCCTGACTGAAAATAGGCCCTCAGAGTTCTTTTTTATCTATTGTTTGATCCTTACTGCCTGAAAATGATTAATGAGCTTTAACTGTATTTTTTTTGGAAACAAACCCAATAAAAGCCCATTGAGGAAATGGTTCTTGGCCCTTTTCCTTTGAGAGATTGGCCACTTTTCCTCCCCAAGGAGATCATGTCTTGGTAGATTTATTCTCATCTGTGGTGGCTGGGGGGAGCCCTGTGGGCGGAGCGCCCCCCACAATTAAGAATGCAGTTACCAAATGACCCAGCAGTGCCTCTTCTGGGTATCTACCCCCCAAATTTGAAAACATTTATTCACAAAGATATTTGCATCCCTTTGTTCGCTGCAGCATTATTCACAGTGGCCAAGACATGGAAAGGACTGATGTGTCCTTCCACAGAGTATTAGATAAAGAAGATGTGGTACGTATCCACAATGGAATATTCCCCCATAAGAAAGCCATAAGAAAGATGAAATACTGCCTTTTATGACAACATGTATGTACCTTGAGAATATTATGCTACACTAAGTAAGTCATATATTCTTAACAAAACAAAAAATAAGGAAGAGACCATACAAGTTATATAGGTGAAAATAGTTATTTTATTTCTTTTAATTGCAATGAATGGGCATGGTCCATTTTTTATGTGTGGGGAATAATATGACCTGATTTTTATTAAAGCAATAAAGTAGATATTAGTTTCTACTACTATGAGGATCAAACATTCCCTGATTCAATCTTTAGTTCATTACCAAGATAGTATTTTAAACCTGAGTCACCATTTCTTCCTCTGTAATATAATGTACTCTTTTTCCCCTCAGCCTTACAAATAGAGATGGCTGTATCGTATTTACAGTTTATACTTTTTTATAATTTTATTTGTGTAAGGCACATACTTTATTCATTCATGCTCTCTCTCTGTTTTATTCCCTATCTCTAGTGCCATTGTTTTCTGCAATTAGGAATCTACCCCCAGTGATCTAAATCCTTCCAATTCGGCTTCCTTATATTTTTATCTGTATGTGGTTCTGTGAAAAAAATATATTTTATATAAAATATATATATTTTATATAATATATATAAACATATATATTTTGTTTTTCATGAATTTGTTTTAACAATATTTACACAAAAGTTTTGAGCAGTACATATTCCGTTTCTTATTTTATTTTATTTAACATACTGATTGTAAGTTCCATCCATGTTGTGATATGTAGAATTTTATTTTTTTCTTTCTTTTTCAAATTTTTTTCCAAATATAGTAGACATTACACATAGATGTCCCAAATGGGAGTAAAAATCAGTATTACTTACAGCTGGCCTATCACCTACCCAAGATACAAGGCAGAGAAAAGTGGAGATACTAATACCAAAAGGAAGATTTTCTTCAAACATCAACTCAAATTTGGCACATGGATATTATAGGGTCTGTGACAGACACAATTTAAGCAACTCACATATTAAAAATAGACCAATGAATACAATTTCAGGACATAATTTAGAAACTTCTCCAATCTTAATGAATAAATGAGGATAGTTTACTCAACTAACTAAACAGAATAGATAATAATATTTTTCTCACATATAAAGAGCAAAGCTAGAAAAAACAAGATTTCTGCTACAAAGTGAATGTTTGTGCTCCTTCCAAAATCATATATTGAAATTGTAATCCCCAATGTGATAGTATTTGAGTAGGAAATGGCACTTTTGTGAGGTAATTAAGTCATGAGGGTGGAGCCCCCATGAATGAGATTAGTGTCTTATGAGAGACACCACAGAGTCTGTGTCCTTTCTGCCCTCTGCCACGTTAGCACACAGTGAGAAGATGGCTACCTGCAGCCCAGAAAGAGGGTCCTCACCAGACACTAAATGTGTCAGCACCTTAATCTTAAACTTTCCCTGCTTCCAGAACTGTGAGAAATAGATGTCTATTAGTTAAGTCACTTAGTGTATGGTAATTTGTTAAAGCAATCCAAAAATAAGACAAAGTCCTTTTAGGAAGCAAAGAGAAACTATATATTTTATATGCTTATATACATCCTAGGTTTTGTCTTACAATTGAGTGCACTTACTAAAAATAATTAAGTCTGATGACTACTATTGGTACATAACAAATGGACAAAATACTGAAGAAACTTTTATATACAATTATATAATAACTTCTCTAAATTTTTAAAAAATCATTTGTTTTAATTATGTCTTCATTATACAGGTATATTTAGTAACTGGTTTACAATTTTGTTTGATACTTAGCAAAGGTAATAGAGCTATTTATCCCACCAAATATGTTTAAAAATTATTCTAAGCCACATTAATATAATAAATTAGTATTCATGTAGTCATATGCTGTACAATAACTTTAGATTTTATTTATTTATTTATTTCCTTTATTTATTTATTTGTATTATTGTTCATTTACAGTTATCGTCCCCATTTTCTCCATTACTCTCCCCTGATTCACCCACCACCCACATCTCACATTCAGTCCTCCCCACCCCATTGTTTTTTTCCATGTGTCCTTTATTTTACACAACAAAAGAAACCAATGAAGAGCAAAGCTTATAAGTAGGATGAAATTTAAACCCAGATGTTAATGTCCCTTTGGCAACTGGAATCGATGATGATCTTCATGACCAGTTGATTTCTATTGGCTCATTTAGAGTAACATTATTTATTTTCATATCAATATTTAATATCTAAAAAGAAGTGAAATGACAATTAATTCTTTGATCAGAACCATGTTTTAACAAAGACAATATCTACAAAGAATGTGTTCTCTAAATAAACAAGGTATATTTTCTTTTTCATTTTGATAAATTTTTTATTCCAAAAATTTCACAGCCATTTCAGAAATAATCTCACCCAACTCACCCATTATTCAGATGATGAAAAAGAATCTTAGAGAGTTGGGATGGTCCTCAAGAGGCAGTGAATAATTAATACAATTACCAATTAAATATTGATTTCTATTACTTCTTTTTTTCTCCATAAGTCCTATATATTGAATTACTCATACTTGCTCTACATAAATCTCTATGCTTCCCATCCTCGTATACTGTATTGTTATTTGCACATAAAATTTAGGATAGAAATATGTTTCTTTTTGATCACACTCAAAGGGCTTTGGGATGCTGAATTCATTGACAATGATTTTAATTATGTGTGTGTTACTTTTCATGGGAGATAATCTAAAATAGACCAGACAGGGACTAAATTTGGAAGTGAACAATTAAACAGCAGAGGACAAACAATCCTCTGTTAACAGTTCTATATGATGATGTCAGTAGACCTTCTCATTGCTGCTTTTTCTCTAATAATCTCTGTGCCTTAGCTCAGTGAATTTGGATTCAATCATCAATTATGCAAGAGAAGGTGAAGAGAATCAGCATTACTTTAGTACTTACTGACTCTCCTGTACAAACACTCTCCTGAAGGTTTTATATATTTATTCTTCACTAAAGCACATCATCTTTAGGTTTATTTCTACTGTTTATAATACATGAGTTTAGAAAGGTATATATTAAATAATTTTTTCATATCCATTGCCTATGTTTGAAACTGACCCATTTTAAACCAAAACCTAACCTAGTTCTTTTAATATCAAACCAAAAAGCAATGTTTTTACAAAAGGCAACAAGGCACACCTGTTGCTTGGAAAATGTTTTAAAATTTGTATTGACACAGCAATTAAAACATCCTTTGCATACAATTCCCACACTCACGGAGAATGGGAACCAGGCTGAGAGAGAAATTGACCACTCTTTCCTTTTCCCATACATCTATAAATGGTTAGAATATAGTAGGTGTTCACAAAAATTTATTTTGTTTAAATATACTTGAAAGAAGCACTCCATTGTTAGTAAAATTAATATCTTCTTTTGGATCACTGAGGTAATAAAACATTGTTAAAAATTACCCCTTAATACTTAAAATTCTATGAATGTGCTTGAAAACTTTTCTTTATAATGATGTGTTTTTATGCCTAGCATTTGGTCAAAATGAACTTGAAATAATACTTGGTATGTTAAAATATTTAACCCTGTCTTGTTGATGGTATGTAGTTTATTTTTATTGTAAAAACTGTGAGCTCTTTTGTTCACTGTTGTAGTAGTAGATAAAGAGCGAGAATATACTGCTGATCTGTTTTGATCTGTTGAACATTAGGCAGTTTAACAAAACTGATTTATAACTACAATTGATAAGTATGCTATTTGCACCTAGGGGGATTAATTTTTCTTTTCAGGGACTATTTCTTGGTTTGCCCTAACAGGCCTCTGACTAAATCAGTGATTTCATTAAACTGGAATTTTAAAAACCAGGAAAATATTTAAAAGAGGACAAATGAGGATTAAGGTCTGGGTTATAAACTATTATTTTTACCAGGAAAAGACATTAAGTATGCAAAACTCTAATTTCCCAAACTTTATATAATTAAATGTAATAAAAGTATTTTAATACCTAAGTAATAATTAAGACAGTTCCATGATAAAGGTGAAATCTCAACAGACTACAAAACAGTAACAGGACTGTTTTAGGTGAATAGAATGGCCCCTTAGGTGATGTCCAGCTCTCACATCCTATGAAATCTATGACGACCTAAGACTGTGTCCAACACATAATTGTTTGTTTTTAAGTTGAAGTCCATCAAGTAACTGTGTAAGTTATATTCATGTGAAGTGATTGTTTGATTAACAGCTATTTCTTTTCATTCAACTTTAAGTGCAAACCAGTAAGTGTACAAGCACTCACACAGCTTTTGCAGTGCAGAGGCAGCCTTAAGCTTAGATCAAGCAAATTGTGATGGCTATGGTAGTTGGTTTCTAGAATATGTTTTTTGAAATCTACCTTTATAGGACATAGATTCACAGGATTTAGAATTGGAAGGAGCTTAAGGGATTGTTTACTTCTATATTCCTATTTAAACTCAAAAGAAAAAGGACCTAAAATTATTTGGTCAAGGTAAAAAGCTAATTACTGGAACTTTAACAAAAAATACTTGACTCCTTGTTCAATCCACAAGTTACAGCTTCATATACCTCTATGTCAAAATATTCATGAGTGCTAATAGACAATTAGTCTATTAGTTTTGCAAGAGTTTTCAAAGATACCTTATCTCAGGCATATGAAAAGTTGAAATACAGGTATTTTGTTTTTGAATAAAAAATTGTATGCCCTGGCTGGTGTAGCTCAGTGTATTGAGGGTGAGTTGCGAACCAAAGGGTCAAATCAACGGTTAGGTTCTCAGTCAAGGCACATGCCTGGGTTGCAGGCCAGGTCCACAGTGGAGGCCACGTGAGAGGCAACCACACAGTGATGTTTCTTTTCCTCTCTTTCTCCCACCCCTTCCTCCCTCTCTAAATATAAATAAATAAAAAATAGTTTTAAAAATGTTTTGAGGCAATTTACCATATATGAATGACAATAATTTACATGTTTAAGGTACATTTACTCTTGCTTTAATTACATTAAGACACTTTTTAAAATAAATGCCATTAAGTTGATTTGTATGACAGGTTACCAAGTAGGATAATATGGAAATAAATAGGGCAGTTCAATGAAAATAAATAAGAAAGTTTAGAGTTCACCCATAATAATGTTTCTTTAGGGCTGAGAAATAAAAATATCTATGTAGATATTTTGAATCACTCCATTTAAAAAATATTGTCTTATATCACTTACCTTTGTATTTGATTCATGAGCAAAGTTAAGTGACTCTTGGTTTCCATTGTATATGAGGTTAACTGCCTTAACAGAAGTCATTTCTAGCCCCCATATGCTGATGGATCCAAGCCTCATTTCCTCTGTGTTTATGTAGCCTTTTACCAATGGAGTGCTTGTCAAGGTGGTCTACAAAGAGAAAGACACAATTTAAATCCTTCTATTGAAAAAATAATCTTTAAAAAAATATATATTTTAATTAAAATATATCCCATAGTACAGCAAATTATTTATTCAACTATTTAAAATAAGGTATGTTAAGCACTACATATAAAATATATAAATACAAAATAAATATAAAATAGAGCATAAAACTTGATATATTATTTAACACAATTGCATATAAATGCTCTGAAATTAATACACACCTTCTTGAAGTTAAACTGTATCAAGGAATACAGGCCTCTTTCATAGGTGTCTGTAAGGAAATATAAAAGTGATATATTTATATTTCCAAAGAATAATAATATATACTAGCATAATTTGCCTCATTGTTGCAGTACAAAGCAAACAAAAACCATCATTGCATTTTAGTTAACTTGTTTAAACACAGTCCAAGGAACACTAAACTATAAAGAATGAATCACCAGAGAGGGTTCTAAAACATAAGGTTTATATCCACCTCTTTATATAAAATGTAATCTTGACATATTTAAAATTAATTTAACAATAATTTAAGGCTATGATGTATTAAATACTTACTATTCATCAACTTCTAAGTACTTTATCACACTACTCTAAAATACATATTATTATAACCCCATTGCATAGAAGATGAAAGCGAGTCCTAGAGAAATTAAATAAATGACCAAAAGTCAAACAACTAATTACAGATACTCCTTTATTTATGATGTGGTTACATCCTAACAAACCCCTCAGAAGCTGAAAATACAGTAAGTCAAAAATGCATTTAATACACCTAATCCATGAACATCTATGCTTAGCCTAGCCTACCTTAAACATGCTCAGAATACTTACATTATCTTACACTTGGGAAAAATCACCTAACACAGAACCTATTTTATAATAAAGTGTTGAGTACTAAAATTTACTGAATCCGTGAAACCTAAAACACACTATCAAAAACTGCTGGCAACCGTACACTGCACAGTAAAGCTGGTTTACCCTCACGATCCCCTGTGCTGCACTTCCTGCTGCTGCTCAGGACCACGAGAGAGCATCAGACAGCCTATCACCAGCCCAGGAGAAGATCAAAGTTAAAAATTCAAAGTGTGATTTCCACTAAAAGTGTATCACTTTCACACCATTATAAAGTTGAAATATATTAAGTTGACCCATCATTAATTTGGGGACCATCTTCATTATCAAGGCCTGGTTTTCCTGACTACTCAGATTGAGTTCTATAAAACCATACAAGCATAAGACACAAAACTTTAGCTTCTAGGAGAACAAAAATGATTGATATACAATCCCTACGCACACAAATCTCCTACTTATCCAGACATTTAGCATAGAGATTAACTATATTTAGGATAAGAAGAAATTCTTTAAATGATTACAACACTTCTAAAAATTGATTGCACTATTTATTAAACTATTTTTGTTTTAAATGATATTATTTTTTAACTTTCAAAGTATGATGATATTAATATAAAAGTAATATGATAATTTATGTACATCATCAATTACATTTATCTACTAAATGAAACACATACCTATGGTTTCTCCATCATCCCAAAACAGAGATCCTTGTGCTGTCTGATCATCATCTGCAGCAACAATGAGCTTCATGTAATTTTTTCGACTATGAGAAAGAAATATCATTTTACCAGTGTTTATAGAGGAGCATGTGCCTTGTTATGACATGACATCTATATAAGTAGCCAAATGAATACAACAAAGAACATCAATTAAGGAGAATGTAACTGTTTTAGACAAAGAAAGGAAGCACTTTAATATTTATTATGAATTCATGAGAATGAACCATAAAATTATTGATATTTAATAAATATATCATGCATGTCTTTTGATCTCAAAAGTTCACTTACTGTAATAAATCAGAGGTGGCCTCACTTATAATAATTATAACCATAAGTTTATTGACATGTTTATTCTTTTCAATGATAATCCTGTCATTGATCATTAAACATAAAACATTAAAATAATGGCACTTTATCTCATATGTCTTATGTCTTCCTTACATTTCCATATATAAATCACTGAATTATCATAGCAATTATTAATAAGAATGTAGAAAACAGCCAGCAAGTTTTAAGTCCCATTCTAGGAATGGACACTATCTCTTAAATTTTTGGCTTCACTGGCCTACTTGAGAACTAAATATTTGCCACCATCAACATTGGATAAGAGAGCTGGTTTGACAGCTTCATATTACTAAGGAAGGATTTCTCAGGCAAATCATGCTTAGCTATTGGTCAATCACGAATGTTTAAGATTGTATTGCCATGAAACTCTCCTAAAATACCAGAATATCTAAAATTTTAATCTTCATAGCAACTTGATATTTTCTGTGTAAAAATGTTAGTATGTCTTAGCATGCATACATGTATGCATTTCAGCTCAGTTCACTGGTTTAGAAGATAAGTACCTTATTGGCAACATTAAAACTCTGGTTTAACCCACAGATTTGCAACATATTTTAAAACAGATTTAAAATAATTTTACAACTTGCACTTTATCCTATATACAGGGCAAGACAAAAATAGGATTATAGTAGATTTATGGAAAATAATATAGTAGTTGATCCATAATACAAAAATAAAATGTTCTGTGTATTCACAACAATAAACCTATTTTTGCCCTACCCTACATATACCTAAGACTAATATCCTATTTACTTTATCTCTGACACACTCAAACAATTGCCTCTTTCCTCCTTTCTCATAACAAAATGATCCTTTATGGTTGAAGGTTTGAATGGTCCCCTCAATGAAGCACTCATTTTTTATATAGAATCATTTTCCTCATGTTCAATTGATATCAGGGAGAATATTGATAGAAATGGGTGTGTTTCCAGAAAATTGAAAGAAACTGTTCATGTTAACTGGGTCTGTGAGCATGTAGATGATGAACAGAGTGGAAAAGAGACAGAGGGACTAAGTCCTCTAAAATCTGCTTGTCTAAGCCAGGAATTTTAAGCAGTTGAAACAGAGACTCCATGGCCTGTATAAAAGAGTCACTCTTACATCAGTCACAAGAGATACAATGGACCCATGATCCCTGACTGATTGGACACATAATGCTGAATGAGAGAAAGAGAATACAAGTCAGAGGGTTCTGGAGCAAAGAAGAGAGGAGGGTCCTAACCAGATAATCAGTGTAAATGGTAATGGACAGCAAATCTGAGTTATCTTTTTTCTTTATACAAATGGGTCTACTAAGAAACTCATCTGGTTCTCCTGTGAGAACCAGATGGGTTTCAAAAAAAATTAGTCTTTTTCAAAAAAAATTAGTCTTTTAAAAAAAATTAGTCTTTTTCAAAGACTAAAGTGGGTCAAAGAACATTTACAGGACTGAAAGAGAGAGGCATAAAAAGGGAACAGAAAAGATGGAAAAAAGAGAAATCTTCTGAGCAATGTATGTTTAGAGTTCTAGAAAGGTTCATTTAAAAATTATGTTTTCAAGAAATAAACAATATTTATTTCCACATGTTAGAGGCAGAAAAAGATGAGGAGCTAGGAAAGGCAGCCATTCAAAAAGCAAGGCATTCATTTATCATTACCATTGCATATTTATACAGAAGACATTAAGTTTTAATTGGTTTATTTGTCTGAAAAACTTTCTTACTATATGAGGAAATGTATTTGGAGACAACACGTTTTTGTGTATCTTGAATACTGAAGCACTGACAGTTTTTCTTTTTCTGAACTATCCTTTTAAAGATGTTTTAAAGCAAACAGTATTGGAATACAGAGCAGTGTTTGTTTGTTTAATTATTTTTTAAAATTCCTGTCCAGTATAATAATTCAAAGTGAAGAGTGAGCAAGTTTGCTTATAGTCCATAAAGAAGGAAGAGGAGGAGGAGGAGAGTTCCCTTGAGCTTGGAATTATTAGCTGTTATTCAAAGTTCTGAAATGGGCAGCATCTAGTGGGCCACTCCATGTCACCCCCATGGGACTTGGAGGACAGGGAAAACTGAAGTAAATGTGAAGGTCACATTTCTAGGTATGCCAAGTATAAAAAAGGTCGTTGCTTCTGACCCAGCTCCATGACATTGGCAGGCTACCCTGTAAGCTTGGAAATAGGGTAGATTCTCAGACTCTTCCCGGTCCTTGACAGTTCTACATGATGTATCTTACAATTTAATCTGAGCTCCGTGAACACTTCATTTACCTGTGAAATGTATTTTGAGCAGGCTCTTGGCAAGGTAGAATGTAACCACCACGAACATGAAGGTTTATTTTATATAACGGAGCATCAAATTCTTTAACGACTCCTCTGACACCAATGTCTTGACCCTGGAAATGACAGGGTTGGAAGGAAGAACAAAAGCAGCAAGAAGTAGAATTACTAGCAATATTGTAACTTGAAGAGGCTCATTTATAAAGTCCAGTGATACACTTCCTATTTTAAACTCAAGACACAAACATTTAATCAGAAGATCATGTTGTTTAAAGCATATATTCAGCACTCGGTTTATTGATAGCCTTGACATGGATTTACCATTACTTGTTTTTGTGGTGCTCACATGCAGAAAATGGATAGGCTTTGAAAGCTCACAGAAGTTATTCCCAACATACATTATTTTGGGGAGGACTGTATTACCTTTAGTGATCATTTTGCATAGCCAATAAAGGACAATGACCTTTTGGTATACAATGTGTACTTCTCATGTTTACTGGGTAAAATAAATGGATGACTACATAAACAACTATAGCAGAATAAATTCTCTTTTACTGTGCATTAATCTGATTCAGATAATTAGCAAGAAATACCTTACTCATTTTAATTGGAAAGTAAACCAAATATGTCATTAATGAAATTGTTAGAATCAAATTTAAGTCCATTTACAGTTAGCCAGTTCCTCAGAAGTCTTTAATTACTTACCGTATGGTAGTCAAACCACCGAGCATTAGGGACGTAACCTTGTACAACAAAAGTGTCCTAGAATTTAAAAATAAAGTTATTTTTGTTCAATCCCTCTTCCACTCAACCTCCCCACACCCCGCAGCTCTCCATCTATGAGTCTGTCTCCATTTTCCTTGTTTGTTCAGTCTTTTTATTAGATTCCACATGTGGGTAAAATCATGTGGTATTTGTCTTTCTCTGACTGGCTTATTTCACTTAATGTGAAGTTCTCCAGGTAAGGACTGATGGACATGGACAACAGTGTGGTGACTGCAGGAGGTTGGGGGTCATAAGGAGACTGAGTGGTCATAGAAAATGTAATAAAGATGAAATAAAAAATAAATGTATAGTAATTAAAACATATGCATTAAATATTCTATGAACAAAAATATGTGGTGGGACTTACAGGTTTCAATACAGGGGTGACCATAAACGCCGGGCCCCACAAGAACTGCTCGAATACGTTCCAGGTTGGCTTCTCATTGAAGAACCTTGGCAAAGTATTTACAAATAGTTTAATGAAAGAACTTCATATCTAATGAATACCATGAAATAAGAATTAATTTTGCAGTGTGGACATTGTGGATTGCAATGAAAACTAAACTATAAATTTTTTTAAAAAATTCTATGACTTGGAATTCAATATGCAATACTATATATAAGGCTTTATGAGTAAATCTAGACCACTATTAAACTTCCTGACAACATGTTGAGAATTGTGATTGGTCATATGACACTGAATAAGAAATGTCCTTTGAAGAGAACTCACAGAGGTACAGATATCAACCAGAAATAGAATCTCAACAAACTAGAGTGTAAAAATTATAAATGCCCTGGAAAAGAAGTGTGAGGAAAGTGTGGTTTAATAAAGCAACTGGAGAGAATAATTTGAATCTAGAAAAGCTTTTTTTAAGAAAGCTGAATTTTTCATCTTATTACTAGAACTTAAGGCATATTGATTGACTTATTATTTTGGTAAAGTTACCTTGGTTATTACTGATCAATTTGAGCAAATATATGTTGTATGTTTTTATTGATTTACTATATTTTTTATTACTCTGATAATATAGGGTACACAGGAAGCTAAATATACTATGTGAGGAGAAACCCTCCAAAACAGAATTATCTTCTAGAGGGCAGGCTTCCCCTGTTCTGCAGGTGAGTGTTCCAGGAACCCATCTGTATCAGTGTACTAGCTGTTGTTTTTGTGAGAGGCTGCATTTGGCTTCAGTGAATTTTTTTGAACACTCTCTCAGTGCATTTGCTCATTTTATGAGGATGATTTATCAGCACACCTGCCCATACCTCGCTGAATTTTCAGATTTTTTTTCACCAAAAATAGCATGACCCCCATGCCCCACCTCCCTATTCAGCCATCTTCTCCCCAAACAACTTGTTTTTTCGTTTCCCTGCAGGAGAAATGTCCTCAAAGGAAAACATTTTGCCAACATGGAAGAGGTAAAACAACAACAAAAAAAACAGCAAAAGCACTAAAAGGCATCAAAATCAATGAGTTCAAACACTGTCTGCACAGTGGAAAAAACATCTCGATAGGTATATTGCATCAAATGGACAGCAATTTGAAGGTGACTGGTTTAAATATGTAAGAATAAGTATACAATTTTTTACAAATAAATTCCATTTTTATCCCCCTGTATGATTATTTCAAGGGTTTCTTTGTTGAATATGTGTTTGTTTGATTTTTGTAATATCTATGATACAAATCAGTTTGTATTTGTCTTAAGGATAGAACAAGATAACTTTTTTCTAACTGTGCTCCATGGAATCACATTTCAAGATTTGGCCATATATCAGTTTGTGCTTTAAAAAGTGAATCCAAAATTTTTTGAAGAAAAATGTTAAAAGTGTTCTAAGGTACCCCATTAGCATACCTATGGAAAGGAGTGAGATTTTCTTTAATTAGGGACTTATATGTGGTAGATTTCCTTAAATGCTATAAACTGTACCTAATTTAATCATAATGTAGGGACAATATTATTTATGTAGAAAACGTTTTGAATATATTCAATGTAATAAGTTATGGAAATTATCAAGAAGAGCACCCGGGATATTGTATCTGTTCCTAATAAGAATGATTACTTTTTAGTAACTAATTACTTTGTTTTATTTTTAATGGCATATATTAATCTATCAGAAGATTTATTTATGAACATGTGTGTTAAGCCAAAATGTACACTAAAATATCAATGCAAACTTTCCAAGTCAAAATATTTCTATATTGTACTGAGAGATACTATTAAGTAAAACAAATGAAAGCTATTTTTTTTTATGGTAGAAAAAAAATTTGCACTTACTCATTCAAAAGAGGTCGGATAACAGTGCCACCATGAGCATGAACTTCATGCATCTGTGTATAGAAGTAGGGCAATAAAGTATATCTTGTATTTAGGAGGTTCCTTGACATTTCAGAAAAAGTTTCATTCCAGGAAGGAGGATCTTGTCTCTGAAATAAACCAAATTGAAATAGTCACAAACTGTTGTCTTTGTTTAAATCATATTTTTCAAATGCATATTTGGAGAATAAAAAGTAAAGAATAGTATTAATTCATTATCCTGTGCTTTATACTATTGTCACAAAATGTTATGCAATAATGTTTCTATCCCATACTGAGAGCACAATATTGGCCTTTAATAAGAAAAATGCAGATTTAATTCTGGCTTGATTTAGTTTAAGTTATCATGTATGAAGAGCAGTTCACATTTGAATAGGGGGCAAATACATTGTCAAGTATGATGACATACAGTGTAGAAGTGCAAAGTGGTGTAGGATAGATAGGAACATTACACAAAAAGGAATTGCAATAAAGAGACATGTAGAGCCTGCCATAGTAACCCTGCACATTGTGTGTTCTCATAAGAAATAAGTAAATTATTATGCGAAAAACTAATTATATATGAGGACGAGAAAATCTAATTAATGCCAGAAAAGGGAAAAAAGCATGCTCCAGTTTATTGTAGAATATACATTCCAGGTAAAAAGACTAAAATTAATATGTGAAAGATTAAACACCTGTTTAAAGCATTTTTGCACTAACTGGTTAAAAATAATTCACAGTTAAAGTGTTTAGTATTTTATATTTTATCTTTTCCAGGGAACAAAAAAGGCTGCCACATAACTCCAAGGGCAACACTTTCAATGTTTTTGTTGTTGTTGTTGTTGTTGTTGTTATCAGCAAGAATAGGGCCCTTAAGAGCTTCCTCATATCTATGAAGATTCCAACTTTTCTAGATTTTAGGATTAAGAATGCTTGATGATGACTGAGTGTTAATACTGGTGTATGTAATGTTAGAATAAGCACATACTTAAAAATTAAATGTTGCAAGGACTACTAAATGGGATATGACCATATTGTTACAAGTTTCAAAGTCAGATAAGAAGAAAGAGACAAAGGTCATTATCTGTTGCTTATTGATTTCAATATTATTTCACTTTCAAAATGTTGATACACAAGCATGTAATTCTAAACCATACATTCCTAAATTTGATTCTATTACCTCATAATTAAACTTAGGTTGAGCCTTCTGTTGTTTTGATTTTTTATTTAGACATATTTCCTTAGTCTTTTTTTTTTTCTTCCCCCTTTCATCTTCTCAAAAACTCCAGCCACATTCCCATCTTGGGTTCTTTCCCTTACTCCCTCCCACCTCAAATTCTCTTCCCCAGTACAATATTTATGTTAGCTGCTCTTCTCCACTCAAGTCTCTGTGCTAATTGTAATGTGACTTCATCTAAGAAAAGTTGACCTCCCTGTTCACCCCTTCTAAAACAGAACCCCTATAAATCTCTATCATTTTAGCACACTTCATTTTTGCTTCATATGCATTTATTTGTACCTCATATTTCATCTAAAATATACATAAAATATATATAAATATATGTACACATACTTATCTATAATCACTATCCTTCCTACATTATGTGAATTAGCAGGGCAGGGGTTTTGTAAATAGCTAATAGATTCTCAGTGAATACTTTCTGAAAGAATCCATACTCAAGCTTCTATTGATTCATAGAAACTCCACCCTCCTAATATCACAGCTTTTGTTATTGATAAGTTTTCCTGTTAAATATTTCTATTCCATCAAGTTATGTCTCTATTTCCCAAATTTCAAATTCTTCCAAAATATGATATTGCCTTTCTACCCTAATAGATTTTCACTTTCATTTTCTGACTAAAATTTCCCAAGAGTAACACAAAGATTTGAAGCACATGGTGAGCTCTAACAGTCAGTTACTATGGCTAGATTTCATTCTTTAAAGACAAGCTCTGTCTACAACTCTTCCATAAGGGGCTCTTGGTAATTTATCTTTGCTCTGTACTCCTTCACCGAAAATCAGTATCGCAAAATTTAGTGCTTAGTTAAACATTGCCTCTAAGTGTTCATAGTTATCCATAACTTTTAGTATTGTCCCCCCTCTCATTCAGAAGTTCCTCTGGACAAGTTGGTAAAGTGTATAGCTGTATCACCACACAGAAGTAAGTCCTCATGATTCCCTTTTTCTTCTCTTTCTCTTTTCTTTCAATTTCTCAACTCATTTTTAACATATGCCTTTTTAAATCTTCCTATTTCATGCATTGATACAAGTATTTCAAATGGCATTCACTTCTAATTATTCAATATGAAGCTGTCTTTTTTGTTGTTCCATTCTGGTTTGGAAGAAGTTCCAGGGACAATTCCCCCCTCCCACCCCAACTACTCCAAAATTATATAGAATAGCAGTAAATAAGCAATCTATCAAAGTTCTGAACCAAAAATTATAAAGAGTAACCCAAGCCAGAAATTTCTCAAAATGATGAGCTTAGAGATTCTTAGTAAATATACAGAGAGTAAAAAACATTCATCTGAACATCATTGAGGGAAAGTCAATAGAAAACATATGTTTAGTGGGAAGGGGAGAGTAAATGCAATAATTACATACCCTAGTATCCTTAATATTGTGATTTCTTGAGTATGGATAAAATGACCCAAGTTGCATCCAGCGAGCGCAGAGCTGATATTCCGAATTATTGAAGAAACCACAGATATCTGCTCCAGTCTAAAATGCATTGTTATATTTAATTAATTTTCAGTCTTCCTTAATATTTACAAGTTATAAATATGAAAGGAATAGCATCACTTACATAAGATATTCCAAAGAGACTAAATTCCATCATACCTAAAAAATTAGGAAAAATTTTAATAAGCTGTAGTTTCATATTTCAGTATTTTTATTGATGAAAATGTTCTATTTCTAATGTCAACCTCTAGTTCAATGAAACATTTTTAAGGTAATTAACACAATTTTCTATCATATATTTTAATAATTTTCATACATGTTAAGTTTATAGTGTTAATGTTATTTATAAAAAAGGATGTTTTCTTGACAATTCTAAGATAACATATTTAGAGCACAGAATTATTATAAAGACATAGTATGAGAAGAAAGTGTAGTGATTTTCTTGGTTTCATATTTTATAATAAAAGGCTATCTCTGTAATAATTTAATGATAGGTCTCATCATTTGAAACAAAATAAGTCATTTTATGAAATAAATTCCTCAGAGGAAAATAGAATGCATGTGATTTCCTAGATTTTCAATTGTAAATCATTTTTAAGACTAGATTATAAACAGAAAAGTATTAATTTGCCCATTAAAATGATAATGTCTTATTTACTATTTATCCAACCATTGCCAGAAAATTCTCTCTAAATTTGGTTTTCAATATTTCATTCTTTAGAATTTATAAGTGATTCTTAGAATCTAGAATTTCTTCCCATTTCTATTCTTAGTGTGTTATCCTTCCCATCTAGCTCCCTTTCTAACCAGGAAACAAAACATGATAAAATTATTTTCTCAAAATAAACTGTTTGGAAATCATTAGTTTCTATAAAGCATCCCAGATGTTGTTTTCTAGCCTATTGCCTTATATCATGGTGGTATTTGTCATTAAAATGTGATGCCAGAAGTAAATTTTCAAGACAAACTTATAAAGTATAGGAACAGATACCAGGAAAAGTAAATACCTAACAGAAAACTCAAAAAAAAAAAAAGGTTAAAGGTGGTGATTCTCACATACCAATGATTGATTTGTCCAAATTGCTCCAGTCTGCATAGTTGTCCCCAAGCCAGTGACCTCCCCATCGTCCGGAAGTTGGGTATGTAGAACGAGAAATAACAATTCCTCTTTTGCCTGTTGCCTTCCGCAATCCACTAATGTAAGTGAAAAAGGATCTGTAAGTCTTTACATTAGTTGTTTGCTTCAGCTATTTCTATTTACAATCACTTCATTGAAAACAGAATTTGATTTATGATATCTATGTTGTGTCATAATATAACTGGCTCTTCATATGTGAGCCTTCTCTCATTATACTATAAATGCCTCACTGGTATAAAGGTATGTTTTTTCTCTTCCAACATTTACAAGCTTGAAATACCTAAGTGGCCTGCAGTTATTTGTTCAATTAGTACAAATTAAGTCGACTATTGGTATTATCAAATCAACTAATTAATGATTTGTGAGTTTTTTGACTGAATGCATTTTAGTCTACTTAAATGTTTTCTCTTAATAAAAGGTCTAGGCTCCAACTACTGACTGCTCCATCCCTGCTCAATTGTAACTTGTCAACACAAGCTTTGTATTATTGTGAAGAGAATATTTGTTATAATATCCCTTCTTTTACAGGCTAGTTTAAATAGAATGGGGCTTTCCTGGGCTCAAAAATGAATCTAATTGTTCTATACAAGAATGGAATCTATTCAAAGTCAGATTAAAAGAATGGATTTTACAAATGATGTCATGTTTTCCCTCACTCTTTGAAAAGTGACTTGAATAACTTGTTTTGTGTTTTAGTGGCAAGAATAATGCATTACATTATTTTATCTGCATTTCTCTCTCTCTGATATAATGAGTTATCTAAAATAGGAAATTATTTTACTATTCTATTAATTGAAAATAAAATGTTTATTTTTATTTACTCAAAATAAATTGTATATGAATAAGGATTGTAGTAAAGTCTCAGGGAAAAAATTTCAAGTACTTAATTAGGTAGACATTACAACTCACTTACATGTTATCAACAGTATAGAATCATGTTTTTTTGTTACAGTATGGCCAAAGTGTTTATACTGATTTGTTTATATGTAAAGCTTCTTTAATGAGTTCTTGAGATTCTTGAGGTTAAGGACTTTGTGTTAATCTTTTTTGTACTTTTTACACCTAATACAGTACCAGGCATATAATAGTAATGTAGAAAATTTTTAAATTACTGAATAGCTCAAATTAATATTATAGGAAACTAAAATATTTTAAATAGACTTAAGATGAAATATTGAACCATCTGTTGTATCCATTGTATCTATTAACTTAAATTTTCTACTTTACATGGGTCTCTCTTTAGAAAGGTCATATAAGAAAAACATCTCCATTGTTTTATTTCTGATAATAAATATAAAAAGTCAATCAAATTAATAAAATTAATATATTGGTTATATATAATATATATTTCCTGATATTTATCAAGAAATGAATGTATATTTTGAAATAATAAAATAATTGATAAGTTTAAAAGTATAAATGAAAATGTATAATCTAAATTTACTAATTTGCAAATGAAACTAAATTTATTTAACTATTATAAAAATTACATAAGAATAAAGTTGTCACAAACTCTCACTGTGTTCACATGCAAGAAACACCGTAATCTTAAAGGCTTTCTTTCTTCTATATGTCTTTTGCAAAAATTTTTACCAGGGGCTGAAATTAATAATTGAATATGTGTTTTACCAGATTTCTGATCAAGAAGAACCCTGCATAAATTATTTTCAAAATAGCCTTGTCTGGTGTGGTGGTGTGGCTCAGTGGATTGAGTGCTGACCTGCCAACCACAGGGTTACTGGTTTGATTCCCAATCTATCATGTAAAAAAGTACTTTAAATAGTTTTCTTTTAAGGAAAAACCTAACTTTGCATTAGAAGAATATCTTCTGTAAACCTTCACAGAATATTTCTTATCTGAAAATCACTTATCACTCAACAAATAATTTAAAATCCCATCACTACACATATTTTATAAATATTTCAAACACATCTAACTTTACAAATAATTTAGTCACAATGAATTTAGTTCAATTTTAAGAAGCACATTAAACCATAAGACAGTTTATCTTCTGTTGTCAATTGACTTTGGAGAATATAGCTTATAGAAAGAATTTTAATGTTTTCTTACAGAAGTATTTTATTGGGTTTTATAATAGTTTACACAAGCATTTTTAAAATATTAGAAAATTTATAAAACTATCTTGAATTATTGGAGAAAATTCATTTTTTAAGAGAAAATAATTATATAAAACATAATTGTATATTATAAAAGAGGACTATATAAAAGAAGACTATTGATTTGAAAACTTTAAAACATTTTAAATGATCTAAGAATGTATTTATTTTAGTCATGTTTACTAAAGGTAATCTCAAATTAATTCAAAAGTCTATTTTTTTTTAGTTGAATGAATTTTATAAAATTTACATTTCTCAAGAATTAAGAAACATAGCAGCCTCAATTTTATTTGAAAATTTAGTATAGTTACTTTGAGAACAAAATTATTCTTGATGTGAGAATATTTTCTGAAACATACAGTAAAAGGTAGACCTTGAATTTTACTCAAAACTTGAGCTACAATTTAAAAAAAAAAAAAACAGCCAAATTCACATAGAGACCTCATGGATGTTCACTGCTCTGTGTTTTACTGATAAGAATGAAAACATCTTAAGAAAGTAAAAAGACAAAATAACTCAACTGTTAACATTTTATGCACACAGTCAGACATACTCATACATATGGAAACTAGGTACAAATGAAAAGTAATGGAACACAATTTCTATATCAATATAATCAAGATCATTTTGTGATTCTGCAAATCTGGTGAATCTCTCTGTCAAAGATACCCTTTGTGGTTTTATAAACACAATAAAGAGAAATATACACATAATAATAGAAAAGAAGCTACGGCTATTTTTTTTTTTAGTGTTTTAATTCTTTGAAAATGTTCCTGTATCACTAGCAGAGAGCTAAATCTTACCAATTTAACTGAATTAAACATATGTTTATAACGTGATTCTTGAAAAATTACCTGAACATATACAGGTATACAGGAATTATTGAAGGATGTGAAAAAACTATCACATTTCTTCAGGACAGTTTTGTTGTCTTTTTAACTCATGTTTGCTTTGGAAAAGGAAGGCCCTACAATTATTTCATACAGATCACTGGCTTTTGACATAGAAGATGTAATCAGTAAGGACTTGCTCCTCTACATTTTTGTTATAGTGCACACTCATGTCTATTGTTTTTAATTACTGGTGAAATCAGTTGATAAATATTCTCTAAATACTTATATCTCTCATGTCTGATTGGCTGGTATTATATTATTGAAAGACAGGTTAGTGTTGTTTAGAGAAGCAAATTTATTACAGGATTGTTTTCTCAATATTTATTTTAAAAGCTCTTTGAAAACTAAAGATACTTTATTGACTTATTTTTAGAAAGGAGAGCTTTCAGTATTATATGTTAATACACTTTAGAAATAATAACTTTTTCATTTAACATTTCAAATTGACCCACCATTAGATTTTTTAAAAATGTAATATCAATTTCAGGTTTAGCATTGTGTAAAATGTTTTTTTATGATGAAATAGTTCTCTTTTTGTGAGTATCTAGCATAATAAATAACCAAATTAAAAAATTCCTTCGGTGAGAAGATAATGTGAAAAACTAACTCATGAAAAACATTTTATGGACTTAAAACTCAAATTTGGGGGGAGTAAGGAGGGTGGGTTAAGGTGGAAGAGAATATAAGGGGATAAATAGTAATGAAAAATACAACAAAAATAAATTTTATAATTTCAAAAACATTTATAACAGCTATATCAATATCCAACACAACCACATTAATCAGAAGCAATGTCTAAAGCCCTGTCTGGTATAGCTCAGTGGATTGAGCACAGCCTGCAAACCAAAGGGTTACCAGTTCAATTCCCAGTCAGGGCACATGCCTGGGTGGTGAGCCAGGTCCCTAGTGGGGGCCATGTGAGAGGCAGCCAGACATTGATGTTTCTCTCCCTGTCTTTCTCCCTTCCTCCCCCTCTTTCTAAAAGTAAATAAATGAAATATTAAAAAAAGAAAGTCTTCCTTTAAAAACAAAAGAAGTAATATCTAAGATACATGTGTTCAGTATATGTTTTGTTGACCAACAGCGTAATAGAAAAAAATAAGTTACAGCTATAATTAAGAAAACTTCCAAATTAGTGAAAGGGTAAGCTGGATCCTATTTGTTGTTATCTATACCAGTCTTATTTTTCACTAAAAATTTTAGGAAGAAGTCACTTCCCACAGTACACAATTCTCCTACCTACAAAAGGCACTCTTATTCTTTCCAGATAGATACACTAAACATAGAAAAGCAATTTACTGTAATTGTCCAAGTTGTAAACTCACCCAGTCTATAGGAATATCTGAGAAAATAATTTATATCTATTGACTTTGTAAATACCTTTTAAATTTGTATTACAGGAATTTTGGGCATTTACTTAAAATTTGTGTATTTAATACAACCAGAACTTTCAGAGAATCAAAGATTTTGATTTTCTTATGTTTTCTCTGTTAAAAAAATAGCAATGAGTAAAGTCATTTAAGGTATTGTTGAAAGGTATTGATGAAAATATAAAGTAACTATTTATATGCTCCTTGAATAATTGTCTGAAGTTTGAACACACAGTTTTAGGTAGTTTTTAAACTGAATTTCTCCCTATATTACTATTGTAAGCTTTGTTTCAATACATTGGAATTTAAATAGCAATAGAAGGAGTAAAATGAAAAGTGAAAGTTTTTTTATGATGTATATATATGAAAATTTTTCATTTGTTGTGGTATATCCCAAAATCTCTAAACCTGTTTGCAATTGCACAGGCTGATTATTTAGCTCTTGTTTCTGAATACACTCATTCTATTCTTTCTGTGGTTTGCTTTTTTCATGCTAAGTTTCATGCTAACTGAAAAATACAATAAGAGATAGTTGAATGTCAAATATGTGTGTTTGAAAGACAGCAAATGAATCACAAAATGCAATGATAAAATGTTATAATTTGGATGACTGAAAGAAACAAAAGGCATTTTTAATACTTTTGGTTGTCTCTAATGATAAATAAAAAGTCTTCACTCTTCACCATATGCTTAAATGTAAAGGTAATTTACATACAGAACACTTTCACATTTGTCAAAGTCTTTAAACATGTAATGACTATATTTAATCTCTAAAATTTTTTGAGAAGGAGGTTACTGCTTTTTCTCATATAACTCAAAATATGTATAAATTGAGATACTTAACTCAACATTTAACACTTTAATCTGCTTAACTTAAATAACAAACATGGTGGAAATCTGTACTGAAAAGTATTATGGAATGGAGGGAAATTAAAATTATTAACAAAATGTATTATGACAAATTAAAGGTTGTTCTTCAGAAGATATCTCTCCTATAATGTTATTTAAGAGTTAAAATGAACCTTAAACATCTCCAAATACCTTTGTCAACTCTAGAAATTAACCTACTTTTCCCTTAAATTTATTCATATAATTTTGGTAGCTGTAGTAGGATAATAATGGATTTATTTAAATTTACTAAGCACCCTGCAACATGTCAGGAAACATGGTAGATTCCATAATGTGTTCCAGAGTTGAATTTCCTGACCTTTGAAGAAAAAAACATTTTTTCATATTCCCTTAAATTACATACTTTCATCTTCAAATGCATACTTTTTGCCAGCTGGATGATGAATCAATTATTAATACTTCAGTTCTTTTTAATATGTGTAATTTTACAGTGAAGTGTGGTTAAGTAAGGATATCCATGTTCCATTATTACATCACAGTAGGGTTGATTGAAAGAAATGTTTTTCTCAATAAAAGACATTGAGACCTGTTGAAGACCAGTTTGTTTACTCTTAAGAATGGCATTCCTTAGTCCTTGATCTTAGTGTCCCTACTTTTGGATTTGGTTAACAAATCTGTGGTCACTCATTCATATAATATCTTAAATAATTCATCTATTCAAGGTTGAAAAAGAGACTTGTGCTAGAAATAGGATAAAATGTTTCAGTAAGTGAGGTAATATTACCCACACTCTTTATTCCAAAATGTTTTCTCATTCATTTACCTACTTCAGTTATATACCAGGGAGATAGTTTTCAAACTTTGCTGCCCATTAGAATCACCTGGGTAATTTTTTAAAGTTCAGCTCCTTAGGCTGTACCACAGGCTGATCGTCAGAATTTATTTGAAATCTCCAGGGGATTACAGTGTATAATTAATCACTGGCTAACAACAGTGTCCACTAGCCATGTGGGCTATAAAATAAGCCTAAATTTATTGCAGGCAAGAAGGGACTGGAAAGAAGTATTCAAAGTCATGAAAGGCAGGGACCTACATCCAAGATTACTCTATCGAGCAAAGCTTTCACTTAAAACAGAAGGGCAGATAAAGTGCTTCCCAGATAAGATCAAGTTAAAGAAATTCATCGTCACCAAGCCCTTATTATATGAAATGTTAAAGGGACTTTTTATCTTAGATAAAAAATATAAACAGTGAAATGACAACAAACTCACAACTATCAACTAATGAACCTAAAAGAAAAGAAAAACAATGAAAACAAAAACTAAGCAAAAAAACAGAACAGGAACAGAATCACAGAAATGGTAATCACATAGAGGAATTTCAGTGGGGAGGGGGAAGGAAGGAATGAGGGGAAAAGGTACAGGGGATAAGAAGCATAATTAGTAGACATAAAGATAAAAATGGTATAGGAAACAGAGGTCTCAAAGAACTTATATGTACAACCCATGGACATGAACTAAGTGGGGATGCTGGACAGTTGTGGGGCAGGGCAAAGGGGGGATAAAGGGAGAAAATTGGGAAAACTGTAATAGCATAGTAGATAAAAATACCTAAAATTAATAAAATTGGAAAATCTATTCCTAAGTGCATTGTTCAACAGCAATATATAGTTAGTAGCTACCACATTAGGCAATGCAACATTATAGGACATTTTTTTTAATTGAAGAAGGTTTTAATAGATAATGCTAATAAATATTTGATACTCAAAAAATGGCCGGAGTTCCATTATCTTTGGCCTCACATGACAGTTTGTTTAATTGGACATTAAAGTTTGAGAAGCTCAAGATAATTCACACATACTCTAATTTGCTAATAATTCATACAAAAAACAAATTTAGCCAATTATTAATATCTTAATTAATGACATCAAGTTATATATTATTTACTCATTTACTCATTCAAAACTATTTATTGAGCACTTACTATTTGTTAGGTGTTCCCTACTATGAGCTGGTACGGAACAAGATAAAATAGTTTAAGATTCTTTTGGAAATAAGATACAAATTCAAAGCAATGGTTCAGATGAAAGAGAGAGATATCAAAAGGAAAAACACAAATTCTAAGTGTCATGAAAGACCAAGTAAGTTACAGATAACATTGGGAAGAAAAGTGCCACAAAATAATGTCAATAATGAAGAACTCTCAAACTAGATAACATTAAATCTAGTATCTAAAAGACAGTAAAGAGTCAGAAAGGATAATTATGAACACTACTTACTCATGACTGGGTTTCATTTGTGACCATCCATAAAGATTGTGAACATTGTAATGCAAAACCGATGACCCATCACTAAGGATATGCTCGGTCTCCATACACATAGTTCTGGTGTGTAATCCTTCAGCTCTTTTTACGAGTTCTAAGAAAAACCAATGAAAAACATTAATATATTATAAAGTGCCTGACATTAAAAATGTGTAAAATATAACTGTATATTCTTCTAGTACAAATATTAATTTTTGCTTTAAATTTTATTGATTTTTAAATCATTTGTATACTTTGCCAATGGTATTACAAACAGAAAAAAAACAGTCTATAGTTGTAATTGATTGTAGTTACTATTGTGATTGAAAAAATATGTGAAAAATTTTACTATAGTCAGTAACAAAAATATTACTAATAATTAATATAGCCCAGACTATTGTAGCTCAGTGGATTGAGTGCCAACCTGGGAACCAAGGGGTCAGTGGTTCAAATCCCAGTCAGGACATATGCCTGGGTTGCAGGCCAGGTCCCCATTTGGGGCAGTGTGAGAGGCAACCACACACTGATGTTTCTCTTCCTGTCTTGCTCCCTCCCTTCTCCTCCTTCTAAAAAAATAATCCCTTCTCCTCCTTCTAAAAAAAAATAAAAATAAAAATATTAAAAAAAAAGAAACCAAAATATTAAAAATAATAATTAATGTAAATTAGGGAAAAAACAAAAAATAAATGTACTCCTAAATGTCTCTTATACTTTGTTTATTTAGATGACAAATACTGATTAAATGGATTTAAAAAAATCAATTCTGTACATAAAACCCTGGGGTTAGGAGCCAGGCAAATACTATAACAACATTAATATTTGATCCATTTTTTTTCTGAGTTTAAGATGTATTTTTTTTCAGGGAATTGTCCTAACTTTCTGTTAACAGTTATGAAGTTTATTGCCTGCCTAAGTGTATGAAGATGAAGTGTGGTACCATGTGTAGGTGGGTAGTAAGAATCGAGAATGTGAATCCTGTTGCCTACATCATAAGATATATAATCTAATTAACTAATTATTTATAACATGATAACATCAAAGGGAAAGCAATAATATTGTACCTGGCATATAAGGTGGAAAATTTAGCTCTTGACTTCTGCATTTATAATCAGCTGTTCCATGTACAAAACTTGATGGTTCATTCATATCCTTAAAAAAATACAAATAAATAGAAAACAAATTTAGAATACATATTCTCAAAATAACTAATTAAGAGGGCCAATAAGCATATTTAAATAATAAACTCAATATTCATTCAATCATTACTCAATCATTACTCAATATTCTAAAAAGCAAAAATCTACATCTCAATGATACTAAAGACTTTAGCTCAGTATGCCTTAATTGTTTATAATTCTTTGCTTACTTTTAACAAACACATAATTTTCAATTTTTCTCTGTAGATATAATATGAGGGGTGGAATAAAAAAACAGAGTTATCTTCTGGAGGATGGGCTCCTTGTATTACAGCCTTCCCCCACTAGGTGAGTGTTCTAAGAACCCATCTGTATCAGTTCAAAACTGTTCTGAGCAGTGGAAAGAAAGTTCAGTAAGTGTGTTGCATCAAATGGAAAGTACTTTCAAAGTGACTGAGGCTTAAACATGTAAGAATAAAAGAGTATTTTCTAAATAAATTACATTTTGGGGAGGGTCTCCCTTCATATACATATAAAATTGATTATTTCCTAGACATAAAATTAAATTATAATAATGTTTATTCTCCCATGCCCTCTCTTGAACACTCATGCCTTGGAGCCAGTCTTATGCCAATTGTTTGTTTTAAAAAACAATAGTTTGTGGATTTTAAAACCCTAACATATAGCTTACAAATACAAAAATAAAAAACTTCTAGGAGTATGTGAGCACACGTTTCAGGGTCCTAGTACCGACATACAAAGGGACCACCATCTAAATATATAAATTAGCTACAATTATTCTATCTACCTGAAATAATGGTTATATTTTCTGGATCAAGTTATCATTCTTGGAGATATATTTAAAATTATCCATTATAGTACATAACTTTATATATGAAATAAACTTGCAACCCTGGCTGGTGTGACTCATTGGATTGAGCACTGGCCTGGGAACCAAAGGGTTGCTGGTTCAATTCCCAGTTAAGGCACATGCCTGGATTGTGGGTCAGATCCCTGGTAGGGGATACAGAGAGGCAACCACACATTGATTTTTTTTTCCTCTCTTTCTCCCACTCTTCCTCTCTGTCTAAAAATAAATAAAATCTTTAAAAATAAAATTAAACTTTGTATTACCCATTAATTTAAAAAAATGTTTTAAAGCTTACACATAACAACACCTTTTAAAAGGTTTCTTTAATAAGAAAATAAGTAAATTAATGCATACCTGTTAAAAATCAACAAAGAAATGCCACCTCCCGAAATTTAGAGAAGTACCATATAAAACCTCCTGTATTAAGTATTTAACTCTAGTAAGCTTTTGTAATGCTGTCTCAAATTGTACTCTTAAGAATATATCCTGACTCATGTAGCTCAGTGGATTGAGCATGGCCTGTGAATCAAAGGGTCACCAGTTTCATTCCTGGTCAGGGCACATGCCTGGGTTACAGGTCAGGTCCCCAGTGAGGGCCACACACAGTGAGAGGCAACCACACATTGATGTTTCTCTCCCTCTCTTTCTCCCTCCCTTCCTCCCTCTCTAAAAATAAATAGATACAAATTTTTAAAAAGAATCTTGTTAACATTTGAAAGTTAAACCTAAAATTAAGAGATTGAGAGATAATTTTGCATAATTTATAAGAGATTACGATTTCTTACATCATGGAGAGTTGAATATGAAATGTGTACCTATACTGAATGAAAATTAAATAGATATTTATAAGCACATAAATATTAGAAAAAGGAGCTATTTGGGTTCATTTATTAAGTTGAAAGTATTCAACTTGAATACTCAGAAAATAGCATTCATAAACATAAATTGAATTGGTAAGACTGTATTTAACAGTCCCTTGCATAGGAAACTTTTATGGAAAAAGCAAATGAGCTAATTTTCATAAAGAATGGTTTGTTGACATTATTATAATCTATTAAGAATTTTGCATCATCAATACACAATAATTTAGAATATAAATTCCTTAATGTTCACTTACAATCCACAAACCATCAAACTTCATTTGGGTATTGTAGAAATCGACTATTTCCCTCTCCCACCATTCTGCTGTGGAATTCCTGAAGAAATCTGGAAAAGCTACATGAGCTCTGGAAGCCTGTAAAAATAAAATTCAGAACCACAGGTATAAAATCATAGAAGAGACCACATGTGTCTAAGTCAGGTATTTATCTGTCAGATCCAGAGGTTATGGACAAGTGATAATAATGGCAACCTGATATCAACTTGAACTGCACAAATGAGTATGATTTTCCTCAAAGTACCCCAGCAGCAATGGGGAGTGAAAAGAGAGACAGAGACATACAAGGAGAGGGAGAAGAACAGCCTTGTGAATCCAGTATAGGTTGTAGAGAAACCACTCAAAACACAAAAATATATTTTCAGCATTTCTTAGAGTTATAGGGAAGTTTTTATGCCTTATCTTTAGAGCCTTACTGCATGTTTACCCTTGTGGAACAGCAAGTGGGGTAGAAAAAGGCCTTGGTTAAACCTGTGTTTCAGATTTAAAAAAAAAATGTTTACATGGTTTACTGCTCTTCCAGAACCAATATACCAAACCACCACCCCAACCAGCTGTTTATTTTTCTCTCTCACATCTAACGCTTCCCAACCAGCAGAGAAAAGTGATTTACTCCTGTCCTTACTAAGAAAATTCCCTACTTGCCAGCCTACTCATATAAATTCCAAGGTCAGGGTTGATGTGTTAGCAGAGGAATAATCTGCAGACAAATCATTTCCTTGAAAAATATAGCTTCACCTGAATTCTTTCTTGTCACACTTTAAGACTGTGTAGTAAATGCCAGAATAGTCTTCTCCATGCACAGTGTACAGGAGGGCATTGAAAATATAGAGACTAGAAAATATAAAGGTTTACAAAACCAATATATCATTGGTACTGTTAGACTTGAAAGACACTTTATTTTATTATTTTTCCCCAACTTATACTTTCTTGATACAGAAAAAAAGGCTCAGTGTGCTTATGCAATGAATAATACCTATGCTAGGCTCTCCCATAGATTATGATGAGAAACAGTAAGAAAGGTAACACCATATTTTGTTTTGTAACTTCCATTGCTCTGATCTTTCTATAACTCCATTCGTTTTCATGTTTATTTTATGAAATAAAAATAGTTGGCTGACTATATTCCTTTAATACAAATCATTGGTTATATATAGAAATTTCATCAGGTATGTGTGATCCAACATGCTTTATAGCTTTTGTGGAAGAGGATCTTGAATGATTACACACACACCATTGCAAATTGAAGCTACCCTCAAAACCTATATAAAGAAGTTATACCTGCCTCTCCAGTTGCCAATATTACCCAAGATTAATAGGTAGAACTTCAGTTGAGATAAAAGTTACTATTTTTCCTGAACAGTATGATTCAGTAATTCTTTGACTCTACTTGAAAAAAATTTGGTTTTAAGTGAAAATGGTCCTCTAATTTTGCACACTGAACTTGAACTTTTATGTGAACTAGTATGATTTAATGATTATACTTCAATCTACCTAAAAGACCAATTGTCAACTTTTTTCTAAATACTTCTCTTATTTTTGAATTATAGTTGATATCCCATATTATTAGTTTCAGTTATACAACATAGTGATTAGACATTAATATATCTTATGAAGGGATCACTCTGATAAATCTAGTAACCATCTGACACCATACATAGTTATTACAATGTGTATTATTGACTGTATTCATGTTACACTTTATATCCCCATGACTATCTTGTAACTACCAATTTGTACTTCCTGACTCCTTCACTTTTTTCAACCATCCTCCCAACCTTTACCATCTGTCAATCATAAAAGTCCTCTTTATATCTATGAGTTTGTTTCTGTTTTACTTGTTTGTTTTGTTTTTTAGACTTTACATATAAGTGGAACACATGGCATTTGTCTTTCTTTTCCTGACTTATTTCACTCAGCACAATGCTGTCTAGGTCCATCTATGTCATTGTAGGTGGCAAGATTCCATTCTTTTTTGACAGATGAGTCATATTTCATTGCACATCTAAACTATTTCTTTATCTACTCATCTATTGATAAACACTTAGGTTGCTCTCATATCTTGCTACTGCAAATAATATTGCAATGAACAAATGAATGCACATCTCTTTTCAAAATACTTTTGTGGGAATTCTTCAGAAAAATACATAAAAGTGGAATTTTCAAGTCCTTCTTTTTCTCTTCTTACAGCCTTTGTTATAAAGTCTACACTGTCTGGTATCAGTATTATTACCTCAACATTTTTTTGTTTCCATTTTCATGAAATATCTTTTTTCATCTCTTTACTTTTAGTGAGTCTTTGGTGGACAACAAATATAAAGATCTTGTTTTCTTATTTATTCAGTTACCTTATGTATTATTTTTTCTTTTTATTAAATTTATTAGGATGACATTGCTTATTTGGTTGAAAAGATCATATAAGTTTCAAGTGTACATTTCTCATACATTATCTTCACATTGCATTTTGATTAGATCATTTAACCCATTTACATTTAAACTGTTAACAGATATATAATTATTGCCAATTTATTACTCATATTTTTACTTTTTTCCCTTTCTTTTTAAAGAAGTCCCTTTACCATGTCTTGAAATACAGATCTGATGGTGATTAACTCCTTTAGCTAGATCTTGTCTGAGAAACACTTTATCTGTCTTCTGATTCTAAATAATGACTACGTATATTTATCTTGGTTGTAGGTCCTTGCTTTTCTCCACTTTGAATATTTCTCGCCATTCCTTCTGGCTTGCAAGGTTTCTGTTGAGAAATCAACTGACAGTCTTATGGGAGATCCCTTGTAGGTAATTAACTTATTTTATTGATTGCCAACTCTTAGTTTTATTGATTTTTGTTCTCTTGTTTAGATAGCACTTATTTCATGTATTAATAGTACAATCTTTATCATTTTATTCTTTCTTATGGTTTTGGGCTTAGTGTGTTCTTTTTATCCTAGTTCTTCAAAGTAGAGAGTTAGACTGTTTATTTGAAATCTTTCTTCTTTTCTAATGGAGGCATTTATCACTATAAATTTTCCTTTTAGACTGCCTTTGCTGCATGCCTAAGCTTTGATACATTGCAATTTCATGTTGCTGTCTCAAGTTATTTTCCAATTTCTTTTTTTATTTTTCCTTGACCTATTTGTTGTTCAAAATTGTGGTGCTTAACTTTGTTGTATTTGTGAATTTTCCAGTGTTTCTTCTGATGTTGATTTTAGTTTTTATTCATTGTGGCCAGTTTTTATTCATTGTATAATTTTGATATTCTTAAATTTGTTAAAACTTGTTTTGTGACCTAACTGGTGATATAACCTAGAGAATGTTCCATGTGCTTTTGGAGGGACACTTTGTGAAGGATATGATTTTCTGACCACTATGCTATATCCCTGAAGCTAATACAATATCAAATATAAACTATAATTGAAATTAAAGAATAAGAATGAATCAATACATTTATTAACAAAGAAAAAGAAAAAAGTCAGGTAAAGAAAATCAGTTATGAATAATGAGGCATTACAATGAATGTCACAGAAATAGAGAGAAACATAAGACTCTATTATGAACAATTACACAACAACAAATGGATAACACAGAACAAATGGATCAAGTCCTATATTAATACAACCTAACAAAACTGAATCATGAAGAAATATGAAAAGTTTACCAACATAGAAAAGCCTAGGATAAGATGGATTCACTGGTGAATTCTACCAAACATTTGAAAATAACTAATCCTTAACTAATGTTAATCCTTCTCAAATCTATCCCCAAAAGAATGAAGTGAAGAGAATACTTCCTTTCCAAAGTCATTTTAGGTGGCCAGAATAACAGTGATATTACAAGAGAAAAGAACACTATAGAACAATGTCCCTGATGGATATAGAGGCAACATGTTCAATAAAATGCTAACAAACAATATTCAACCGAACAGTAAAATAGGTCACATACTAAGAACAGATGGGATTTATCCTTGTAATGCAAGACTCATTTAATCTTATATAATACATTAACATAATAAAGAATAAAAATCATACAATCATCTCAACAAGAATTGAAAAAAATGTGTTGGGCAAAAATTCAACAGACTTTCATGAAGAAAGCTCTCAATACACAAGAACAACAAAGTAACTTACCTCAAAATCATAAAGACTGTATACCAAATGCCTATAGGTGATAACATACTGATTCAGGAAAAACATTCCTATAATATCAGACATAAGACAAGGATGCTCATTCTTATCACTTCTATTTAACATATTATTGACAGTCCTAGCTAGAATAATTAAGCATAAAAAAATACAATATAAAGCATCCAAGTCAGAAAGAAAAAAGTAAAAATTTCATCTTTGTGAATGTCATAATCTTATACACTAATGATGAACTATCTGAAAAGAAAGTTATGAAAACAAGTACATTTATAATATAAAAAATAAAAAATACATGAATAAATAAATAAGAATAAACTAAAGTGGGTGAAAGACTTTTATACACTGAATACTACAAAACAAAACTTTGTTAAATAAAATTGAGAGGCAGATGAATAAAACCATAACACATTTCAGGGAATAAAAGAATTAATATAGTTAAAATATTATACTACCAAAAGTGATATATAGATTTAATGCAACCCTTATAAAAATCCCAATGTTACAATTCACATGGAATCACCAAAAAAAGCCCAAAAACCTAAATAGTCCAAATAATATTAAGACTGTAGAAAGAAGCTAAAGCCATCACATTTCCTTATTTGAAAATATATTTTCAAGCTATCATAATTAAAACAGTGTGGTGGCACCATACAAATTAGCACATAGACCAATGGCACAAAATAGAGATCACACAAATCAATACACAGATATATAGTCAACTGATCTTCAGCAAGGGTGTCAAGAATATACAAAGGGAAAAAGGAAAATTTCCTCATCAAATAATGTTCAGAAAACTGAATATCCATATACAGAAGAATGAAAGAAGTTCCTTATTTGTATACTACATACAAAAATCAGCTTAAATGGACTTAAAACTTAAATGTAATATTTGCAACTTCAAAACTAAGAGAAAACACAGGGAATCTTCAGTATATTTTGTTTTAGCAAAAATTTCATGTATATAACACCAAAGATATCGGGAAAAAATAGACAATTGTCACTGAATCTGACTAAAAAGTTTCTCCACAAGAAAAGAAATAATCAACCAAGTAACAAAGCTTGCTACAGGATAGGAGAAAATATTTGTACACCATATAGCAGATAAATAGTAAATTACCAAGGTATGCAAGACAGTCCTATGCCTATATATTTTTTTTAAAAAATAGCTAATTTAAAAATGGACAAACACTTGAATAGAAATTTCTCTAAAAAAACACATACCAATGTCCAACAAGTAGGTGAAAAGATGTTTAACTTCATTTTTTGCCAAGATAATGCTGATCAAAATCAAAATGCATGGAGCTCTCTCAAAATATTAGCAATAGAACTACCATTTGTGGGTAGTTATCCCTCCAAAAAACTTGAAATCAGTATCTCAAAGAGATACCTGAATTGAACTCTGAACTCCCATCTTTACTGCTGCACTATTCACAAGAGTGAAGGTGTTGAAATAACCTAAATGTCCTTCAATGGATGACTTGACCAAGACAATGTGGTGTATACCTACAATGGAATACTATTCACTCTTACAAAAAAAGAAAATCCTACAGTATGAGGCAAAATGGATGCACTTGAAAATATTATGCTGAGTAAAATAAAGCAGGGACAAAAGGATAAATACCGCATGCCTCCATTTATATGAGGTATCTAAAACAGTCAAACTCACGAAATGAGAGAATGCAGTGGTGTTGTCAGAGGCTGCGGGGTGGGAATAATGGGGAACTGCTATTCAATATGCGTGAAGTTTCGATCATGCAAGATAAGTTCTAGTGATCTGCTGTACAACATTGTCCCTAGGCTCAAGGATGCCATATTGTGACCTTAGAAATGTAAAATGATAGATGGCATAGTGAGTATTCTTATCACAACAAAATAAAAAATTAAAGAATGATTGCTTGCATTAAATAAGATATGTAAAATTACTTAACAGAGTGACTTTTTTTGGTAATTAAGAAAAAATAAATACATTAGATTTAAATATAACCTGATATAGATCATTAGAAAATAACCCATCTTTTTTCTGAGGAAATTATTCAAACGGAATGATTGGTGAAAGTGACCATTAAATCCACGTGCTGAATTTCCTTCAGTTATATAGTCAACAAATGTAAAACTTACATTAACAGCTTCATCTTCAGTCAGAGTTTCATCTATTATTATATTAGGTAAATCTGGCCAAACCTACATAGAAAGAAGTTGAAAATCCATTTAAAATAACTTCAGTATTATGACTATGTTGTAAATAAATCAGAACTTTAGAGGCATATTATAGATTGAAGATCCCAGATTAGTAATCCCTTCAGTTTTTTTTTTCAGTTTTTTGTTTTGGTATATGTGCTTTTTGCAACCTATTCCCATTTTCCACATTGATATACTATTTAATATAGCAAATAAGAAAAAAAAAGCTAACTTTTGTAGCAGTCAGTGATGTGGAAAACAACTCATGTAACCAAAGTTCTGGTCCAGAAATAATATGAAAACCATGTATTAAAGTTTATTGAATGTAGTATATTAAAACTATTGGTATAATTATTCTAAAATTAAAATATAAAAATAATGAATATATTTTTATTTAAAAGGAATTGACTCTCTGAGTTGAATGATGCCATGCTGAGGCAAATATCTTCATGGTTTTCACAGTAAGTACTAAATCTTTGTTGCTGATTGCAGAGGAATGGATTAGAGGATACAAATCTGACAAAGTAGGAAGAAAAAAAATCCCTTTTTATGGCCTACATGTCATACTCTGTACTTGCATGTTTTTAAAATGAGGTTTTTTACTGTCTATTATAGTTTTGTTAGCTGGGAATGAGTGGCCAGAAAGGAAATAAAGGCAGCGCCCTCGCCATTACAATCTAACAAAGAACTTAATACAGGAGGCTGGAGCAAAAGAACTCAGCAGTCCTAAGCTTGGCTTGAGAAGGTTTCCAGGTGTCCCAAGAATTACAAGCAAAATAGAACAGGAGGAGGAGAGAGCCCTTGAGTCTGTGCCAAGAAAAGGGGATTCTGTAAACTTCTATAACCATCTTACTAAGTTTGCAAGATATCCTAAACATCACAAGCAGGAATCATACAGGAAGGGGGCGGGAAGAGTCATCCTTGAGATTCTATGCTGGAAAAGGGAGCTTCTGTAACAAATTCTCTAAGAAGAGAAACTTTACTGAGAAAGAAAGGCTTTTTAGCGGTAAATTATTCCCAAGGCAGGGGAAGAAGGGGGAACCTAGTAGCTAGCTGAGACCTATAACTCCTGAATCCCAATAGTCAGCATACTTAGATTAGGTAAATATCTACTTGTAGCCTCAAGTGTATAGAACAAACTCACTGACTTAGTAACAACATTCTTTCCTCTATATGTGGGGAATTTACACTTGCCAGTTGCCTGTTTGCTGCTCCATGCTTGTCCGGGTTTCACAAATAAACTTGTTATTTCATTTCCACTATGGTGTTTGTCTCTAACTTGAATTATTCTCTTGCAAGCGAGACAACAACAAAGAGGCAAGGGGGAGGAGGCCTTGCGACTCGGGTCTCTCCCCATCTGTAAAGTTTTTTTTCTACTTTAATTTAACCTTTTTTATTTTGAAATTAATTATATTCAGACTTACAGAACAGCTTGAAAATATACCTAGAGTTTTTTGTACCCTCCACTGTGCTCCTCTAATGTTAACATAGTTATAACTACTGTATGAGTACCAAAACCAAGAAGTTAATATTAATATTATACTATTAACTTACCTATAGGCCATTTTGAATTTTATCACTTTTACCACTGATGACCTATTTTTGGTCTAAGATCCAAACAGTATCTCATAATACATTTAATTATATCTCCCATTGTGGGATTTTGTTATTTTTTTTTTCTAGTAATGACTTATTTTTTCCCCTTTTATGTCAGCCAAATCAGGATATTTTCTAAAAGATATTAATACACAAGGTCTGAATATTGCTGTTTAAATGCAATATAGTAAATTATATTCCTTGTTCAAGTCAGGAATATAAATTAGCCCTTAAAAACATTGTTTACTTTTTTAATGATAAGTTTTTAAGAGAAGCACATAAATTTAAATGATGAGGTATAGAATAATGATTTGCTTTGTTATTAATGGTAGTTTTGTAATAAAACACAAAAGGTTGCAAGAAATACAGTAAGATAATTTAAAGGTGAAACAAACAGCATTGAACTTACAACTTTTATGAATTTTTCTCTATTTCTAATAATTTGGATTAAACTCAAAGGAACACATAATTTTCTTTATTAATTATTAAGTCATACCATTATATTTATATTTCTCTATGTTTATAATAATTTTTTAATTTAATAGAAATTTTCAACAAAATATTTTTCTCATATTTTATTTCAAGGTCAAATCAATACCTTTGCCCAACAAATATCACTGGTATTTGGCCATTTGACAAAGACATCTTTTTCCTGTCCTCTTTGAAATGCAGGGTAAGGCTTCGTTTCATTTCCTGAAATTGCTGGATCCTAAATTGGAAGGAAATACAGACCAAGTTACTATGAAATAAAACTATAGCCTCTTGGGTAGTTATGAAACATCCTAATATTCTATTAAACATGTATGTAATATATCATATGTATGCACACATGTGTATATACATGCATGTCATATACATATATGTGGTGTATCATATATAGCGTCATATTATGCTTTCAGAGACATGAACTGAGACATGGACTGATGATACAAACTTTACTCTTCTATCTGTACTGCCTTCTAAATTTCTTATAAAAATTAAGAACTTTGAAAATATATAAGCTATAATTTCAAGCAAGATTACTAGAGGTTTTGTTTTTATTTTTCCAGTGGGATTTCTCGCTATGTAGCTTGCTTCTTATGAAATAATGATACAATATTCTCCCCACTGAATCACTAAGTTGAAGGCAAATTTTTAAACATGAGAAAGATAAGCAGCAGTCCTAGAGAATAATTTGGGAATTGTATGGGAATAGAAAACCCATCATCACTTGGTGATATCTTCTGTAAATCAAGGCCAGTTTACAACAGGGGTGATTACTAAAAACCAGGTTGACTTTTACTCCCACCTTTAGTCTTAGATCTCTAAAAGATGTGCCAAGTATACAAGCAGCCTGTGGCAGCCCGTGTAAACAAAAGGAAGTGTTAAAGGGAGAAAGTTTTAGATTACAGAGTAGATTCCAAAGTTATATACTTCCTGTTTTGAAACACCTCCCCATATCCCTCAATCTAGGAGAGAAATCTTAATAAAGCTAAGATAATAAGGCTTGTATGAAATGTAAAATACAAATACTGACCAGGATAATAATGTATCTCATTCCTTCACTTCTTATTTTGTCAACAAACTGAGGAAGGTCTTTGAATCTTTCACCAATTGTGAAGTCCAGCTGCCTCTCCATGTAATCTATGTCTGTGTATTGAACATCCTGAAAAATAGGAGAATTGCGGTAGTGCGGCAAGAATCATACTAATAATCCATTCATTATTACAAGATGTGTTTTAACTAGTAAATGTTTGAGTGTTATAATAAAATTATAATGTAGGCATAAATAATATATTTTTTCATTATTTTCTGTCAGTAGACATAAGCTAAATTTTCCTCTAGGTGTTATAAAACATACAGTTAATACAGTAGACATAACTTTTTATAAAAAATACAAGGCAACTTCCTTTTTATAAAAAAATTCACCTTCATATTTCTACATCATCTACTACATAGTTAATGTCCTCATAATAATATATTCAGGAACTATGTATTAAATTCTATTATATTTACCAATATCTTATAATGAGGTCTTTCTTATTCTTCTTAGAAGGAGTTGTTATATATGCCTCCCACTCTAGATTTTCATGCTTATGTGTTACTAGGTGAATTTTGGGGATTCCTTAATATCACTAAAATCTCACAGGGACTAATTATTTCTGGATACTCAGGAGTATTTTTTTTCACAAACATTGAGAGAAGAGGATATTCTGCCAGCCCTCTAATTCTATATTTTAACATTACCAGTATCATCTATCTCAGGCAAACAAAAATCACTCTGTTTCACCTCCAATGTCTTCCCTGTAATTTGTCACAGCAGTGGATGGAATAATTTTGTAGACCCTTACTCTCATACAGAGGAAATACAGAGAATGTGTCTGAACAAAGTTTATGAGAGAAATGCAAGTGCACAGTAACTTGTTTAGCACATGGAATTGGAGAAAAAGTAGGAAAAAACTGGTAATATTCCTTTTCATTTATCAATCTAATAAAGATAATTTACTAAAAGTTCATATCCAATTCATTAGGTGCTACTAGAAACTAAGCACTAAATGTTACCAAATGCTTAAAATAATTTTAAAGTTTATAACTGTTTATTCATTCCAATGTTATACATCACATACTTAACACTGTCTTAAAAGTTTCTATACATACATATGGGATCTGAGCCTTTATCATATCCTCATACACTTGCCGAACTTCTGAAGTATTTCTGTACCCATAACGACATATTTGGAATCCCAAAGCCCAGTAAGCTGGCATGACTGGTCGGCCAATTACCTTTGAAAACAAAAATAATTTGTGAACTAAAAGAATTATATTATAAAGAGAACTCTATGAATTTTCTAAAAACAAATTTAATCATACTTCATGGTATTGCTTTGTCACAACTTCTGGATTTGGGCCCAAGAACATATAAAAGTCCAAGATTCCTCCAATGATGCGGTAAGTTAGAGCAGGTGTTGGCTGAAATGTAACATCTGGAAATTCAAAATATGATATCATTTTATCTGTATATAAAATATTTATTAAAGAGTAACATACAAGATGAAAAATTTTAAAAATGATTGTCTTACCCATTGCATTGCTGTTAAGTAAGAGAACCCCATGAGAATGGCCCTCATCTTCCAGAGCCATGTAATAGGGATGAAATCCATAGGAATTAAGTTTATACTAAAATAAAATAAATACATAAATAAACATAACATATATATTGAGATAATAATGCAATACCATGTAATTTTGTCAATGTAATATTTAAATTTATTGTATGGTCGAGCCTAGGAATTAAATGCTCCTTCCTTGCACACATGATCAAAATCAAGTGCATTTCCCTTAGAAATTATTTTTTTTAAATTAAAACAGTTATTGCTTTAGAGTATGCAAATAAATATACAAATATACAACTGTGTAACATCTGCAAATGCTGCCTCATAACTGATATAAAATGAAACATTGGCATTAGAGTAATTGGGTTTCTTTCTATAGGTTAGTTATGTTAATTTATTTTAAAAATTTGCACTTCCTTTTCAATAACATAATTTCCTAAAAGTGATTAAAGTGATTGCTGTGGCCAGATGGCTCAGTTATTGTAACCTCATCCCATATACCAAAAGATTGCAGGTTTCATTCCTAGTCATGGCACATGCTTGGGTTGAAGAAGAAGATTTAAAAAAAATGAATAAAGTGATTAAACTATTTAAACTAAAGGATTAATATGATAATTATCTAATTTTAAATATTTCATATTTAAATGGTAACACATAATAGTTTATATTTATAAAACATTTCAATTTGTTTTTAGCTAGATTTTTTTACTTTTTAGAATAAAAACTGTTAGATAACTCAAAAAATTAAAAATGGATCTGACTTTTGACCTAGTGATCCTTCTTTTGGGAACATATATGAAGGAACCCAAAACACTAGTTTTTTAAAAAAATGTTATTTATTTATTTTTAGAGAGAGGGGAAGGGAGGGAGAAAGAGAGGGAGAGAAACATTAGTGTATGGTTGCCTCTCATAAGACCCCTACTGGGGATCTGGCCTGCAACCCAGGCATGTGCCCTGACTGGGAATTGAACCAGCAACTCTGTGGTTCACTGCCTGCACTCAGTCCTCTGAGCCACACCAGCCAGGGCTCTAAAACATTAATTTGAAAGAACATATGCACCACTATGTTCAGTGCTGTGTTATTTACAGTAGCCAAGATACAGAAGCAGCCCAAGAATCCATCAGTAGATGAGTGAATAAAACACTATGGGACAGTTCCATACACAATGGAATACTAGTGGGACATGAAAAATAAAATTTGACCCTTTGCAACAGTATGGATGGACCTAGAGAACATTATGTTATGTGAAATAAGCCAGTCAGAGAAAGATAAATACCATATGATTTCACTCATATGGGGAATCTAATGAACAAACTGAACTAACTGACAAGGAAAATAGAGGCAGACACATAGGTATAGAGCAGGATGACAGTGAAGGAGGGTGAGGGGGTAAAGGGGTGGAGGAATTGAGCAAAGAGGAAAAAGAACTCATGAACATGGGCAACAGTGTGGTGATAAGTGGGGGGAGGGGGTATAAGGGGACTAAATGGTAATGGAAAAAATCAAATAACCAAAACATACTCATGGCCCTGAAATGACCTGCTAAAGATCACAAAACTTTGAAGATAATGAGCTCCAAAGAAATACATATCTTTGACCCTCAGGGAATCCCAGGAATTGAATAATATGTAAAAGATAATTTATATATTGAGAATAAAGGTTATATTAACCTAATAATGACGATGTTAATGTTGAAAGCTTTAACAAAGTAAATTTTGGTCAAATATAGTTTTTCAGTTGGCATAAATGAAAAATCACCTTTATAACCTAATTCTGAAGTATTGTGATGCAAAAAAGTTTGAGCACCTAAATATGAAAGGTGGTTGCAAAGTATACACATTTTATAATTTCACACTTAATACATCCTTTAAATTAGCATCACATATTGCAAATAGAAATAAGGTAACATTTTATGAGAATGTCATTTTTACGTGTCTAGAATAATTATAGTTAATATTCTTTGTGCAGTGCATTAAATATCCATGATGTGCATTTAATTAGTAAGTCAAAACATTGGGAAAAGTGACACAATCTAATAAAAACATTTCCTAAAGATGTAAGTAGCAGCAAAGACTCATAAAAACTCACACCTGCAGCTGAGCATCATAAAGGAAAAAAGGTGGCATCAGATCATTGTTGAAGAAAATAAAAAAGTTAGAGAGCCTAATCAGTTATTTTCTAAAAGCTGAGTATAAATACGTATTTGGCAGGGAATACTGAATTTGAATGTTCTTTCTATGCAGTTGAGAGAGTACGGAATTGGCTCACTCCCTCAGTCCTCACTGGACTCAATGTTATTGCTTTTGCTAACAATTAATGGTGATTTATTTAGCTTGTTTTTCAGAAAATTATTATAGCAGCTCTGGGAATCTCCAGCCCCTTTGTCATGACTTCAATACCAAAATACAGGCCTACACAGAAATGACTTGGATCCTAATCGTGGCCTCAGGTGCTTCATGAGGCAGTACAACAGAGGTACCTACACCAGGGGGTTGGTCTCTTGTGAACATTCCCCAAGTGTGCCAGTTTAGATTTCGCTTAAATGCTGAGTGCTCCACTTCCCCAAAACCATATATATATTCTGATGGCAGGCGAGTAGATATTTGAATGAACTTGTCATTAAAAGCAAATCCAGGTAAGTGAGAATCCCAACTGAAAACAAAACAATGATATTTCAGGAAATATTCATGAAGTTGTATCACAAATAACAATGGTAATTCTTTCTTGGGTGAGTGAATATCAAAAATATTTTCTCAATATAACTTATTTTAACAAGATATCAATTAGACATAAGTTATTATTCCAATATATTTTTCTTTTTGCTAAGTTAAAGAATACCTAAAATAAAGAATATTTCAAATATTCAGCATCATTACATGGTTATATATGTTTATATTTAGACATGTATTGCTTTTAAACTAAGATTAATATGAAGTTATTAATAATACATAATCTGTAAGTCACATATGTTCTAGAAATCAAAAGTCATCCATTTTACTGCTTCTTTGAGATAATAAGAGTTTTTCTATAATATAATAAATAGAAATCAATACTAAAATAAATTATTTTATTTTTATCTTGCTTTTTGTGTTTATTAATTCAGTGTTTACCAAAAAATTCTAGAAGAAATGTTTTATAGAGAATGTGTTGTATTTCTAGTCATTTGCAAGAACAAAAGAAAAGGGAAAAAAGAGTTAGCAGTGTAAGAAAACATAAGTATTATAAAGATTTGGGGACATTTAAATTTTTTACATTAATTATTTTGAAAAGGTATTTACTAAAGAATAACTATTCTTAAATAATAATAATTATATTTTTGCACTGGAATTTTTTTACAAAATAACTTAGATTCTGATCCTTTGAAACAAAAACATAATCATAATACATTTTTCAAAATAATACACACATACTTTCTTCATTACATGTATCCAGTATGACAATACCTGAAAATATCTGAATAACACCCTCAAAAGTATAGAAAGACAAGCTTAAATTACACAAAAGTATCCTTCAATATACCATAAGTTTTTAATTTATTCACTGCAACAAATATATTTATGTGCATTTATCAATGCCTGGCAGAAATAGTATTAACTCAGTCACATTCCAGAACAAATAAACTTTGATTTCAACAGTTCTTACAAAATATTTACATAACACATTTTCAGTTACTTATGTTGCCAACATTCATCATGCTTTTCAACGGGAGTTTTGGTTTGGTTCTGAACTGGATTAGAAGAATAAGTCTGAGAGTTAGTAATAGAATAAATCACATCGAACGTGAAAGAGAAATTTTACCAATTCTTAATGATAGTTTTATGATGTTAAAAGAGGTCAAAACCATTTTTAGTGTGATGATACTCTAACTCAGTGAAGTCCGTGAGAATAATCATCTACTTTTCTTATCTTAGGCTAAAATGAAAGTATCATTCGTAGCAAATAATTCAATCACTTACATAACTCTGCCTGTGCTTCGCCGTCGAATCTGGATGCCAAAAGGATTTTCCTTGATTTCAGCATCATAAAGTCTATTTTCATAAGTACTTGTTGGTGTAGTTGGAATGTTTAATGGTACTGGAACTTCATATCTCTTATTTTGGGGATCATAAATCTATTGCAGGAAATAATACGAACAGAAATGTTTTGCTCTAGTTTGGTGACATATTACATAAATATTAAATAATTTAAATAATAGTTAAAACAAGAATACTTAGGATTTTTGTTTATATAATTCTTAATTCTGTATCCATAGCATGCATATATATATTTCTCCATATACATACATAAATATGCAATGAGACCAAATTTCCTATTGCATTTGACCTCTTTAAAATATTTTGTAATTCATTTTTGTATATAATGAGAAATCTTCAAAATCAGGTTTTAAGGCTAAATAGTTCCACATGGGTATACGAAAGTATTTACCACTTCTGTTTAGACATAGAAGTTGTTTCAATAACTTTGTCCTATGTAGTAAATACTATTATTGACTACAATATTTACTAATGTTAATGTTAATTTATATTTATTGGTATCTTTATTTTCTCAGTTCATTTCCTAGAAATGAAGTATTAGGTCTGAGTATTATTAACATTTATAAGGCCCTTGATATCTACTTGTAAACTGTTTTCCAGAATTATTGTACTAATTAATATTTTTACCAAAATGTGTGCTCTAATGCTGTTTTACGTTACATAAGTACATTTCTTTTCTAAATTGTCTTTTATGTCCTTGATGATGAGGATGAAACTGTTTCTGCATGATTATTCATCATTTAGATTTTCCACTCTGAATTTGTCTTTTGTTCTTTTGATTTTTAGTGTATATGTAATTTTTTTTTATTTCTCAGTATTATTTCTTTTGTTACATGTCTGTTTATAATCTTAATATTTTCTTGTTTGTATGAGCTGAAACCCTTGCCTTTTATGATAAAGGTGTTAGATATTTATCCATTTATCATTTGTCTTCTGATTGTTTATAATGTTTATTAATGTTGAAATGTATAATTTCTACATAGGACATTAGATTTTTATCTATTGGATACATGACTTTGTGGTCTGAAAGAACTTTACTAGCCATATGCAAGATAAATATGCAGCTAATTTTTTTTCTGAGCTTATGTTGGCTAAATCTTAAATGTATACATTGTATCTTTATATGCTATATTAACATACATAAAACAGACTTTCAGGTAATTCTAACTGCACTTCTGTTTTAATTCTGTAAATTTTATCTATTTTTATGTACATTTTAACTATCACCATTGTCACATGTTTATTTTTTCAGAAAATGTAAAGGTTATTTTATTAAGTCTCAAAATGTATTCCACTGAGATTTCTATGGAAATTACTTAAAAGCATCAATTGAACTAAAATGAGTTACCTTTATAAAATTTAGTCTTAGAGTTTTTTAGTACTTATTTAATAGCTATCAACACATTTTAATAGCTATTTTGTACAGAGAGTCACTCCTATGATTGTTTAATATTTTTTGTTTATTTGATTATTCTTCCCATATGATTTTGCTAGTGAGATTTAACACCATTTCAGTTTCTAAATGGTGAAGGATAGTAAGCATTTAGGATAGGATAGGAAGGATAGGAAGCATTTCTGGTAAATATTATTTTATATCCAGTCATTTTGCTGATCTTATCATTTGTAACAGTTTTTTTTTGTGGATATACTTGGAGCTCTTTATTTAAAAAAAAAATCATTATGTGTAACTATTGAAATGATTATTTCTTTTACATGGCTAATTAATGGGTAAAAAATTTAGATCACTGTGCAAAAGTAATGAAAATAGTAAACATACTCTTTCACTTTTTTGTTTATTTTAATTTGATTACCAACATAATGCATTCAAAGTAATTTATCTATGTAGCATAATTTAAATATCTTTTAAGAGATTGCCACTATATGTTTAATTATTCACAAAGTTAGCAAAAATGAAAAACCTTATTTATTGTGCACCTAGCTATGAGCTTTGTAAAGGAAAAAAAGCTTCATTTGTATAAAATCAAAATGCTATCAATCCAATTAATAATCCTTAATACTGCACTAAAGATCTAAGCACCAAAAGTACTCAAAATCTCTCATCTTGACAAGTAAGTCATGCAGTGGTGTTATTTATATGAAACATACCTTAAACTGCAGCATGTCATTTTTGTGATATTTCACTTCTACACGAAGAGTCGAGATGGGTTCAGAAGGCCGATTTCTTTGAGTATTTGTACTCTTCAGCTGGAGGTCAGCTGTTACGCCCATGGAAGAATACTTAGTTGAAGTGACTAAGTAAGGGTTGTCATTTCTATGAAAGTAACAGTCAGGTGCTTGGGATCCAGAAGTCTAAAAATGCAATACATGTTTACTGTCAAAAGCTGTAAGCACTGTAATATTTGACAAAAATAAAGATAGACATGTTTAATCACATGCTGTATAATCTACAGATATTATTGTTTAATATAAAATGAAATTGCAGTCACAATGTAAAATATCTATTATGCAACCTGAGGTGCCATGTACTAAAATGTTATATATAATATTTATATTTTGCTTCTAAAGATAGACCAGTAGAGCAAAAAGATTAAATCTCTATTTTTAATTCAGAAAATATAATGATTGTATGTGTTTTTGCAAAAATTAAGTATATTACTCATAATAACTATCAATATTGGTAATGTCAACATTGTTACTTCTGTAGCTGAGATGAAAATAATCTTGCTGTGTAATTTATGGAAACAAAACCCTATAGACATAATATTCAACAGATAAGTTTTCAAAAACTTGGTTTATCTAAGTAATATCTAAGTAATTTAAGTTAAAAATGTACTTTGAATAGGTTTTATTTTATTTTTTAATACTCAGGCCTGCTCATCTCCACACATCTGTATGTTTTAGAAGTAGAAAAGTTACCACTTAGAATGTTACCTAAGTGCTATATAATATGCACATTTTTGCCCAAAATTTTGAAGGAAAAATAAGGATACCCATTATACATGGGTAGTACTAGGTACTTAAAAAACATCTTTACTTGTTTTTGATCACTTCAAAGTCCATGTTACACATAGTGTAAAAGCAACCACAGGGCACTTACTGTGATACCTAGTGGGATAACCAGCCAACTTCAACCTCTTGGTGTTTGTAAACAAGCCCTTTAAGGTCCTAATGAAGAAAGAGTGGACCTTGTGGATGCAGTCAACTGGTAATGACTTAACACCTACAGGCAGGATCAAGAAAGCATCCTTTGCCTAGGTTTGCAATTGAATCTTAAGATCATGGAACAGTGTCAAGAAGGAAGTAGTTGTGAAATCATTTAAAAATTGTGGCATCAGCAATGCTATGGGTGGAACTGAGGATGATGAAATCTACTGGGATGAGGAAAGTGACTCCTCAGAAGATTCCAGAAATGTAGAAATTGAAGAAGGCAATACTTCTGATATTGACAGTAATAAAGAGTTCTTCACCTATTATGATGTGTAAATATCACAAATTTGTTACTGGTACATAAAATTTCTTGTTCCTTTGGATCTGTTCTTGTGATTTGTAATTATGTGTTACATAAAATTTCTTGTACCATAATATGTTCAAAAATAAATGCTAAAATTCCTTTATAATACAAAACACATATCTACATATAAATAAATAATAAATAAATAAATAAATAAATAAATAAATTTAATTAAATTGAATTGAATTACAATTAAAATGAAGATTTTTTTCCTAAAAGTTTGGGACACAAACATGGGAGTGCATTATCTGAGATTTTCAGATGACAGTAAAACAATAGGACCTTTCAGAGCACATGAGATATGATGCCAGCTCCAAGCAAGCATGTGAAATTTGGTGAAGACAGGGATGATTTTGAGGAATCAGGGAGGTACTAAGAAGTTTTGGATAAGACTTTTTTCTAAGTTAACAGTAATTTAGGAAATATCAAGGATTTTATGACACTAAGCTTCAGGAAAAGTTTTCTTTTTTTTTAATGTTTGGTTTCCCACCAGATTAGGCAAACCAAGACTTCTTGCACTGAGTGACCACCACCAGAGTAACCACACAATCCAAACAGTACTTATCTTTAGCCCCTTGGTGTCTATACTTCCTTCACAAGCTTATTTCTTTTCTAAATCATCCATTTTCATGTAACATGACACCAAATTCTCTCTCTTGCTTTCTTGTACTTAACTGCAAAAACAATCCTGGGAAATCACTGTCCTCTACCTTCTCAATACCTACAATTCTCTGGTTAAATATGGCTTGAGAAAGACACATCCATCCAGATTTATATAATCATGAAAGTTAGAGTGGGTCTTAATGATGTAGTGTACTAATATATTTTCCTAGTTCATTCACTATCACACTGCCTTGGATGATATTTTCCTTTCTCCCACAACCACCAAATCTTCCCTATTCTCATTATCACCTAATGGTTTTTCTTGTTATTTCAGTATGCAAAAGAAAGCAATCAGAAAAAAAGCAGAATGAAGCACATCTACCCACCCACCTCTTCACCTCCTATCACAAGATACATGCTGCTAAGATGCACTATTTTATTTGTACACTCAATGCCATGCTCCATGCCTCCTTTCCTACAAAGACATTTCTGCAATTCTCAACTCTCTTCTGCGTCATTAATACTGCACCCATTATAGATTGTGCTCAATGGCATAAACCAATTTTATTGTTCCCATCTTCAAGAAAAAACTGCCACCTCACTAATTTCTCGAACTACTGACCCATTTTTGTATGCTTTCCTTAAAGCAAAACATAAAAAGTTTACCATACTCATCTATCTACAAGTTGTCCCTTCATTCTCACTCAAACCAGGCTTTTTTATTCCCAGAACTCTATCGATATTTCCTTTTTAAAATTGACCAAAGATGTTCATGCTGCCAAACCCAAATTTCAGTTTCTGGTTCTTATCTTATTGACTTATTAGCATAATTTGCACAGTAGATTACTTTCTCCATGGGGAAATGTCTTGTTCACTTGGCTTCTGGGAACCAACATTTTCTTTGTTTCAACTTAATTATTTTGCTATTTTTTTCTCAATCTCTTTTCTGGTTCCTAATCATTTCCTGGACTGTAAATGTGGGGCTGACTTGGGGTTAAGATTTGAACTCTTCCCTTTTTATCTAAGCTCATCCCTTTAATGATGTCACCCCGTCATATGACTTTAAACAATGTATGTACACTGACTCCAAAATTATACCCTAACTGTGATATGACATTTCTAATTTCTTTAATTCAATTATCTCTCACAACTGGAAAACCGCAGTTGGATTTCTATTAGGATTCTCACCTTAATTTGTCCAAAACATAACTTCTTCTTCAAGCTTTACCCTACCATAGTTTCCCCAATCTCTGTTAATATCAACTTAATTTTTCTAGTTGTTCAAACTAAAACTTCATTTTTTTTACTCTTGTCTTCTCTCATATTCACATTCAACAAAGAACAAACTTTTTTGGTTTTATCTTAATATATGCACAAAGGTTGATCAGTTATTACAAATTCTATCATTACCAACCTGGCTCAATCTACCAAAACTATCTTCCCCTGATTTTTGCAATAGCCTCTTTCTTGGTCTCCCTGCCTTGGTCCTCTAACAGCTTATTCTCAACACAGAAGTCATTATGCTTCTATTAAGATAGGAGCTTAATTTTCTTATTTGTCTGTTCAAAACTCATTAGTATCATTTATCTTGGAGTGAAAATCATAACTCTAAAAATAGTCTAAGTTGTTGATCTCCATTATCTGTTTCAACAAATCTGTATCATTGGCTATTCATTCTCTCACTCCTTTTGTTTCAGAACCATCGGCCCCCTTGCTGTTTGTGTACTATATCAGGTATATTCTTGCTTCAGATGCACTTCAGGTGGATGTTTCATTAAAATTATACCACTGGCATTCTTCTTTCCTTTCCTGTTTGTTTTTTTTTTTTTTTGCATAATACTTATCTAACATAATACATACTTTCCATATTGTTTGTTTCCTCTCATTAGAATATAAGCTCTATCAGGGCAGCAGGCTTTCTTTATTTTATTCACCTACAACAGTGCCTAGAATATAGTAGTTCTCAAGAAGTATTTGTTAAATGAATCAATGAATAACTATCATGATCTATAGAAACATAAGGGAATTTAGCTGTACCTTAAAATATCATATTTAATGGATTTCTGGTAGCTGATATCCTAGTGCTTAACCTTCATTTACTTGATCTAAGAATGTGTAAGGTGTTAAAATAATAATAGTTTTGGGAAAAGTACATTTTTACATATTCTTATTAGAAGTAATTTCTGCCTTAGAATCCAATCTTTAGATTTGTTTTGATAATAGAAGTGACTGTGCACTGAATGAAATGGGGATGAGTTTGAATATGAATGAAGAGCTACAATTGAAAGATAAGATATTGAAGATGAGAAAAGCACACCATAAATACAGTCTTTTATTGATTTCAGAAATCTTTTTCCTCCTCACTCTGTTCTTTAATTCTTCTATAAACTTTCTTAATGGTGAAGATTAGACGGTTTTATCAAACATTAGAGATGAATGGGGACCTTTTCTGTGGTGGGAGAGATTGGCATTTTTCCTGATATAAATGCAGATATATCTGGGAAAGTACTGGCATGTGTGTCTTGGCTATCACCAGAGATATAACACCTGATTTTAATTTCTTGATTATACAAAATAAATGTTTTTGCTGAGAAAACCTAGTGACGTGCTCAAAACACAGACTTTGAAACAAGAATAACAAAAGGAGACTGACTCTTCCTTTATCCCTTCCTGTCAAAACTTCTGCCATCAATAGCTGTCACCCTCTTGTCTAAAAGATAATCAAAATAACTGCTCAGAAATTATCACTTCTTAGTGGAATAGGCATAGCCCACCAATCAATTTCAGAAGTTTTAACTTTAGACAAGGTTTTTGAAAGACTGCTCCCTAATGGCATAATATCTTGCTTAATTAAGCTAGTCAACCACAGCTAACCAATGCACTAAATTGGTTACTTCATTAAATAAAGTAACATTATACAAAGTGCCCAAAAAGCAATTTACACTTCCATTTAGTCTGGCATTTACTAAGTTAAGTATGGGAATTAAGATAAATATAAGTTTTCTATCAGAAGTTCCAAATTCAAATTCCAAATGTTTATCTAGATGAATTTATATATTATAGAATTAAAATTATAAAATGTAAAGATTACACTGAAATGCTTATGTGAAAGCCATACAATGAATCATAATTAAAATTCATATTACCGTTTGCCATATACAACCACGGTCTTCACACCTTTTCTGGGTTGCAGGTTCTACATCTGGATAACAATCAAACTTTTCATTTTCTGAGAAAACTTGATTCCATTGAACAGTAAAGCTTTGTCCAAGGTTAAACTTGAGACTGTAGATTAAGAGGCTCTTTGAAGACAAAGAAAATGTTAAAGAATAATCCTACCATTGTACAATTGAAAAATATATAACATTTATAAAATGTGGTAACTGTAGCAATTCTTCAAATCAAGTAATAAATATTTATAATATAATGCTTAAATAATGGAATAGAAATGAGAAAATATATCATGCCACTGAAATGGCTAGAACCTCAAAACAGCAAACTATGGGAACTGTAGAACATTGATGTAATGCATTATCTTTCTTTAAGATTTTATTTATTTATTTTTTAGAGAGAAGAGAATGGAGGGAGAAAGAAAGGTAGAGAAACATCAGTGCTAGGTTGCCTCTCATGCATCTCCTACTGGAGAGCTGGCCTGCAACCCAGGCATGTGCTTTAACTGGGCATCAAACTGGGAACCCTTTGGTTCACGAGCCTGAACTCAATCCATTGAGCTACACCAGCCAGGTATTACCTTTATATCCAGGCATGAGTTCAATTCAGTTCTCAGTTCTTCCATTTAATGCTCATGAGTTTTGAAAAAAATTGTCTATCCTCAACTTCTTTTCCCTTTAAATGGGATAGTTACCTCTACTAAACAACAACCAAATATACTAGGAAGGTATGCATGATTGCTATCAATGATGAAATTAAACAGGAAGAAGTACCAAGGAGTCTTCTTCTTAAATATAAATATAAATTGAAAATATATAAATTGAAATGACCAAAGATGGACTATTGACAGCACATAGAGAAGACCAAAAAGAAATGTCGTGAAGAAAAATAATCACAAAACCAAAAGCCTGAATAGTTATGTAACATTCAATGTTAAATGTGAGAGTACACAACAGCTAAAATATTTTAAAAGATTGTATTTACCTGGTTGGAAGCATGGTAAGTGAAACTGGAGTGAGTTTGCATCGGCTTATTATTTTCCATCACTTTAACTTCTGTAACAGTGTCTGTGAGCCCAAGGATTTTAATAGTCTCAAATGCTAAAGCAGTGCCTTCTGGGTAGGATGAATGTGTGCATATGATATCTAACTTGTTCTGAAAAAGTATATAATGTTATATATTAAGTCAGTCTTGGGAAACAAAATTGAAATAACAATACAGCTGTGAAATGGGAAAATAAGCAATCATCTGTCTTTCAATTCCTGCCAGTTCTCCATATGCAAGTGGCATATGTAAATATATTCATTAGTAGCCATTTTTGATTTTTTGTACAAATGCCATAAGATTTATTACGAAGGTCACCTAAATTATTAATGATGCAACTCATGTATATCTTTTCTCTTTCTAGCCCTAACTGATGAAGAATGACTTAGCTTTGGCAAAAAAGAATATATAAAGAAACCCAACATGTACAAAAAATTGCTATCAATTATTCAAAATTTAACTTTGTTCAAAGATTTTTCATCCTCATTCCAAGTTGATGATAGTTACTGCAGTGACTGACATATTAAAACATATTCAGATAAATTGAGATTAGTTTCCTAGAGCATGTTTCTTCAACATAACTCTTAAAAAGTTCCTAAAATTTCAGTGAATCTATTTCATCATCAACTCATCTGTTACATTTTTTAAAGATCTTATGTATTTATTTTTTAGATAGAAGATGGGAGAGAGAAAGAGAGGGAGAGAAACATCAGTGTGTGGTTGCCTCTCACATGCCCCACATTAGGAACTTAGCCTGCAACCCAGGCATGTGGCCTGACTAGGAATTAAACTACCGACCCCTTGATTCTCAGGCCAGCACTCAACCACTGAGCCATGTCAGCCAGGGCTTGTTTGTTACATTTAAATATAAAAATTTAAGCTAAGATTTTTATGATTTAATAATTTAATAATTTATTTCATTTCTTTCCATTGAATCTGGAGGTAAATATCAACATATTTCAAAAAATCCATAATAAAGGTATAATCCAGACATTAATCAGATATATAACTGTGTCCAAGGTGAATGCTTACATTAGAAACGGTAAATGTGTACAAAATGTAGGCGCCAGTTTCTATGGTATCTGAAATGGAAAAAATAAAGTTACCAGATCAAAATGTAATGTTAAATTCTCTGCTCTATTTTTACAGTTATAAAGCACAAGAATTTTGAAAAAAATATTATTTAATAATAAAGCAAATTATACAGATTATCCTTTTAAATTAACTTTTTAAATTACCTCTAAATAAAATAACATTGGTAGTATATTTTCTCAGTAAGTAAGGATAACAAATACATACTTGTTTAGTTTAATTTTTCAAAGGCAGCTAAAGTATTATGGAAATTTAAAGAAAAAATATAGTAAAATATATATTATCCTATATTTATTGTTTTGAACAATATTATATCTTCCTAGTAAAGCATGCACCATTCAGTTTATTATCAGAAGATATGGCACACTTCAATTTTAGTTCACATCTTTTAACTTTTTTTCATTATTTGAAGAAAAAGTGAATCTGGGGACATGTTGAAGATTGAAATAAACTCCAATAAGGTAAAAAGAAGGCAATGATTTTGTGCACCAGAAATATAATTAAACTTCTTGTCAACATTTTTTTAAACAGAAAAAGTTAAAATTATGATGAAAATAATTTCAAAGAAACCAAGGGAACATAACAAGGGAATTCTAAGATTAATATACAATTTTCTGAAAAACATTAATTTAATTAAAATTTTCATCTTAGAAAACACAATTAGAGTCATAGCCTAAATTGAATATCATTTTATTGTTTGCATGTTTACTTACAAATAGATTATTCAAAAATTCTGATTTTATCTTTTCAAAGCAGGTAATTCTATAGATACCATATTAGTTGACTGATTAAATCACATCTTCTTTGTATTTTTAATCATCCTCTTACATAAAAGTAAATTATCAATGTCATTTTACAAGTTGAAAATGAAATATATTTGGGATATTTATATCATTAAAGATATAAGAATAACCTTAAAGTCAAGGCCCACCCCCAACCTGGGACCCAGCTCACAACCCAGGCATGTGCCCTGACTGGGAATTGAACCAGTGACCCTTCGGTTTGCAGACAGGGACTCAGTCCACTGAGTCACACCAGCCAGAGCCCACATTTTTTTATTGGTGGCTACAGATAATTTAGTTCGCTGGAATCCACATTTATGACATATTCCTATGAATAAATGCTTGGAACATCTCACTGCAGCACTCAATTTAGTGTTCTTAGTCTCTAAGGTATTTGAGAATGAATAAGAAGGTTTGTGTGCTGGAGTAGAATGAGAAAAAGGGAGCTATATAGGGGATAGTGAGAGAGAGAGACAGAGACACAGAGAGAGAGGGAAAGTATGCACACACACAAAAGTACAGTTAGTGGTGAATGCTTTAGGTCTTGGTAAAGACAGTGGCTCCTGACTGAGTCAACTAGAGAAGCATGGATAATGTTAATGGGTCTCCAACCCACAGCCTGGGATAGGTGTGAAGGCAGCCCAACACAAAGTTGTTAATTTACTTAAAACTTTTTCTTTGCTAATCAAAGAAATACACTTTGTTTGTGTATTTAATGAGTAGCCCCAGACAACTCTTCTTCCAGTGTGGCCCAGAGACACCAAAAGGTTAGACACCCTTGCCAGATGGTTTTGAGCAGAGGTGGGATGATTTGAATCATCTTTTGAAAAAATGACTCTACTTGTTGGATTGAATAAAATGTCAAAGCATTTGACAACTATAGACCTCTAAAACAATTAAATAGCTATTGTATTAACTAAAGTGAAAGATAGTGATGATGGTGGTGAACTAGATGAGAGGACCCAGATAAAGTAGAACTAAGAAAAATTCTAAGGTTGTGAGAGAGGAGTCAATTCTAGGATTCTCAGAGTTTTGTAGTGATGAAATTTGCCATCAAGTGACAAGGGGAAGACTGTTGAGTGGAGCAGATATATAGTAGCAATATACACTGGGTTGTCTCCATTTCGACAGATAAAACTTGAAAGAAAGGAATTTTCCATAGATTTCATATTTTTAAATTATAAGAGATCACACCAATAAATAGACTACATTTTGGAGTTAATTTCAAAATATTTGGATGTTTAAAATCATGGGATATTCTTTAACACATATGAGAAATAGTGAACTAAAACAGAAACAACTGTATATTTTCTAGACAATAATATTAAAAGCATACTTAACAGCTCTCCACTAAAAGAAATGGAGTACAAATATTTAACAAATATATGAGTGTAATTATAATATACTAATTATAACTGAGCAGGACGTTTTATAATTACAATGATTATTGCAAAAATTGGCTCTTCTTTATTCTCTTGGTTTACTGAAGTCTCAAGTTTGGGCTCAAGAAATAAAATTAAAGGGAATAATTAAATAAATTGTGAACAATTTATGTGGTATTATTACCACAAATAATTTTGCATTAGCTAAAACTTTAAACGTTGGTTTTCTTTTATTTTTACAGGGCCAATATTTTATTTGAAATGCCACAATCATGTAAGACCATTAAAAATATGATGCATTTTGTGCATCAGTAAATTTAACAATTTTAATAAAAGTGATAATATAATAAACTACACGTGTCAAAAGACTTTTATAAAGAACTAATACACAAAATAAGTATTGTAATTAAAATATAATTTAAATAAAAATTTAAATTTAATAAAGTAAACTGCAACCCTAAAATACATTTGACAACAGGAATTAAAAATTAAAACTTATGACATTTGTTAAATGGATGCAACTATGTATGAAGTCAAAACTTCCCATCTTCAAAATGAACATTTAAAAGCATATCCCCCTTTAGACTCACTTTTAGTTTCTCCATCATCCCAGAAAAAGTCTCCTTTTGCTTTGTTATCTTCATCTAATGCAACTATAAGTCCTAAAGGATTCTTTCGGCTGTTAAGTAAGTTTATGGGCAGATATGATTAAAATAAATTTATAATAGTAAAAGTTCCTAAAAATAGTCTAAATCAAACTAATAGATTTGTAAACATTCTGTATTCATATGAAAATATTTTAAAAGTTCATGTCCATATACATTAATAATTTTTCAATGATAAAATATTTATATGCCTAGAATATAAATGAAAGGAATACATATTATATACACAAAATTTCTTGGAGGCTAGGACACCAACAGTTTTGAAACAGAACAATAACATTTCAATTAAAATGAGAAAAAAATAAATATCTGTGAATGCACATTACATCTTGTATTTGCCACATATCAGTTAATCCTAAATTGCAGTGTATTAAGGATACATTTTATATACAAAATGATGAAACGTCAAGTATAACATTTTTAAATGTTTCATGAGATCTCTAATATTCTTAGAAATGAAGCTAATTCTATTATGAGAAATGAAATATGTGGTCACTAAATATGTTTCTTAGCTATATATTACCTTAGGTTTTTAAATCTAAAATAGTACCTCTTAAACTTTACAGTCTAAGCAATTGCTCTGTACAGAACATGCTCCTTGCTGCTCACACTCACCACAGTGTTTGTTTCTCTTGTTTAATACAGCTCTAGAGCATATCCCACTTTTTTCCCAAGAACACAGTCATGATATAGTGACAGTATTGAAGTTATCAATTTAGAATGCGAAAATAATTAAATTACGAACATACATTCATTCACCCATCAATCAATTTGATCCTTTAACAACTATTCAGAGAAAACGGAGAGCCAGCCTGTTATGACCTGGACACCGTTATTAGTCTGGGCCCCCAAGAAGTCAAAAGTCAACCCCTGCCTTCGTGGAGTTTATAGTCTGGATAAGTGAACACACTGCATTCAAGAAAAATTAAATAATATAGTTCCAGATTTTCTTAATGTTGTGAAGAAAATAAAGCGGAGTAAAGAATAGTGAGTGACTATGATGGAGTGCTGCAGAATATGTGGAAATTTGTGAATTTGTCAATATGACCCCTTCTGCACCCATGTGCCCAGAATGTATGCTGCAAGATGAAGCCCCAGAACTTTCTAGTTTCTCCTCTTTTTTCTATATATTTCTGTAATTCATTCTTATTAAATAATTTAGTTGCTATCTTGGAATTTACCTAAATAGAACTATCCACCTCATTTATCAACTTAAAGGTAAAGCATTTAAGCAGAAAAAAAAATTGTGACATTCAATTATTGACATCCAAATATTTAACAACTGACATTATTATCAACTATAGACTCTACAATTTCAATTTTATTATGAATAATAATTTTATCATTATATTTTAGTATGAATTTAACATATGTAACTTTAATTGTGCATATTCAATAAAGAATGTCAGTACATTTTTAATACAGGAAATATAATTCTAATATAGTTATGTTTATTTTTACATCAACAAATTTATATTAACATACATGGTTTGAAGCTTCTTTTTATAATCATGGTGGTTATATTTAAGAATCACTCCATATGTCAAGCATCTTCTAGTAAATAACTGAACATTAACCTTTGATCTCCAAATATGAAATATTAAAAATTATATTTCAGATTTTAGTTTATTAGTCTTTGTTTTACCTTGCAGTTGTAGTTACAGCAGGTTGTTGAGTGGGGATAATATAACCTCCTCTAAGATGTAATCCTATTTTGTCTCCAGGAAGATACATATTAACACGTTGTTTCCTCCATGGTCTTTTTGCACCCTAATATTTGGAAGTTAAGATTTTTTATTAATAGTAAAGACTTTAAACCCCATTTCCAACCATCAAAATTCATGAACTTATATAACTTTTATGAGTAATTGACATCATCCAAGTAAATATTGTTATCTAATTTAAGAAAACTCATTTTTTTTTCAGTTTGCTGAACAAATAGGGGAAATATTAGTTTATTTTCTCAAAAATTAACAGAAAAATCTATTTTCTTCTATAATTAACAATATTCTTAATTAGTCATATTTTTCTTCTTTGTTTTGTTTTATAGTTAACCATGTTTCTAAAAATAATTTTTAAAAGATTTTATTTATTTATTTTTAGAGAGGGAAGGGAGGGAGAAAGAGAAAGAGAGAGAAACATCAATGTGCGGTTGCTGGGGGTTATGGCCTGCAACCCAGGCATGTACCCTGACTGGGAATCGAACCTGCAACACTTTGGTTTGCAGCCCGTGCTCAATCCACTGAGCTATGCCAGCCAGGGCTCTTAAAAATAATTTTTTTTTAAATTTGGGTTTCTGTAAAAATAAAAGGTCTGCCTAGCAAATAGAAGTGATATGAAAAATAATGTCTGTTTAAAATAAAAACATCTTAAAATGTCTTTTGTCTCTATGCTACCTTTTTGAAGTTAAAATAAAAATCTTTCCCAGACATTTAAATGTACTGTAAGAAAACAAATGTTTAATAGTAGCTCAATACTCATTCTTCTGACAATAAGTTAAATATATAAAGTAAGAAAAATACTAAACATCACCACACCTTTCTAAAATTATTCCAGACCTTTTATTTTCACAATTTGAAAATAAATAACACTTTATGTAAAAGTATAACTTCATATTAATCATAAGCAAGATGATATACTTGCTGATTGGCAATAAAATGCACACATTTTTACACATTATTCAAATGTGTAATTATTCATTTTTTCATAATAATGACAGAAATACTGAAAATAGTGATGGTATTTGTTTGGAGTTAAGTTTCCATGTGAAGATGTTTCACAATAATACTTGTGAGTCTACTATTATATTAAGGTTACTTACAGTTTCATAATCATACCAAGTAGCATTAGGGATGTACGCACTCACTGTATCTGCTCCCTTTAATAAAGCAAGATAATTATATACATATCATATAATATATATATATATGTTCAATACTTCACAGAAAAGAATTACATCAAATATTAATTTAGGTATTCATAACAAGGGTCAAAAGCTTCTGTTACATTGTTAAAACTCCAATGTGTTCTATAAATAATAATCAAAAAGCTGTTTTACTGGTTTTAAACAATATTATAATGTAAAATATACCAAAAGCAAAGATGAAATTAATCAAAGTGGCAACTAAAATAATACATGCATGCATTTGCATTGTTATATTCTACAAGGTAATTGTGAATGGGGATACTCCTGTATATTTCCATGGGTATTAAAACATTCAAATAACAGGTAAAAATTACATAGATCATTTTACTATTGTTTCAACATTTTCATATAATCAGCTGATTCTCATGTTCCCCTTTATTTATAACTTAGAAAAATTTCAATGTCTATGTCTACTTAAATGATTTCATTATTATTACTATAAGATTAGATTTCCATTCCATAAATCACTGTTTCTTTTTCTGAAGAATATTTTAGGAAATTTTATTTTTTCTAATTATATATTACATATTAGGAAGGCATAAACCTACTTAATATTTTTGTAATTTTTCAAAAATTTCTTCCACAATCAAGAATCCACATTTATCAGGTTAAAACAAGCTTTTGAGTAACATCTATTATGAAGATGTTTTGTGATTTAGTGTAGATTTGGTAGATTTTGTTATACAACCATCCCTTGAACAGTAAATTTATTAAATTTCAAAACCTACCTGTTTTAAGACAGGGGTAATGAGTAATGAGGGGCCCCATAAGAACTGAGTATCCTCAATCCAGCTATTTGTATCATCATAAAACCTAAGAACAATGACAATGTTTACAATATGATGACAAAAAGTTTATCCACATTCCTTCTTTGGTTTATCTTTTCAATTTTTTTCTTGGAATTAATTATTAGCTTTAATTTTACTTTTATATGATAATCTGAATCTATATTTCTTACATCTTATGGTTCATCTGATGCTGGGAAGGAAGGAAAAAAGAAAGAATGAAGGAAAGAAGGAAGGAAGGACAGGAGAGAGGGAAGAAAGATGGTGCTAGAAAACAGTTCATCTGGGATTCCAAAACAATCTATTTATCATACGTGATAAAGTTACTTTTTATCTGTAATAAACAGCTATTCTGTTTAATTCATTTTCTTCTGTAAGATAGATTTACAAAGTACCAAAAATGTTTCATATCCTACTTCCTTCCCTTTACTTTTTTTTCATTGTTAATTCCCATTTTAACTTGGATTTGAAAAGGTTTTTTGTAATTTCTTGAGGAAAGGTCCTGTTTTGGTCAAGACATACAAAGACAAGCACAATTCATTATTTTTTCACTATATTATATTTGATCTATATTTAGATGAGTTTCACAATGTACTTGTATACATTATATGTTTTCAATAATTGTATATTTACTCTTGTTTACTGATATAATTTCCCTAATACACTCTCTATACCTTTCACTTTCTAAATTCTATTCATGACTCTTGTCCAATGAATCTTGTCCAATCACCAAATTAATTATATTTACTAGAGTCATTCTACAGTTCATCAAATCATTGATGTGAATGTAAAAATAATCTTGATTTATCTCCATTAATCTGTTAATATATTTAATATATATGCAATTATAATTGGAAAGATATTAAAGTTCTTGACCATAGTACTCACTCATGAAGAACTGGCCTCGCTACTGTTTCTCCAAACTTATGGGCTCTGTAAAACAGAGTATAGAGGAAAGGTAATAAAGTGTAGCGAATTTCCAAATAGTGCCTTGATGAATTAACCAAAAGAGAATTTTGTCCAAAAAATGCTGGATCTTGTTCCTATGGGATAAAAAAAAAAGAAACTGAAATGAGAAAGCTAAAATATGAATGAAAACTAAAATAGAAACATTTAATCTATTTTTTGAGATGCAAATTGTATACATTTCAGCTGGTTTATAAAAGCTGAAATTATTTCTATTTCATCATCAAAGTATATGAACTTTCTAATTTTTATGTTTTATTTGGATATTTTAATTTATTTTTTGCAGACATCGGTAGTTTATTTTTTGTTTAGTCCAAACACATTCAAAATGGAAACTGAAAGAATACTTTCCACCTGAAATAGTTACATTAGATTCTACTAGCATATAATGCTTAACACATCATAGCAATAAAGATGGTAACCCATTGTCTCCTATACCTACTAAAGCCAAGACTGTAAAGCCAATTTGGTTGCAATAATGTCATAAGAATAGAATACCACCATCAAAAAAAAAAAATCAGCAAATAACAGTAAGGGTAGATGAATATTTTTGCCCTGGTTCACTGAAAAGGGGCCAAATCTTTTATGGAACAATCATCATGTAAACTTCTCCATGAGATGTTTCACTGATGTGTTCATGGTAAGTAAAGACTGACATTCACAATATGTTTTGTTATGAGGATATTATTAAATTAACATTTATTTTGAAAATAGTTTTCTCATTTAAATACAGAGAGAATAAAAATATTTTAACAGGGAATTTTTTAAATTTTGTATTTTTCAGTTACCGTTTTTGCCATTTTCCCTGTTACTCGCCCCCGCTCTATCCACCTTCCACCTACCACATTCAATCCTCTCTCCACCCCTTGGCTTTGTTCATGGATCCTTTACACATGTTCCTTGGCGCTTGATCTTTCCCCTGCTTCTTCCCATTGTCTTCCTCCCTCTTCCCTTCTGGTCACTGTCAGTTTATTCTTTATTTCCATGTCTCTGGTTCTATTTTCTCACTTGTTTGTTTTGCTGATTAGGTTCCATTTATAGGCAAGATCATATGGTATTTGTCTTTCACTACCTGCTTATTTCACTTAACATAATGCTCTCCAGATCCATCCATGCTGTTGCAAAGGGTAAGAGTTCCTTTTTTTCTTTCTGCTGCATTAACAAGGAATTTTTCATTGATTTTTTTGTGGTAGATTGAATTAATGGCTTAAATTTTCCTCCTTCCCTGTAACCACCACACCTTGCTATGTAGCTTTGCAACCCCTATAGCTAATAGTGAAGTATAGACACTTATCCATTTTTTCACTTTATGCTCAGCTATGTAACACACTCTGGCCCATGTGACACATTCAAATTAGGGCTTAAAATGCACTTGCCTCAGGACTTGTTGCCTTGTGCCTTACCATTGCCAGTAGAAGAATAAGCCCAGGTGGTCTGTTGCCCACAGATTCAAGAAACAGAGTTGCTTGGCCAGCTTGCAGACTTGCAACTTAAAGGACAGCCTTTCTGCCAAGCCTGAGCTAGATCAGCTGACTCTCAGCCAAGATCCAGTTGTGTGAGCAAACTTGCTTATATCTCCTGCTATGGGTATCAGAATTAAATAAGAGTATTGGCTACTGCCTCCCTGGATTCACTAACATGTTTTTTAACCCTAAAGCCATATTTCCCTTTGGCTGCTTCCAGCTAATCAATTAGACTGGTGAGAATACTTTTCCAATGCTTAACTTTGCCTTGAAGACTCAAACACTAGGATGACTGCAACTTTCTTGGAATTAGCAACTGTGATTCCAAGTGTGACTCTATCAAACCTTCTTCCTTGCCTTCATCTCACCGGGTTCAGACCTAACTGAGATCGGAAGCCTCTCTTCACTTTTTCTGCTCCCTTTCCTTTATCCTACAGAAGTCCTTCACCAATAAATGTTTAATATGTTTAATTCAGCTTTGGCATCTGCTTTTTGGAGGATATAAGTAAACACAGAGTGTAATATAATTAACATCAGGATCTCCCATGAACACAAATTTCTTGAAAGCACAATTTAGATAGATTTAAGAATTTACTTATCTCCAATTAATACCTTTTACTTCTGTTCTATTATGCCTCTTTCCAGGCTAAAATCTGAAAGGTTGTCCTTCTTCTCAAACAGAATTAAAGCCCTATATGTAGCCAGTATGTGAATAGTGAACAATTTCTTAACCACTATATACAAAATTGAATTGATGGTTTACCCTAATTCCCCCATTTCCTCTGAAAAACATGTCCATGGGAGCCCAGAGCAGGAATTCTCAGGTCTGGTAGAATAGCTCAGTATGTCCCCTTGTACTAACGCTCCCACCAGTTCAGATGCCTGTGTTTAAAAGCGTTATTGTATTTTTTCCCAACCTGTCATTCCAGTTGTGTTTATTATAGAAAGACTCTGGACTCAAACTGCTTTGCAAGGGACTTTGGCTTTTTGTATTTCTTAAATTAAACAAAAACTGAAAATCTTTAGCAGTATATTATATATTTTATGAAAAAATTACCTGATGCTTGATAGAATCCAAGAATCAGGCTAAAAAATCTTTGGCTTTAATTTAAACTATTGTAATTTAACACAGTTATACATGCTTTAGTTTTAAATAAAATATTTATGTACCAATTACATTATCTTTCATGATTACCTTATTTGAACATTTTTGTACATACAAAACATTTATAGGGCTTGAGAGAAGGAACTTTAACTCATTCGCAAATTACGCTACAAAGTTTCAGACCGTATCTTCTATAGATATATATTTAAGTACTTTGTTCAAAATAGGATTATGTTTCATTTCAAAACAAGGAAAACAAGAGGCATTTACCACATATCCATCAGCATTGTGGTTTCTGGAAAATGGATAGAATGCCCCGAGTTGCATCCATCTTCTGCAGAGCTCTTCTGTGGTATCAGCCACAAATCCACAGATATCTGCTCCAATCTAAAGAACAAATAGATCTATTATCTATAATGTAAAGATTCTCACATTGTCCCAAGCATCACATTATTTGCCTCAACAGATTAATTTTCAGTACTCATAATCATTTTGTTTTACTGTCTTCATATACTCTTCTTCAATGTAGGTTATTTATTTTGTATATTTGTTACATAAATGTCTTTAATTCCATATTTTACTCTCTTTTCTTCATTCTCTTATTCAGTTATTCAGTTTTAATTTTTCAATTTCAATTTTATTTATTTTATTGTATTAAGCTTCTGTATTTTGTCCTTTGATGTAATCATTGTTAATTCAATGTATAATTACATTATTAAAATGTATTGTTCTTAACTCCAAAACATCTCCAGTAGTTTTTTTATTGCTAATATAATACTGTAGGAGTAAAGTAGCAAAAAATGTTGCCTGATAATGTACTCAAGTAAAATTGCATGTCTCTTTTTTCAAGGACTTTGAGAAAAACTATTATCCTTAATTTAGCATTTACTGTTTGCAAACATTTCCTTTTTTTCTAAGCAGTATTTATGTATCTATAAACAATATATTAGTCTTGTTTTCACAGGAATTAGTTTTATGAAAATGGTACATTCTAGGCATCCCACTGCTTTTCATTTTTTTTCCCAAAGCTTTGTTTCTGTGAGATTAAATTTTGTTAAGTGACTCTACTACTTCTCTATTGTATAATATCCCATGACTATAAACACTGATTCTATGAAATTTATATACACATTTCTTTGTGAATACTTAAGAAACTTTTTTATCATTTTATATGCATATGTATGATATTTCCTGGTTCATTGGAAATGTATGTTATTTAATCAAAACAATTGTAACCATTTATATGAATGGTGTCAGTGCATGACATTTCCCACGGCTTCATTTTCTTGCTAATTCATGACTTTTAATCTTTGCTGTCATATATATGAAATGCATATTTCACTTCAGTTTATATCTGCACTTCTCTGATTAAGTTAGTGTGGATTTCTCTTTTTATAAGATTGCCTATAAATACATTGTGCTAATTTTAAAACATTATTTGTACCTTCTGGAAACTCATAATAGGTACTTTAAATTAAATATTAATAATTTTATTGTTATGTATGTTGAAAATATAATTTCCCAGTAGGTTGGAAACTTTTTAACTTTTAAAATAGTCCTTTGATGAACAAAAATTTTCATTTCAATGTAGACAATTTATGTTTATTTTTTGCACGCTGTGTGCTCTGTTTAAGAAATTATCCTCCTACCCTCACATCACAGTTACCCACCTATATTTTCTTCTAAGATAGTTGAAGTTTTACACGCAGGTCTTAAATCACTCTGGGATTGATTTTTGTGTATGGTCTGAAACACAAACCCATTTTATTTTTATTTTGCCAATGGATAATTAACTGCCCAGAGGAATAATTGGTACTTTACTCTCTGATCTACATTGATAGTGCTATCATTTAAGAAAGTTTTATTAATGCATAGTCCTATGTCTTTTTCCATATTAATTTACTTAAAAATCTACAGTCAAGCATCATTGTTTTATATTACTTTTCATTCCATAGTGTTAATATGAACATTGCATACTTTTTTACTTGATACACATTGTCTTATGTTTAGAATTACTAAGTATGAATTTTCTCTGCTTTTAAAATTTTTAAATGGTCTCTGTCCTTATCTTTTTCAAGTAGAGAAAGAAAGGCTTTATTTTTAACACAGACTAATAATCAAAGTATTTTAATATGTTTAGCCTTTGACATTTCCTTTTATTACTAATATATTTGGGTTTTCCTCCTACTATTTTATGTGGTGCTTTTTATTTATAAGCTTTTTCTATGTTTTATTTATATTGATATTTGCTTCACAAATTACTTTGATTTGATTAAATTTTGTTTATTCAATTATCTTGATGTGATAGATATTACCCTTATTCTTATTTTTCTCATAAACTCCCTAAGAATAAATGGTGAATTTTATGTAACATACCTTTCATCATTTTTATTACTAATCATTAAGATATCACATTAAGTGTAATTAACAGCTTTCAGGAAAAACACTGTGTGAAACTGCTTACCAGAGGTATCCCAAACAAACCGAACTCCAGCATGCCTGCGATGGACCATTCCATTTGCTCCCACGAAGCAGTGTTGTCTCCCAACCAATGTGCAGCGTGCCTTCCAGACCCAGCAAAAGTTGACCGGGTGAGAATGAAGCTTCTCTTGTTAGGAAAAACTTTTTCTACAGCTCTAAAGGTAAGATCAAATTAATATGTAAGATTTATTTTAAAATAATATTGATATTTAGAAATTCCAAAAATCTTAATTTCAAATACTTATATTACAGTTCCTGGAGCCAAGCCATAGTATTTGCAGCTATGTTATCAGTGTTTTATGCCAATTTTATATTTAGCTTTCAATACTTACTTATTTAAATACATTCAGATCAAATACTGACAAAGGAAATCTTTTAAAAATCATTCAGAATATAAATGACTTCCTTTACAAAATTAAATAAATGTGTGGTCTTTTTATCTATTCCATATTCATTTTTAAAATGCATGATTTCATTCATTGAAAATTTTTAATATGAAATGTAGGAATCTGAATGTAAACGCAGTACACATTTTTGGTGGCACAATGATTCTAATTATATATTAACATCTTCATTCCCAAGTATCCATAAGTAATGTTGGGATAAAATGTAAATATTTAAGAAATATTTTATTTTGTTTCTAGAAGTTCACCCCTCACAACTACTAAGGTTATTCATCTCACTCCTATCAGTACCTGAGAATTATTTACCTTTTTTCCATAAATGAGAAATAATCATGAAAAGATATAAAAGTTTAATTCAGTATATACAATTATCCAGACTAACTTAATTATAATAGTATTTTCAACTGTTTTTTTTGTATTAGTACCTTATAATACTGATTTAAGGTGTTTTTTCCTACAATTTACTAATTTGTATAATGTAAAATGTAATGTTTCACTGAGTTTAAAAACTGAAGGAAACAAACATGGGTGCAGAAAAATATGGGTCTGAATTAAAACTAAGTTGTAGTTGCTTAATTGTATAAACATAAAAACAATATTGAAACTAGGGTCTGGTGTTATAGACCATTACTTTGTAGATCTTTATATAAAGCTTGGAAAACAGTAGGCAATAAACGCAAGATTGTCACCTTCTTTGTTTTGTATTTTGTTCTTTTTTTATTGTTGTTCAAGTACAGTTGTCTCCATTTCCCCCCCACGGGTGCCCCCCACCCCAGCCATCCCCACTTTCCCCCCTCAATTCTACCCCCTTTTGGCTTTGTCCATGTGTCTTTTATACATACATGTCCCTTGACAATTCTTTCCCCTTTTTTCCCCATTATCCCCTTCCACCTCCCCTCTGGTTACTGTCAGTTTGTTCTTAATTTCAATGTCTCTGGTTCTATTTTGCTTACTTATGAAAGACAAATACCATATGATCTTACCTGTATGTGGAACTTAATCAACAAAACAAACAAGCAAGCCAAATGCATTGTGTTCTTCTTTATATACAGGTAACACATTGCATTAGAAAATTACATTGGGAGATACTATATCAAAAATTACATTTTAGTTGAATCCCCTGTTTCTGAATAATAATTAAAGAAGATTTGTCCTAGAAGCACCATTCTTCTAGGCCAATTGTAAAGTTTATGCTTAGAACATGATTATATTCAGAGATGGAAAACCCAATCAAAATTTTGAAGAGGAATTTAAATCTATAATTTAAAAAAGAACAGTTAAATACATAGACTATCTTCTTCTTGATAACTAAGTTCCAAATGCATAAGTAATACTAAAAGAACTGATGCTTTTAATTTATTAAATTCTTATCATGAAAATGTTACCTTTCATATGCTTGCCATTTTCCAACTCTATTAGTAAATTATCTAAGATATTCTAGACAACAAATATAAAAGAATGTTCCGAATAAAATTGCACTCACTTCTCTGTGGCTATAGCCATGCTGTATCCATAGAGGCTGTGAACATCATACTGCTTTCCCCAGTGCTGCACAGCATCCATGCAAATTGTTTTGGAATACATGACTTTGTCAAGAATATCTTGGAGAAAATATATAACAAATGTTGTTTAAAGAAATTATTTGCTATTTTAAACTCTACAGCCCTGAACAGGTAGCTTAGTAGGTTAGAGCTTTGTCCTGATCCACCAAGACTACAGAATCTGTCTTCTGTCAGGGCACATACAAGAAGCAACCAATAATGTATAAATAAGTGGAACAACAAATAAGTGTATCTCTCTCTCTCTCTCTCAAATCAATACATTAAAACATTAAAGTTTACAATAAGAGATTTTTGCTATTTGAAAATGTATAATCCTTAAATGACATGTTATATAATATCATACTCAGTTAAAAAAAAACAATAAAAGATGATTATTTAAGCTAAGTTCCAACTCAGTCTCCACACCCCACTCCTGTTTATTAATTATTAGATTTGCATTTTCATTAATAAATACTCTGCTCACTAAGTCCAAAGGAAAAAATAGGGAAGGAAGCCAGGCTTTAAATCAATGATTTGGAACATAAGGAAGAAATAAACATTCAACCAGAACAAAAAGAAGAAATAAGAATTAAAAAAAAACCATAAAAACAAACAAACAAACAAAAAAGGAAAGTATAAGAAGACTTTGGGACATCTCCAAAAGTACCAACATCTGAACCATAGGGATGCCATAGGAGCAGAGGAAGAACAAGAAATTGAAAACTTATATGAAAAAATAATGAAAGTAAACTTCCCTAATTTGATGAAAGAAATAGACATACAAGTTCTGGAAGAGAAAAGAATACCAAACATTGTGGACCCAAAGAGAACCACATCGAGACACATCATAATTAAAATGCTAAAGGTTAAAGATAAAGAGAGAATCTTACAAACAGCAAGAGAAAAGCATAAAATTATCTACAAAAGATTCCCATAAGAATTAGGTGATTTCTCAAAAGAAACTTTGCTGGCAAGCAGGGACTGTCAAGAAGCATTCAAAGTGATGAAAACAAGGACCTACAACCTAGATTTATTCTATCCAGCACAGCTATCATTCAGAATGGAAGGGCAGATAAAGTGCTTCCCAGACAAGGCAAAGCCAAAGGAGTTCATCCTCACCAATGCCTTATTATGTGAAATGTTAAATGGACTTATTTAAGAAAAAGAAGATCAAAACTATGAACATTAAAATGACTACAAACTCACAACTATCAACAACTGAATCTAAAAACCAAACAAAAACAAAACCCTAAGCAAATAAGCAGAACAGGAACAGAATCATAGAAATGGAGATCATTTGGAGGGATATTAGCTGGGATGGGGAAGGAGGAGAATGGAGGGAAAGATGCAGTGATTAAGAGGAATAATTGGTAGGTACAAACTAGACAGGGGGATATCAAGAATAGTGTAGGAAATGGAGTAGCCAAAGAACTTATATGTAACCCACGGACATGAAGTAATGGGGGCATTGCTGGAGGGAAGGGGCATAGTGGGCTGAAGCGGGGTAAAAGGGGATGAATAAGAACAACTGTAATAGCATAACCAATAAAACATGCTTAAAAATATAAAAAATATGACCTAACTCTATACATGTAGACCTGTTGTGCAATTACAAATCATCCAAATCTTTGCTTTTCAGTTTTCTTATTGTGTTTTAATTTTCAGGCATATATGAAGTTGCAATAATTATTGTCATTTTTCTTCAGATGGTTGTAGCTATGTATTCTCCTAAAAGCATATCATTTTCTTTGTGTTTTTTTCTATTTTACTCACATTTAATGATACAAAAGATGTTTTTAGAATATGTGTAATGAACTATTCTTACCAAGTACATTCTAACAACTACACAGACTTACAGTAAAGTGCTCATGAAAAAAATTGGTCACTTAAATTATTATTTCAAACAAATTTTGTTTCTTTTCATTAATTATTCTATTACCAACAATTAAAATATGCCAATATGTTATATCAAAATTTATAATCTCCTTTTCTTCATCATAAATATTTTGTTCAAAAGTAAAACAAGCAGAAATATTGATTTTGGGGTTGCAAAATGCACCACACTGTGTGATTTAGAAATATATGCTAGAATTTAGCTGTCAGCAATTAGAGGTAAGTAGATAACCAAATGAAATTTACCAGGAGTAAAAGGTGGGTAATTTAGTTTGTTCTCCTTGCAACCTTTCTGTGAACCTTGAACGAAGCTCGAAACTTCATTCATGTCCTGAATGGATATAAAATAAAGAACAGCAGATTTGAAGTAATTGTGCTCTATTTGTTTGCAGTTTTTTTTTTATCTAAGACAAACATGATATTGCTTTAATCCTAGAAAACTATAAGCTACCAATCTAAAAACAAACTTGCATATCTATACTCACTGTTTGATTCTACCTTATGAACAAGCCATTATACTGAGAAAAATAATATCATTTGGTTTTACATGGATGTATAAAAATAGGTAACAGAGATATTTTAGATTCAGGGATTGTATACAAGCAAAATGTATTTCATTTACCTGGTTTTAATTATACATATAAAACATTAGATGCAAGTACTATGCAACTGTCTTTCTAAAAACTGTATCACTTTCTAATGTGAGTCTATCATTGCACATATTTTAGCACATTTATTTATTCAACAGTTTGTTCATTTCAGCTGACACATATTTAGTTTCTAAGACGTGCATCATTATAGTTTGTTCATTTCAGCTGGCATTTATCTAATTTCTAAGATGTATATGCATTGCTAGCAGCCAGGCGCAGCATTCTTCATCTAGCCCACAACTTCTACACTCCCATGAGAGAATAAAAGTGAAAAAATCAAATAGCATTTTAGTATCCTTATAAAAACAGTTATGACTTGACTAAACCCCTGGAAGAGTCTCTTGGGACCAGAGGGCAGGACAACCACAATGGGAGAACCAGTGACCTAAATATCTGTGGAGACAGAGTGGTGAGGTACTGTGCTTGCTGATTCTCTTGCCATGTAAACCTAGGCCCCAGACTTGTTTTGCCACTTACTAGTTCTGTGACTGTAACCAGTTAATTCTTTGTACTAAAAAAGATAAAAGATATAAAATCATACACCACACTATACAGGCTCAAGAAATATGTAATTCTTTTTCCTTTTCTGTTAATTTCAGTAAAGGGTAGAATTCACTTGCATTGAATTCTATACAGGGTAGGGCAAAAGTAAGTTTATAGCTGTGAGTGCACAAAACAGAGTTTATCCTTGCATCATTCATTTTTTATTAATTATTATATTATTTGTAACTGTAAACCTACTTTTGCCCCACCCTTTCCCCTTTTGAGCCTTACTTCTCACATCTCTGTTGTCTCTCTTCTTACAAAGGCATCAGGCTCAGTAGAGTCTCATGAATATTTTTCTTCAGAGAGTATGTTCTCTTCATTACTCTTCCCTTTCTTGGTCCACATCATTCCCAGATGAAATTAAAGTGAGAAAAACTGTGTTCCAAAGAACACATTTCTCATTATGGTATAGATTTTACAAAGCAAATGTTTCCATTTACCAAATATATTTTTAACAGCCACAGAGAAGGAAAATTCTGTAGTTCTTTTAAAGTATATGTTGGAGTTATTCTATTAAAGTAACCTAGACTATTATTATGTTCAATATTTTTCTATGGCAATTTAATTCACATAATTTTTCAAAGTGGTTTTAATATTAAAACTGAAAATTAAAAAAAAGTTTAGCATGAGATCTAAATTAGATATCTAGTAAATTATAAAAATATTTTTTAATTTCATTTAAAAACAAAATGTCATCTGTTAAATGACAATTATTTTACTGTGTATTCATTCCATCAGAAAGAAATAATCTGAGGCAAGTTAAGAATTAAGGAAATCACTTAGTAGTAGGATTTGGCAATTATTCCAGTAAGTGCTTTCCACTGTTTATACATAATATAATGAATTCAGTGATATTTAGTGAGGTTTGAAATCATACTAATTATCATGATGTGTTTTGTTTTATTAAGCATTAATCAAAGTGTTCCTGTATTAGCATCAAAACAACTTTTCCTTTCTCAGATGTTCTTCCTCCTCCCATCCCCTCCTTCTTTGGAGATGAATCAGGTATTTCAGTCTTGAAAGGACTTAGGAACTGGAGGATTCTCTCTTTCTACAGACCAGCCAGCATCTCTTTTACTACTCTTTAAGTGTCATTTATACTCCTAACTCCATTCTAATGGACTCCAATTGTTTCCCAAAAAAGAGAATTAAAAGGAATGAAGAAACTTCTAATTTAAATTAAATAATACAACTGAAATTAGAGCTAGAATTTAAAACAAAACTCAAGAGCAAGTATGTTTTTCTTTTTACTTCTACCCACTGCTAGGTATTATCATCATGATCTCACTGATCTCATGATCTCACTTTTTTGTTAAATAACTAAAGCCTCTTCACTTCATTCTACTACTATCATGGGAATCCTGATGATTTTGCTTAATCTTTCACTCAGTTTCATGTTGTCCACAGAAGATGTAATTCCCCAGAACATACCTGATATATTCTATTGAATTCTATTGATGGTGCAAGATAAAGACTTGTTAACTAAACAATTGTTTGAATTAATAAATACATTGATAACTAAAATAATGACCAAATTAATAATGAGCACAGAAACAAAATAGAGATATCATGGCCCTAAACAAAGAGATTATAACTAGTCCTAGGATACTCATTATCTCTCCTTTCAAAAGTCTGAACCATTGTAATAACTATGAACAAAATCCCTGATGTTTTCTTTGTTTTCAGGTTTATCAGACTACTTTTTTTCTGAAAAATGGAATTCCAGGCTCATCATGTAGTTTCGTGCACAAATGCAGTTATAATTTCCATAACAACAGATACTAAAGCATTAACTATAATCAAGTGTTATTCTATACAATAAACCTAGAAGCAGGTTATCAATAACTACAGATATAAAACTTCATCCAAGGAAACTTTTAGACATTCGTTTTTCCATTTAATAAATAGAACATTTATCTAGCATTTTATTTGTTGTTGTTGATTTTGAGATATAACACTTGAACGATTGCCAGTTTTGATTTGTTCTTTTCACTACTTACCAAAAATGTTTCTAAAGGGTTTTTCAGGTTAATAGTACTGCAATTGTTTAACTACTGTAGACTTAATAAATGTTTTTGGAGTTTTACTATTATAAGATTATCCACAAATTTTGTTAACTGACTTTCAACTATAAATTATTAACCATAAAGATACAACACCTTAGTAACAGAAATGAAATTATTATATAAAGGGTATTACTAAAAGTGAAAAATATCAATTTACAGCTTTTAGTTTTTATTTTTGTCTAACCCATAAACATGACAGGTATGATATTTGTACATCTAGAAAAATAATATAAAATACTTTAATGTTATGTTGATAAAATGCAAAATATATCTTGTCAACTGAATAATTCTTTAGTTGAAAATATTTCAGTTTTATTGCCCCAAATTGCTGCTTTAGAATAGCTACTTACAATCCAAAGTCCATCATATTTTATTTCTTGATGGAAAATGCTGCATTCATTTGCCCACCACTCTATGCAGTTTGGATTAGTGAAATCAGGGTATACTGATAATCCTGGCCACACCTGGAAGAATGGATCATTCACATACTTACATAAATTTTAAAAACAAGTATATTATAATTCAAAATAACTGAGTAGAGAAGAATTATTAGAGTTATAATGTTGTAACTCTTTAGGCATATGGAATCCATACACCATTCATGCTTACAATAATCCCAGGCCTACTTTAAAATGCATTTAAGAGAGAGTAGTTAAAGTGAAGAAGTAGAATGAGAACATGAAGCATTTATGATGGGAAAAATAGAAGTACATGGGGTGAGTCTGTTGTTTTGACTACAAATTAATTTAATTATTAGCATCCTACTAGGTTTGGTTAAAAAAATATAATATATTCATTGTCTGGTAATAGAAAGTACATTACTAGTTCATTTTCAAAGGCAACTACTTCTTAATAATTCAAATGAAAAAATGTATATATGGTCTAACAAATGCAGGTATGATACATATGTGCTGAGCAATGTTTCAAGCATCTTAATACTATTAGTCCATTTATTCTTCACTAGGGATTTAAGAATATAAGGTACTATTTTTATCATCATTTTAAAGATGATGTAGGCAATAAAATTAAACCCTTTTTACAGGTAAGAAAAATGATAAACAGAGAAGTTAAGTAAGTTGTTCAAAGTCAAATGCTAATGAGTGTCAGAGAAGAAATTGAAAACCAGGTACACTCTAATCAGAGCCATGCTAATAAAGTCTACACAAATTATGCTGCCTCTTTATGATTGGTGTTTCTTTAAATTATTTTACTCAACACTTAAAATAACATTAGACAAGGTAAATTCAATTTCAAATAAATTAAGAGATATAGTATTGTTTTATATCCAAATCATTTGTATTGGTTATCTATCTGTCCCTATCTGACAGAGCAGGTCTTAACAAAATGTATTCTGTGAGTTCTTACTAGGTTTTATAAGTAAGAAATTCACCTCTCTCAAAATCATTTTTTTTGCCTATAAATTAAGAATTTTAATCATGGTTATCACATTATTTTACTGTGAGGATTAAATGTAAAGCATAAAATAATGCACACCATATCAGTACTCAATTTGTAGAGGCATTATTTTATAGGAGGGGAAATTCTGCTTTGTTTTCTGGTAGAGCTCATAATTAAAGAGCACTTTCAACAGAAATTTTAACTTTGGTAAATGAGATACAAAGTGATAGGATATTCATCAATATTTTAAATAATGCTATAATAAACATGTTTTTATAAATTTATGTCTTCTCCTGTTTTATTCTTTTAACTAAAATACAGAAATGTATTCACAAAGGAATACATTTGGAATGTATTCACAAATGGAATCACAAAGTCAATGTGTTAGACTAGACATTATAGGTTTTGATAGGTCTTAAACAATTGTCTCCAAAAGAATATTTATCCTGGTTAAGATTTTGCATTTTAGAGCTAAGCAGTTTCCTGACTCTGCTCTTATTAGCTCTTGATATTAGGAAAGTTACTTCATATCTTCTAAATTCACCCTCGCATCTATAAATTAAGAACTTCGATCATAACTATCACATTATTTATTGTGAGGATTAAATACAAACTATAAAACTTATTACACAGCAAATAAATACTCAAACTATAATATATTATTTATATAAAATTATCAGAATTGTATAATCTAAATTAATTATATTTTGTTGTCTTTAGTTTTAATTGTATATCACACTAAAAATGATCTGTCTTGTTATAAAAACTGTTTTAGAGATAATTGAACAATTTCTTCTTCCTAACATTTTTCTACTACACAAATAAAATATCAAACCTAGTTTTGAATGTGAATACATGCACACAAAATTTTGTCACTGAACAATAGAATAGCTGAGCAACACAACATCAACAGTTATTATAATGTACCTCTCCAACAATTGCTGTAGTCCCATCTGACTCATTTACCCACACCTTCTGTGCTTTTCCCCTCTCATAGGTGCCATATGGTGTTCCATCTGCACGATTACTTATGGAAATGCCAGGGTCCTAATAACAGAAGAATTAGAAAAATCACCAAGAGCAAAGGTGTGTCATTAGAAACCAAGGCTAAGGTCATTTATACCCTCATTTTCCCAATTACTACATATGTATGTAAAAGTTGGACAATGAAGAAGACTAACAGGAAAAAAATGACTCATCTGAAATATGGTGCTGGAGGAGAGCTCTAAAGATATCCCGGGTCACCAGAAATATGAACAAGTGGGTCATAGAGTGAATTAAGACTGAAACATTGCTGATGACAAAAATGGCAAGACCAAAGCTGGCCTACTGCTGGCACATCATGAGAAGGCAGAGTTCTTTGTGAAGGACAATAATGTTGGAAGAGTTAGAAGACAGCAGGAAAAAAGGAAGTCCAAAGATGAAATGGCTTGACCCCATAAAAGAAGCTACAGGCATGATAGTTAGTAATCAGAGCTGACTCAATGGCACATTACAGACACAACAGAGAAATAGAAACTATAGAAAATCTATTAACTGACAAAAGTATAAATATTAAAATTGTATTAATATAAAATCTGTCATTACCAAAATGATGACATATTTCTGTCCATGATTATGCAAGTCTTGAACAAACTCAGGGAGACCATTGAAAGTAACTTTATCATAAGTAAAGTCTTTCTTGTCTTCCATATAGTCAATATCGGTGACCTGTGTGTCCTAAAAACAAGCAGAGTGTATATTAACAAATAGTACTGAAATAACTCTCTAATCACTTCAACTTTTAAGCCCCCAAATTTTGTAATATGCATATAATTATTAAAAATAAATAAACTTAGATTGCTTTAATTTCACTAAAGAGTACTGAAGTTTTTTTTTTTTTTTTTAAATAGCTTTTCTAGCCCTGGCTGGCGTAGCTCAGTGGATTGAGCACAGGCTTCGAACCAAAGTGTTGCAGGTTTGATTCCCAGTCAGGGTACATGCCTGGGTTGCAGGCCATGACCCCCAGCAACTGTATATTGATGTTTCTCTCTCTCTCTCTTTCTCCCTCCCTTCCCTCTCTAAAAATAAATAAATAAAATCTTTTAAAAAAACACAAAAAACTAGCTTTTCTAATTCTAAAGTATAAAAGCATTATTATTCTTCACATTTGTTTCAGTGATGATAATAGGATATGTATTATGATATAATGTGATTAATTGTATAGAAAATAAAACCTACATGTTAAATAATGTATTAAATTTTTATTCTATTACAAAGTATATATACTTTAAAAATAAAGTTTACTAAAAAACTATGATTTTGTACACAGTTAAACATGCATTCAGTCATAGTGTAACTCATAATAAGTTCTCAAAACTTCACATTGATCTGGACATTATATGTGATAATAAATGTACTTTATCATTAAAAGACAGGTTAAATATTATTAGAAATAATATATATATATATATTATATATATATTATATATATATACTAATTCTAACAGTTTCCCACACTTATTATTATGTGACAATATTTAACATGGTACCCCTTCCCACAAACCCTGTATCCCACTTACAAATGGTATGCCAGCTTCCCGATTTCTTTTCACCACTTCTTTCACTGCATCAAGTGATTTATAATTCCAGCGACTCAGTTGAAATCCAAGACTCCAATAAGCTGGCATTGCTGGTCGTCCAATGAGCTTAAAGTAAATGGATTATAATTAGTTTCAATAAGGAGCATCACAACTTAGTATTAATATGCTTCTTATTCTATTATATTTCTAGCATTCATCTAACTACATATTTCAAATAAATATTTAGTGTCACTTGCATTTTCAAATGTGTCCAAGATAGTCTGTTAGAATTCTGTTCTTAAAAACTTAAAACATTTATGCTTTGTCATTTTTCCATTTGTATTTGGTTGAAAAATTAGAAAGTTAGCACTTAAGTAACTTTGCAAAGGCCTATGATGAACAACATGTAAAAGGAGAATAAATGAATAGAATCAAAGAGATCAGAGAAAAAGGAAATTGACCTCACATCCACTTCCATTAACTATGAAATGAATGAATGAATGAATGATCTTGTAAGAAAAGAACGTGTTTAAAAATATACAATTTTGCTCTGACTGGTGTGGCTCAGTGGGTTGGGTGTTGTCACGCAAACAGAAAGATCACTAGGTCCATTCCCGGTCAGGGCACACGCCTTGGGTGGTGGGCCAAGTGCCCAGTTGGGAGCATGTGAGAAGCAACTAGTCAATGTTTCTCTCACATATGGATTTTTATCTGCCTCTTTCTCCCTTCCTTCCCATCTCTCTAAAAATAAATAAAATAAAATCTTTCAAAATGTATACAAGTTCTATTCCCTTACATTTTCAAAAATACTAATAAAATATGTGTCATGCAAGGCTCCCACTCAGTTATTTTATAAGGTACTTGTCTCATCTCATTCACTCTTAGGCCATGGCTTCTTCTCCCCTGAGGACCAAATGGATTCTCTCCTTCCATTGCCTCTGTGGCCCAAGTAGGCCTGGTGTATGATTAAAACAGAGCACCAGTGTCTCATCACAGTAACAGGGACCATGGTTTTGCACGTGGAAATATGGGTGAGCTAATATTACTTTTTCACTGAAAAGTGACTATTGGTTTACTTTAAGACAGACAATCTTACTTAGCATGATGGTTTAGGTTTGCTTGTGTGTATATCCATGATTATTATTTATATTTAATACTACTGTGTAAAAATTAAAAGGAAACATTAATATTGGGATATTGTATTCTACTCAATGTAAGCATTAAACTTATTTTTAAAATAACTTATCAAATAAAACTTTTAAGAACTCAATATTTTAAAACTCCTTTATAAATATCTTAATGTTCCACAAAATGTATGTAAAGATTTGGACATGTGATTAAATTTTCATTGTGGGTTGTTCTATGTATTATTTATGTAACATAACATATTTCATAAAAGCACATAGAATATTTATTAGTATATATTATAGAATAATAGGTTAGGTTGCACAGAGAAGAGACTTAGTTTTCTTTCAAACAATAAACTAAATTTCTATTATTTACTCTCCACATAATTTGGGCCTCATTTGAATGCAGCAGTGTTTAATAGTGCTCCATTATAGACCAGTCTTTTATGTCACTGCTTAAATTCAAGCCTCTGCAACTCTACCCATAAAATTATGTAAGCCAGTGCATCACCACATGTATGCTGCATTCACATGTGAAGCATGACTCAATCTCAACTACTGCTCTAATCAACATGTAATAGTCAACTCTCCCAATCAATATTTCAAAAATGACATGTGAAATCCCTTAAAAATGTGCTGCCCCCTGGTTTGATGATGTGCTAGCTTTACACAAATCTGTATGTAGGCAAGCCTGACACTGTCATTATGATTTCATATAACAGAGACTGAAACTTTTGTGTTCTTTCTGAAATTTGCATTTATCAACAGCAATTTGGGAATTGGTAGACATTATAAATTACCCAAGTGTGTATAATCATAGGTACTCTCATTTTAGGCTTTTGGAACATAATTGAAGACAGTTTTCGAGAGTAATTATTCCCTCTGAGATTATTTTAGGAAATGGGAATTATATGTCAAAATATAATCAATAAAAAAGATTTTTAAAACAAGCATGATCCTTAAAGTTAATACCAATAAAATGATTTCTTTTTCCATGATTACACCAGAAATTATTATATATGCCACAGGAGAACAATGATATGGAAGACACTTTGAAAATCAGGCTTAAGGTAAGCCCTGATTTTTAATCTCCCTAAGGTCCATCTTGGGCTCAGGTAAACTAGAATGTTATATAATAGGTAAGTGAGAGTTGCTTAGACAGTACTCTTAAGATGTAAGACTTCAGACTGTGATTCCAAATCTGCCTTTCTAAATACATCTAAGTATCAGAGCCAGTTTTCCTGGAGTTTACCTACTGTCCATCAACAAGTTCCACTGGTCTTTCTCATAACTAAGCTGCCTCTAGGATTTTTATTACAAGGACGCTCAACCCATACATCCATTGCCCATCCTGAAGCTTGAAGATACTTCCTTACAAAGAAATTCAACTCCTGAACTCAATGGCCTAATAATTTTAAATCAGAAATTCAGACATTTAAATATACATAGGCTTCACTGTATAGAAAATAAAAACAAAAATATAAACCACCAACTCAGACATGAAAAATGGTAAGATTTAAAAATATATTTGGCTATCGGGCCCCAGATATCTTAAATAGTGTCACTTAAATATGTAGACATGTTAGATACAATATATAGCAGAAAACAATTCTGTAATATGGACATGAAGCACACCTCTTGATACTGTTGAACTACTTGTTCTGGTGTGTCGCCTAGAAAGATGTAAAAGTCCAGAATGCCACCAGTAACTCTGTAAGTTATGATAGGAGTAGGCTGGATGAAAACCTCTGCAAAATAAAAATTGAAAAAGCATATGTAAATAGTGAAAAAGGTACACAGTGATAAAATAATTATAGTATCTATTTATATTAACCACATAATTTTACACTGTGTTTTAAATAATTATGAGGAAACAAGATATTGAAGATAGGAAGAATACAGGGGAAAAATAGAATGCCAACAAGTGTGAGATTTATGATAGGACATCTTTCAAAACTTCAAGATGTTTCCCTGGCAAATACTAGAAAAAACTTTCCTAGAAATTGCATAGTAAGTGATAGAGAACCAGTCATTTTACAAAACAAAATATTTATTTCTAAAATTGTGTATCAATTAGTTATTTTAAAATGAAGATTCTCTGAAAGGTCATGTTATTACAAGTTAATTTCTAAGAAAAACCATGTAAAATTTGATATTTCTATATGTAAAACAAACTAATTGTCTGGAAAACCATATAACTACTGTTCTTACTGAAAAATTATTAATTTTTGCAGCTTTTTATTTTACCAATTCACCTCTTAAATATATATATTGTACTTACAACATTAAAATCAAAAGATCCTACATTTTTATGAATTATGATAAACTAAAAAAAAAGTCTTTTTTCTTTCTCTCCCCATATAGACCTTTCTCTTTTTTATTTGTGGTACATGCTAACATCTTAGCAAATGAGGTTGAGGAAAGGGGAGTGTTCCTTGGCATATCTATGCCAGGATTTCAATGTCACTCTGAACAGAAAGGAAAGTGCCTGAAACTCACAACACAGCAAAATAGAGCACTGACATGCAAAACTTCGTTGTCTCACTAACTACAAACTTACTTATAATTCCACATACTAAATCACTAACAATAACGTTTGCTCTGATATACAATATCTATGATTGGAATAAAGAGCATAGCTAAAATATTTCAAGTTAAATTTCATTTAAACATATTAACAGATAAAGTACTCTTACCCATTGCATTGCTGTTCATTAGGAAAACACCAAATGACTTTCCAGAAGTATCTTCAATGCACATGAAGAATGTGTGATGGCCATATAAATTATTATTATTCTATAAGACAAAAGTTGGAAATTAAATTTTAAGTATATTTACTATATAAAGAGTATTATTCAAAATGGCTTTTATAAATTTCAAGTTGTTTCTATAACTTACCTCTCATATCTCTAGGTTAATTTTATTAACCTAGTTTTGTTCATATGGCAGACAGTGTGTGAATAAAACTTTATAGCACAAAAAACATCAAACTGATTTTAGTTATTAATATATTAAGATAAAATACATAATATGTTACAATATTAATAGATTACTTAACTTTCTTTTGTGTTTTATTATGATTAAATGAGCTTTAAGAAGCTATTCATGACATGGTGTTGACATGTTTATCCATTATGTCCATGTATTCCCAAGGAACTGCAGAGAATGCCCAGATTATGTCCACCCTCACAGAACTTTTGCAGCACATTTGATGAGAAGTGATAAGTGTGTAAAATGAAGGAGGCAAATTGGTAATATACTTATAAGGTGAAGGAAATAAGACTGCTCAAATATATTTAAAATAGCTACAAGGTCATCAGCCAGGAGTTTATTAGGTGTTTATTACTGATAGTGATACTATAGAATTTATTGGTAAAATTCATTAGTGGTTCTGTATCAAATGAGATTTTTTAAAACAAATGTACTTATTCATTTTGGGGAATAAAATATTAGCATCAGCATTTTAAAAGTTGGTAAAATTTGACTCAAAGCAATCATAAATTAATAAATGTATAAACGGCCCTGGCTGGTGTGGCTCAGTGTATTGAGTGCCAGCCTGCAAACCAAAGGGTCGCTGGTTGGATTTCTAGTCAGGGCACATGCCTGGGTTGTGGGTCAGGTTCCCGGTAGGGGGTGCGTGAGAGGAAACCACACACTGATGCTTCTCTCTCTCTCTTCCTCCCTCCCTTTCCCTCTGTCTAAAAGTAAATAAATAAAATCTTTAGGAAAGAGAAAGTATATACACAAATAATACACTGTGATGATTTCTATATTAAAATATGAATAAAGGGTTAAAAAGTAAATATTAATTCTGCATAAAAAAGATTTTGGGAGAAATTCTTATGCAGTGAAACTTAAAATGAGTTCTCAATGACATTGTATACATTATAAAGAACTTCAAGTTTCAGTATTTACAAAGAGAACAACTTTTCTGTGCAAATATGTGAATTTATAGAAGATTATCATAGGTTATAGAAGAGGAAGAAGTAGACATATGATGTCCAGTAGATAAACAGCCACTATATTACAATATACCCAATATAACCCAATATAACGTAAGAGTTTGGATTTATTCTAATGAAATGACTAGCCATGGGTAGTTTTAAATACAAGTGTGACTGAAAAGGAAATGATAAAGTATGAAAATTGAAAGAGAACATTCATAAACTGGAAATAACTATTAAGCACACATAAAAATATACTGTTTGCTTATTGATGTAATTTATGACTTTGTTATCAATCCTTACTCTTACAGTAAAAAACTTCTGAATTAAGTAACACTGGAGAATTTCAAATAGGCTAAAAACACCATCTGCTCCAGTATAATGATATTATTTATAACAAGAAAGATCGTTCCTTACATCACCAGGAAGTTGATCTCGGGTAAAAATTGGCCATGTTTTCCAATATAAATCATGACGAAATCTCTTATGAATGTGTTCTCCAAAACCATAAATATATTCACTAGGAAGTTTGGTTGAGATCTGTAAATACTGATCAGAGTATACCAAAGGACCAATGCTGGTGTCAAACCTGTACCATAAAAGAGATATAAAAAATGTTAAAGTGAAGGAATTATCCAAATAATATATATTCATAACCCATAGACACAGTCAACAGTGTGGTGATGGCCAGAGGGAAGAAGGATGGGGGCTGGGGGGAGGTGGGCAAAGGGGAGGAAATGGGGACATCTATAAGAGTATAAACTAAAAATAAAATAATTCTACTAAATATGGGTCCATACTATTTCATTGTAAATATGTCACTCTTTAGCTGTGATCATTTCTTAAGAACACATGCATTACATCATAACCAGAGCTTGTTAATTCCATCAACACAATGTGCTTCATCATCACCAATATACTCCTTCCTTAAAGAACAGTACCTTTATCAATCCCACTTGATAAATATCAGAAATTGGGGAAATTAATTCATGTTTTCCCAGGGGACGAACTGGTGGGCAGCAGAGTCAGATTTCAAACCCAGTTCTGCCTTTCTGCAGGGACAGTGTTTTAAAATGAAGTCTTATTCTGACTCTCACTTCTGACCTATATACTAAAATTAAGCTCAAAATTATTTTTTAAAAAAGAATAAAGGTTGTTTGTTTTATGCACATCAAATATATACTATGAAACATGTGAAAAACATTTAGTGTTTTTGTGATTTTACATAAAATAATTGCAAACTATTAAAATATATTTAAGAAAAGTAAATGCAAAAATTTGATCTTGACTGCTTAATTAACCTTTCTTGGAAATGCAAGATAATTCATCTTGAAAACTGCTAACTTCTTTGTCACTTATATTCCTCATACTACATTTATAAGTTAGACAATAAATGTTCCATTTAATTTAATATATATATATATATATTAAAAGTCTTTTAACATTACTATCAAAATTATCCCCTCTCTGAGTAGTAACTATTTCATCCTACAAATTGATAACAGAGTATGGCAAATAACAGGGAAAGGTCACAATAGGGGCCCTAAGTATGGGAAAATATAGCCAGGCTAACATTGAGTCACTGATACTCTCCACCTTTGGCTTTGGTTGGCCCATTCTTGCACCTTTCATCCACAGGAAATAAACCCCCTGTATTATTATATCTTTACAAAGATATACACCCGTCCTTTTTTGGAAGGAAAAACTATTCTTCCTGAAAGTGATTTAATATTTTCCTAATTCTAACATAGGATAAAGTTGAATAGTTGTTTAAAGTTATGTAAATATAAAGTAATTACTTACAAAATTCTGTTATTACTTTTTCTAGTGACTTTGATGCTAAATGGATTTTCTGTAACCTGCACATCATACAATGTATTAGAAGCTGCACTTCCATTAAATTCTTGTGCAAACTGATGAGGAACTTCATATCTTCTATTATTTGGATCAGTGATCTACAAAGATTTAAACAAATTAGTATTATTTGATTCAAAACTCTTAATTTTCTAATTCATGATTAAATATTGAAAGCAAGTTCCAAATAGAAAGCAATAAATTTAATAATTTATAGATGAGCTATTAATCTAGCCATAAACTTAATTTCAATATTATTGAATAGCTACATACAAAATTTATTGTATAGATTGATAAGGAATAAGCTGAATTTGTTGGTTACAAAAGTAGTGTATACAAAACAAATATTTTTATTGACTAATAAAAATCAATGATAGCATTATGAAATACTTATTTTTGAATACTAGATTTTTGTGAATTCAGTTATCCTTGTTGCTTTTTGATGTTTATCCCTTCAACATTCCATACAGATTTTAAATTCTGTTTAAAAAATTTCTTAATTTTTGTGAAATTTTTGCTAAAAAGGTAATATGCAAAGGATATGGTGCTCTTTTTACTTCCAAATCTAAAAGAATGTACTTGCTTAAAAAATACCACAAAATTTAGTTTCTTTAAAATTACAAATGAAATGATACCAATAAAAAATTAAGGAGTGTAAGTCACATTTATGTGGCACATTTAAACCTTTTCTGAAATTAAATTTTAAATGAATCCTTAGTAATAGTCTGTAATTAAAATAATTTTATCAAATATTTTCCATTGATTACATTATTACATTTTCCCAAAATAACTTCCTGAGAAATTATTTATGTCACATTTGAATAAACAAGCTCAGAGAAGTCAAGTATTCCAACTAGTTCTTTACTATAGAATACATATTTCTTGAGAGAGCAGGTGTCTTGGTAGGTTAAGGGGTAGGCTTATAACATGACTTTCATTATTAACTTTGTTTTAGAAATCTCAAAAATCAAACCTTGAACCGGAAACGATTGGGTGTCTGACTTTGAGTTGTGAGGAGAACACTGTTAATGTCATTTCCAAACAGTGTAGGGGAAGATATCCTGTTTAATTTGGCTTCAAGTCCTTAAAGAAATAAAAAACTTGTTACAAGTCATACTTTTATTTATAAAGATTAATAATTATTAAATGCTTTCTTATTTTTATAAAGTTATAGACTTGATCACAAATATCACTTTTTCAATATAGAAGGTACATAAAAATACATTCTTAATATAATTAATTTTTATTTATTTTTAATATATTAATTATTTTGCTTGAGATAGTATGAATGCAGCTCAGGCATAACCATATCCAACTATTTTTAACGACTTCAAAACAAAATAAGTCCACATCAACCTCACCATCCCTACCTAATAGTGATGATGTAGACTGACTCTTTAAAAACACCGAAATTTGCCCTGGCCAGTGTGGCTCAGTTGGAGCATCACCCCATGGACAGAAGGCATGTTTGATTTCTGGTCAGGGCACATGCCTGGGCTGAGGGTTCAGCCCAGATGAGGTACGTCCCAGAAGGCAACCAACCGATATGTCTCTCTCACATGAGGTTTCTCTCCCCCTCCTTCTCACTCCTTTCTTCTCTCTCAAAAATCACTGGGCATGTCTCCAGGTAAATAATATTAAAAAAAAAAACAAAATTTTACTCATTGCTGCCAGACTAGAATATACTTCACAAGTCCTTAAAATTTAGGGCCAAAAATTCTTACATTTTTGAAAAATAGGAAAACTTATTCTGGAAAGCATAGTAAAATACAATATGTCTCATTTTTTGATTAGCTAATACTTTTAATATTTCCTTATGATATTGCAGTTGTCCCAATTTAATGTAGCCAATGTAAACATTTTTGTATACATCCTTTCCATTCAATTATATTTAAGATATTTTCCAAAGAAAATTTTAAAATGTATTTTGATTCCTCCTCAAATATATTATATTGGATCACCACGACAGAACAATTCTCACCAGCATTTGTTGTTTTAATCTCCTCTGCATTATAGCCATGGTTATTTACAAAGAAGCACCAAGGTGTAACTGAGTCATTCCATGGTCTCCAGCAGCAACCTCGCAGTGCACAAGTGGCCTGATAAAACATTTATTAAAGGAATTATGTGACCGGTATTGTTAGCATTTTTGTCAGCCTCTATTTTTTTACACACTCATTCACTCAGCCAAATGTTTGAATAAATGTTTGAAAAACTTGTGGAGTCTAATGAACAAAATAAACTGACGTACAAAATAGAAAGAGAGGCATGGACACAACGAACAGACAGATGTCAGAGCGTAGAGGGGTGGAACTGGATGAAAGAAGGTGAAGGGATTAGACAAAGAACATAATGTACATAACCCATAGACACGGACAGCACAGTGGTGAAGGCCAGAAGGAAGCAGGGTGCAGGCTGGGTGGAGGTGGGCAAAGACAGGGAAAATGGGGACATCTATAAGAGTGTCAACAATAGAAATGCAGTTTAAAAACAAGTGTATTTGTATATATGTTAAAATATCACTTATTTTTTGTTTCTTCCACTTGGAAGAAATATAAATATTCTATCAATTCAATTAATTAAACAGTATCAGAGATCAATGCTCTGAGTTGTGTTTAATTTATATACCAGTGCACATTTTTGTAAGCTTATATATTTTTAAGGTTGCTGACCTCTGGGTAATTACAATACATTCTGCTGTCGTACAGTTAATACACAAGAACTAAGATATTTATTATATGTACTAGTTATGTATCAAGATGCAAGCAAGGCTATAAAGATGAAGATATGGCCGTAAATGCAAGACTACATAATATGTGTAAGGTATTTATTTTCAGCCAATTGTCAGTTCAAAATTTACTTAAACCTTTTAAACTAGTTTATGTGCCAGGTGTTGCAAATAGTTGATACCATTACTATATTCAATGAATAAAGCAAAATACTGTATTATCAGTGATTTTATTATCTATATGGAAAAAACGTGTGGACTAGAGGAGAAAATTACATATAGCTTATATAAAAAGTTGAGTGACATAGTGATGTTATATATGTATGAACAATAGTGTCATTAAATTCTACTTAATATTTAAATGGAATAGTGTGGTACACTTTCATAATTTGAACACCTACGATTTTTGCTTTCTTGGCTGTTTGTCTTGAAAAAAGTTAAAACCTCTACTTTTAGTAACTGAAGTAACACGTGTGAGCTTCTCTCCTTTTTCTAGCATCAAATTAAAATGTCATCAGAAACAAATACATGTGCACCCACCCAAAAACACAAACATACATGCATGTACATTGCAGATAAGAATACAATTAAATGTGGCCATTTTTTAGGGTAATTACTTATCAGGCTCTAACATCCACATAAATTTTTTTCTTAGAGATGGGAGGGAGGGAGGAAAGAGAGGGAGAGAAACATCAATGTGCCATTGCTTCTTGAGCATGCCTTACTGGGGACTCCTGGACTGCAACCCAGGCATGTGCCCTGACTGGGAATCCCACCAGTGACCCTTTGGCTTGCAGGCCAGCACTCAATCCACCAAGCCACACAGCCAGGACTCTACATGTAACTTTTGATCTGGCAATTTTATTTCTAATTATCTAACTTATAGAAATACTCCAGACAATACAAAAAGATAATTGTATAATATGGTCATTTGTAGCCCTGGCTGGTGTGGCTCAGTGAATTGAGTGCAAGCCTACAAACTGATGGGCTGCTGGTTGGATTCTCAGTTAGGGCACATGCCTGAGTTGTGGTCCATGTCCACAGTGCAGGGCACACAAGAGGCAACTGCACATTGATGTTTCTCTGCCTTTCTCCCTCCCATCCCCTTTCTCTAAAAATAAATAATTTTTTTAATAAAATCATAACTTGCAATTGTCTGTATAACATGTTTTTTTTTAATGTTGGTACAAAATGAGAGGTAGAACTAGACACAGATAGACTAATTTAGAAAGATGTAAAGTTTTAAAAACAAAAGACAATAAATAAATTATAATCATGCCTTGCTAAAATTTCAAAAAAAGTACTCAGTAAAATTAAATTACATGGAGTTCCTCAAAACATACTGTATGAGTTTCCTCCAGCTGTTGTGGCACCCATGAGCAGGGCAGTTGGAGTCAGAAATTTATTCTCTCACAGTTCCAGAGTCAAGGAGTCCTAATGCGAAGTGTTAGCAGAATCAGGCTCCTGTCAAGGCCACAGGCAATAATTCTTCCTTGCCTGTTCCTAGCTTCTGGTTTCTCCGGGCAACCCTCAGTATCCCTTGTTTTGAAGCTACATTATTCCAATCTCTACTTCCATCTTCACATGGTTTTCTTCCCTGTGGTTCTCTGCCTGTCTTCCCTTCTCTTATACTGACTCCAGTCGTTGGACTTAGGGACCACCTTAATCCAGTATGACCTCATTTAACTACGTACATATGCAAATATCTTATTTCCAAATAAGATCACATGTGAGGCTCCAACTAGATGTACATTTTTGTAGGACATCATTCAGCATACTATATACATACAGCAAAATATTAATTTAGAAATGTATGTGTCCTCCATGGCTCTTAATATATTAAATTTTGAGTACTTTTGTATAGATTTTGGTACTTGTTATTTATGTTTATGGTTCTGCCTATTTTTTAGGATTTCAGGCATTTTTTCCCATTATTTTTAATTCCTAATCTAACTTCACTTTTATTTCTGCTTCATTTGAAAAAAACAAAATATTGAAACATTAAATATTCACCAATAGGCACAAATTTTAGTAGGTAAATATAAAATAAATTTATGTTCTTATTTTTATTTTATGTGTACCTAAGTGCATATATAGAATTATTATGTAATTATATATAGCAGGTTGCCTCTGTGTTTTGAATTGAAATGTGTCCCTCACACTTCTTTTATAGGAAGCCCTAACATTTACTGTGACTGTATTTAAAGATAAGGCCTTCAAGGAGATAATTAACATTAAATGAAGTCATTAAGTGAGGCTTTCATCCGCCAGAATGGGTGTCTTCATAAGAAAAACAAGAGACAATGAAGTTCTGTCTGTCTCCCCCTCTCTTCTTTTCTCTCTATCTCTTTCTCTCTCTCCCTCACTCTCTCCATCTGCAGAAAAAAGGTCCATGTGAAGACAAAATAATGCAGCTGTCTTAACAACCAGGGAGAGAAGCCTTACCAGAAAGCAACCCAGATGGCACCTTGACTTCTAGCTTCCAGAATTGTGAGAAAATAAATGTTTATTGTTTAAGCCACCCAGTCAGTAGTATTTTATTAGAGAAGTTTGCACTAACTACTAAGTACACTCTGGGTAAAGTTATGGCTGCTTCTTAAAATACTATTTTAAGTTCTTTTAATTCACCCTTTTTTCTTAAATGATATATATATATGATAAATTAGCTAAAATTTGTTAAAATCATAAGTTTAATTTGTCTCACATTGAAAACACTAGCAGCCTAGAAGACTGACATTAAAGAATAATAGTAGGCATCATAACCTTAAACCATTGTTTTTGAATGTTGTTTCTCTTTAAGATTCTAATAACACATTTTTTTCTAACAGAATTTTATATTTAGCTTTAATCATTTGCTAAAGAGAGTATTAGCTTAAGAAATTATCTGTCCAATTTGCTCAGCATGTCACAGTAAACACTGTTATTTAGCTATTTTATTATCTGGTAAGCAGTAAAACCCAGTATTTCTAATGTTGTCCTAAGGAAAAAATCTTTTCTATTTTCAAGTTTTCATGGAAAAATTAAACATAAAATTATGTGAAACTCAGATATGCATATAATAGATATATGTTGTGTATATAACAGAATAGATATGCATATAGTAGAGCTGTAATATATTGGGCATATTATATAATATGCATATTATAATGAAAATGTATGATATAATTTTAATATATAATGCATATGGTATATGATGTCTTATAATGATTAAATGTGATATTTATATTATATTGATATTATAATGCATTATAATACACAGACATTGAAAACTGTAAATATACAAAGACACACACACATTGAACTTTATTCCCATGCAGATTATGGGGACCAGAGAAGAGTCAATTTAAGGTTATATGAATTCATTTGGTTAATCTGAATTATCTCTGTTTCAGATTCTTCTTCTGAATTACAAAATAATAAAAATATTAATAATATTTTAAAAATCAGTGTTGTTTTTTTCCCACTGATACTTCTTAATGCCATCATTACAAATACTCTGATGGAGAGTAAATATTTTCTGCCAGGTATTATATATTATCAAAAGTTAAATAAGAAGTCAATTTGAGATAATAAAATTTTAGGAAGGTTTATAAAATTAACAATAGCTTGTTAAGCATGGAAAATGTTAACTTTTTAATTTGAATTGAATAGAGATACAAAAAAATATGCTCAATCATTTCTATTATCTCTCTTCTTTTTGTACAGAACTATAATAAAAACATAAATGAAACTTAATTCATGGCTACACCTTTAAAAATATAGCATCAATCTGATATTAAGTAATTATCTTAAAATAATTATTATATCTGTTCATAAAAATATTAAAGACTTGCCACAGACCTGTGTTGGAAACTGTTCTGGAATGCAGTTTATTCTCTCATTGACAGGGTCATTTAGCTCACTGGGACATTTCCCTGAGCCAGGGTACACAGGGGTCGTGCGAGTCACTGGAGTTGGAGTAGAATGACTAATCTCTGGGCCAGAAAAAGTCAATAAAATAAAATGTGGTATTAAATTACTTTTTTCCTATTCCTAATTAATGAATGTTTACATTAAAAGAACACATGAATTTATATCTAGTAAAAATAAACTTGGCATTAAAACAGAACATACAAATTCAAATCCCAGTCCTTAAAAAGAAAAGAGTCAAGCAGTATTTAAAGACTGACTACCTGGAGCCCTCTGGACTGTTTCTACAGAAAAACAAAATATATTCACAGAAGGACTTGAAGTAGGTTCAAAAGGAAACAAAGTGTACAGTCCCACCACATTTACAATTTGTGTTGTGTAGATGGAGAAAGAAGATGAAATGTGGACAGGAAAAGAATGTAGAGAATGAAAAGAATTGAAGAAGTAAAGAGAAAAGTTAGAGAAAGAGGAAACTGTGAAGTAAATAGAAGAGAAAGCAGGAAATAGAAAAGAAAAGTAAATTCCAACTCTGTATAATAAAGAGGAACTTTCTAGCCATTAGATATTGGAAAGATAAAAATGATTGCTTCACAATGAAAAGAAATTTTGGTTTACTAGAAGAAGGTAAGACAAAAGACTAACAACAGTAGAAAATGCTAACCATAGTTACCTTGGAGATAATTTTTTAAGATCTTTTATGGTTTTGATTTGGTTAAGATAGAATGATGAAAAGAAAAAATAGATAAGGTGGACGAGAGTAGTATGCATCAACTCTAAATTAGAATAGAATAATTTACAAAGAAGATAATCCAAACCTTGTTTCCCCTTCCCTTTTTTCGCCATTTATACAACCTCTCTCTCTCTCTGAAAACCAAGGTATAAACCCAGTCTCCCCACTAATTAGAAGGGTCTGACTGGTAACTGTAGACAATTATTCCACCTTCTATGAACACCTTGATTCCTTTGCCCCTTTGCTATTTCTCAAGCAACCCCATAAGGGAAGGCCATTAATGTAAAGGCACATAGATTCTTAATTACAATGGCTCATCATTGAAATAACTGGAATATAATTGGTAGAAAAAGTTGGAGTAATTATGTAACTTACCCGAGATCTTACTTTACAATTTTCATCTCATATAAATTACTATTCAAAATCCGTAACTATTATGGAGTAAGCTCTATCTTAACTTCACTATACTGTGTAATTATTTTTAGCACTACTTACCTTCAACAGCAGGAGTCTTGGTTGCTAAAACAGCAACTAGAGCAATAGCTATTATTGTAACTATTGCAAAGAGGACAATCAGAGTGATTTCTAATCCACTAAATTTCTTCCTTGCCATCTAAAACAAAATAAATGTATGTTTAAAATGTAAAATATATAACTATAAAAACCACCATTGTTATCATAAAATTATATACATTTAAAAAACTAAGCACAGCAGAAACAAAGCTAGACACAGCTCCATAAATTTATGTAACATGAAATAATATACATTGGAAAAATGTAAGCAACATATTCAATTTTAAGTAAAAAGAGTAACTTTATGATGCAGTTACAATAGTACACTAAGATGAAAACATAAAAGGAAAAGAAAAGATAACCAAGGAGGTATGCCCTAGCTTTCTCATTTTAGAGCATTTTCAGATTGAACAAACCTCACATTTGCACTATGTTCGTTAATTCTCACAGAGATACACTATATGAAGATGCTGTTTTTCACATTTTACTTATGAACTTCAATGTAAGAAACAAAAATCTAGTTCTTCCTACTATAACTGTTTAGGTAGCAGCTAGGAATGAGTGACCAGAGGGGAAGTAAAGGCAGGACCCTCGCCATTACAATCTAGCAAAGAACTTTAATACAGGAGGCTGAGAGTGAAGAAAAGACATGGCTGACCAGTTGACTTAGCAGTCCTGAGCTTGGTTTGCCAGATGTCCAAGCATTACAAGAAAAATGGCACAGGAGGAAAGGAGTCCTCGAGACTGTGCTGAGAAAGAGAGGTTTCTGCAAGCTTCTGTAACAATCTCACTAAGATTGCCAGGTGCCCTAAACATCACAAGCAGAAATAGTACAATGAAGGAGGTAGTCCATGAGATTCTATGACAGGAAAGGGACCTTCTGTAACAATTTCACTAAGACCAAGAGCCTTCACTAACTGAGAAAGAAAGCCTTTGTAGCTTTACATCATTTCCAAGGCAGGGGAAGGAGGGGGAACCCCGAGAAGTTGGGATTCTGAGGTATATAACCCCTGAACCTCAACAGTCAGTGTACTTAGATTAGCTAAGTACTCATTTATAGTCTTGGCTCAAGTGTATAGAACAAACTTATTGGCAACTTTATTTTCTCTACCCATGGGACATTTAGACTAGCTGGGTGCCTGCTTGCAGCTTTATGCTCCTGTGTGTCATAATAAACTTATGTCTCATTTACACTATACATGTTGTCTCTCAACTGAATTCATCTCTTGTGGAGAGAGAACAGAGGTGGAGGAGGGGATCTTCTTGACTGAGGTCTCTTTCTTCCCACTATAACTATTGTCTCTCAAATTTCAATCATTTTCTTATAACCATATTGTGGAATATATGATTATAAATATAAACATATGAGAAAAAATAAAAATAAAAACATAAAAGAATAAATATAAAATATAAATATTAATATAAATATACAAAAGGTATAAATGTAAATATAAAAATGAAAAATAAAATGTATGTATGTATGTATGTGTGTATGTATGTGTGTGTATATATATATATATATATATATATATATATATATATATATATATATATAAAGAGTATATATTTGGGTGTTCTTTAAAAAAAAAGATTAAGCCCTGGCTGGTGTGGCTCAGTGGATTGAGCGCCAGACTGCAAATCAAAGGGTCACCAGTTTGATTCCCAGTCAGGGCACATGCCTGGTTGTGGGCCACATTCCCAGTCAGGGACGCTTGAGAAGCAACTACACATTGGTGTTTCTCTTCCTCTCTTTCCCCCTTCCTACCCTTCTATAAAAACAAATAAAAGCTTTTAAAAAAAGATTCAAACTATATGATTTTCAAGTTCCTTCCTCCAAGAGCAAATAAAGTGTATCAAACCAAAAATATATATTTAAGACAACATTATGCATTTGAAATAACATACAGAGGATATCTAAACATAGAATGGCAAAAGCCCTTCTCTAGTAATCACCTTGAAGCTATTTGTTTAATTTCATTTTGACTATGCATCTTTTATCTTGTTTAGTCTTCAAGTTTTTAAGGCTTTTGAGTGTTCTATGATTTTTATATAAATCTTAATTGAATGACATATACCCAGATGAGAATTTAGAATATCCATAGTAAATGCTTCAATAAATTTTTTGTTTTAAAAATCAAAGTTTTTGAAAGAGCCCTTTTATATCAGTCCCTCTTCCTGACCTTTCTGTGTCGGTTCATATACCAAGGCACCCCAAATGGAAAACTTCTTTTCCCTCTTCCATATTTTTCTACCACATTCTATCATTCCACAAGTCCTGTTGATTCTACCTCCAACATATTTTCAGAATTAAACCCACGTCCTAGCCCCACAACTGCAACATCTTTTTTGGGGTAATATGTCTTCTTAGTACGTGTGATTCAATCTTTCTTTGACCTTTCCACATCTGTCCTTCCAGGTTAGTTCCAGTTTATGCCCATTTCAAATGCTATTTCCTCAGTGAGCCTTTTCCTACTCTTAGATGCAGAGTGAATGTATACTTTTCCCATTTTACCATGGCAGGTAGAAATCTACTGCAGTTATTTGTGCATATGTTAATTTCCTCTATTGAACTGTTGTAGATTTGTAGCAAAAATCATGAAAGTAGTTCAGAGCCTGACACTCAATAAGCACCATCTCAATTTTTAAAATATAACTCATGAATGAATGTTTAAATATTAAGATTTCATAATTAACATATATGTACAGTATTCATTGCATTGGTAACCTTCAGACAACCTAAATGTAAACTGAACTTGACAGGTGACATGTGCAGCTATTTAGAAAATGAAACCCAGTTGCTCAATGTTGTATGAGAAATGACGTAGTTGCATTTAATATTTAACTTTAAAGAAGTTTAAGTCTCACTCAAAGTAATGTCCTACTTGGATATCAAGAAGTCAATAAAAATGACTGGCTTTTCTTTTGTTAAAGGAAGTCTAAAAAATACATATTGTCATGAAGCAAACTCTCTTATATCTAGAAAATGAGAACAAAATTAATGAGCTAAAAGTAAACTACTCATGTGAGTACTCATAAACAATAAGTATTAAAATTATTTGTATGCTCTAGGTGATAATGAAAGTGATAATACTTTGAATCACATTAATTTTAAGCAATATATTTGGGGGTAAATTATATATTGACGTCCTTTCTCTGTATACTATTTTCAAAATGAGTAATACATTTTTAGATGATAGCTTGATCTTTAGAAGATTTGTTTGAAAAGATTTAATGTTTTTAAAATGTAACATTCTACTCTGCCTACATATTTTTCTCAGATGAAATATATTTAATTATTCTTAGAGTATTTTTCTATATTACAAAATATTTTTACCCTTATTTTCCTCTACATAAGTCAATTGAACTAAACCTATTATGACTCCACTTAAGTCTGACAAAAAGTTTAGTAAAACCCTGGTCAGTGAGGGTCAGTGGATTAAATGCCGGCCTTGTGAACCAAAGGGTTGCTGGTATGATTCACAATCAGAGCACATGCCTGGGTTGTGGGGCAGGTCCCCAGGAGGGGGCACGCCAGAGGCTACCACACATTGATGTCTCTCTCCCTTTTTTTCTCCCTCCCTCCCCCTCTGTCTAAAATTTAAAAAATAAAGTCTTTAAAAAAGATTTAATAAAGAGCTAGGCAAAAAAATAAAATTCTTAGGTCTTAAAAAATAAATGTTTTCTCCTATTTAGTTCAGGTGGCTATATATTTAAAATGACAACTGGAAATATGTTATTTTTGCTATATTAAAGAAATGCAGATGGACAGGAAGGTTGCTAACATGAATTACGGAAGAATGTAATTACTTGAAAACATGAAAGTAACAAAGAAATATTATTCATAACTTACCTTATTTCATTCCTTGTTCTTTTTGCTGTACTATGCAAGAGCTGGGTAAGGCTGCCAAAGTAAAGATCAAGGAGCACTGCTCAGGTATATATGGAGCTACTCATAAAGCTTTATTGCACCCTCAATCAGTCTATCAGTACTCACAAACATGTTCAACAAGCAATTATAAAAAACCTTAAACCTGGAAATAGTTTGGGTTAATATTTCTCTCTGGGAATTCAGTTAATTAATAATTGTGCTCTCAAATAGTCTTTGTTTTCTGTAAGTTATGAGTTAGCCTAAGAAGATAAAAGTATTTATTTACATTGTTTTTTCTCTTTTCAAAATTTTATTTTGTTTATTATTTGGGCATTTTCCCAGTAAATCTTTTATCCCATTGTGAGATAATTAAATTGATCAAATTTCGCTGGAAAGTAGCAACTCATTGGTAAGCTAGAATTTAAAAAAATATTTGTAGAAACTAACAATTAAAATATAATAAATCATATAAAGCAATGATTTACTAAAAGTTATCTCCTGTGAATATTAAGTTTGAAGAACCAACCAAATTCATAAAAATAAAATGTAAAATAGAGATAGATAAACAAGTAATCAAGATTAAAACCAACATTTTATTTATCTATTTTAATTAAAATACTTAATTATCAAAATTTTATTGGAAACAGCATTTCATACAGTAAAAATTATAGTATCAACTACACTAGTGGTTTGAATGAAGTATTAAAGCATTTAAGAGCAAAGTATTTGATATCAGAGACCTGACATAAAACCCCAGCTAGGCTACATTTTCCTGAGGAACTGTGGGCAACTTTGTTAATTTCTGTAAGCTTAAGTCTCTTTATCTTCAAGTAAACAAAAATATCTACCCAAAAGGTCACTGTGAGAATTATATGAAATAATATAATTACCATTATTACAGCTCTACTATCATGAAGAAAGTACAATTTGACTCTTAAAAGATTGGTATATGCATTTTTCACACAATCTGGCCACTATATTTTTAAGGGAATATGGTTTTTTCAAAATATGGTTACATAGAGTAGAATAACTGCATAGTTTTTTTTTAGTTTAAAAAGAAACAATATAAGTGTATGCTTGGATGACTGTAAGCCTTGGGGGAGATATAAAAGAGAACTTCTAGTATATTAAGAGCAGTGATATGGAAATATGATTATAATCGTTATAGACTGGTCTCAATGGGCAGAACTAAGTCCTATGTAATAAAAATTATGAGTGATTTACTTTCTATTCACAGCATAAAATTATATATATTTATATATATGTGTGTGTGTATATATATATGTGGCAAATGTTATTAAATCTACCCAAATCCCTTAGAACCAGGATGAGAATGTAGCAAAGTCATGCGATAGAAGGCCAATATACAAAGTCAATCATGTTCCTATATAACAATGGGAAACTAAAGCTAAATATAAGTACATATATATCTAGCATATATACCTTTAGATATAAATGGATAGATAATTTATGAAAGCATAAAAATTAGTACCTGGGTGTAACCTAAAAAATATGCAGAACTTGTATTCTGAAAACAACAAAATGTCAATAAAAAGAAATCAAAGATCTCAATTAATGGAGGCCTTGGTCAGAGAGCTCAGTTTGTGAGAGCATCATCCCAACATGACAAGGCTGTGGGTCGATCCCCCATCAGGGCATATGCAAGGATTAACCAATGAGTGCATCAACAATCAACAACAGATTAGTCTTTCTCATTCCCTCCAACCCTCCCTCCATTCATCTCTCTCTCTCTAAAATCAATTTAAAATGTAAGTAAATGGGGTGATAAACTGTATTAATGGTTTATATAATGTAGTATTTCACTGCTATTGATTCTTTATAATTAGACTAATATATTAAATAGAAGTCCAATAAAAATTCCAACAAATAGTTATAGGCAATCTGACTATAAATTTTCTGTATCAGTGTTTATAGCAACTTTATTTATAATTTCCTTAAACTGGAAACAACTCAGGTGCCCCTTAATACTGGGCATATGCATACAATGACATATTACTCAGCAATAAAAAGTTAGGAATATTTATAAAACATGAATGAATATTTATTTAAAGTAATAAATATTCAGGCAACAACATATATCGACCTTGAAATTCAGGTAGGTTGTTTTGTTATCTCCACAATTTCATTTTCTGATTGGTTCAAAATAAAGCAATTTATTACTAGTTTACTCAGTTTTTCCTTCTTTTAAGTGTAAGGGCAAACTCTTTCCAACCTCTCCTTTATTGACCTGAAATGGTAAACTTCCATCAAGTTTTAGTCATTTTTTTAGATTTCCTTTCATGTGTAGATATATTTTAAGTAGCAGTTTTTATCCTTTCTATTGAAAAAGCTTTACATGATTTGAAATTTTCATATCTTCTATATAAATTCATAGTTCCCTGTCCTGTGCCATGAGCTAGGCTGTACCTTGAGTAGTTTCTTTTGTTTCTTTGGTCTTTACTTTCTCCCACACTATTCTGCTTCCATTCATTAACCTCAAGAAATAGAGAGCAACAAGATGGATGGGCCTTGAGAATATCAGGCTAAGAGAAATAAGTCAGACAGAAAAATTTAAGAACCAGATGATTTCACTCATACATGGGATACAAAGCTGAAAACAAGACATGAACAAACAAGAAAAACAAAAACTCTTGGACACAGACAACAGTGTGGTGGATTACCAGAAGGGGGGGTAGGTTAGTCAAGAGTAACGTATGTCACATATATGGTGACAGAAGAGGATTTAACTTTGGAGGACAGTCACACAATGCAATATATACATCATGTATCACAGAAATGTACACTTGAAACTTACATAATCTTTTAACAAGGTCACCCCAGTAGATTTAATTTTAAAAAAAGAAAAAATATTACATCAGAATCTTCTAATATTCATTTTAGTATACACCCATATCAGAATTCATTTCATAAAACATTTTATTTTTAGGAATAAAATGTAGGCTAAAATCACATTTAAATCAAAAGTTTTAGTTAAATAATGAGTTTTAAGGCAATGCAGAACCAGTGAACTAAGAAACTATTCCCAGTTATCATATTCACTACATTCTGAGATTTTTATGACCACTCTTGCAATGTCGACTTTGAATCAAGGAGGATAAAGAGGAGGGTATTCCCATTTGAGCAATCACTGTCCCTTGATGTATGTGAGACCTTGCACTGGGTGCAAAAGTCTTAAGTTCTTATCTTCTTATAACACAGTAGAAAAATTGTAGAATACAATGAGAATGCAGGCTACAATGATACCACAGGCTATAGTAATACCATGCTATGTTATCAACAAACTTTCATGAATTTTGCAGAATATACAAAAAAGGTTAAAATAATAATATTGTAATTATTTTCCCAGAAAGCTGGAGAATCTATAGCTACAATATAAAGTCAGACTAATAGTTAGAGTTACTTTTAAACTGGACTACATTATTTGAATTTCATTTTTTAAAAACCCTAATCCAGGAAAAAATCCATGTGTGGCATGTCACTTGCAAGGCACTTATCTCATTAACTGCTCTGCTTGTTTCCATTAACCTTGGTAAACGCCCCTGAAAAATTCTAATACAAGGCTTTGAATAGCCTCTATGTTGCCAGCACAAACCTGAAAATTTGTTGTAAAACATGTTTTGGAGGGAGTAATACATCAGCTTTCTACAAGCACTGCATTGTTAAGAATTTCTACATTTTGTCAATTCTGGCAACATTACAAAGTAGTTTGTTTTACTCACACTTCAAAGTGTAGAGATTCTGTCTGCTGCCTGGAAGACAGAAATCTGAAAACACCACAACGCTACCACTTTTACAACAGCAACAACAAAAAGCTAAACACAAGTTTTTAGAAAAAAAAAACACAAGTTTTCTTGAACTCGTCAGCAGTTGACTGATTACAGGTAAACCTGTTACCTTGATATCTGAGTTAAATCTGAGTTAACAATTGGAAGAATGTAAGAGGACAAAGGACAGCAACATTTGCTTACATGGATTGAACAATCACCAGTGGCTACAAGCCAGTAAGAATACTGCTTAATTTTGTGATAAATTGCTAAGGCTGAGTGTGGGCTATCATGACAGTAACCCTGGGAGCCACATGCCAGGGAAATTTTCATCTTCTCACAGGCACTTCTCAGGCATAGGACTGGGGACTGGATGGAGTCTTGAGAAATCTTCCCTGATGATGCAGGCAAAAAAGGAGATGGTGACCAGTGCAAGAAAGGCATAATATTCCAGTTTCTCCCTCAAGTTTCCCACAGAGAAAGGCCTTCAGAGCCTGGGAAAAGGCAATGAACCCTGGTGCCTTCGGGGCATAGATGAACACCTGCTGAAGCCCGGACATGTGGCAGAAGTATGTCTTGCACCCAGCCAATGGGAAGGGGCTCCCTCCAGTTGGATATTGATAGAATCACTGAAAAGGCCAGGCTTCAACCCAGGGTTGTAGCAGCTGTCTAAAATCGAGTCTGAACCAGAACAACAAATGACATTTGCTCTCACCAAACTAAAGCACATTGAGGAACAGGAAACAGGTCTAGTGTTGAGTTCAAGAGCATGAAGACTCTAAGCCACAAAGAAAAAGGAAAGACCTAAAGCTGAAGATAAAGCAGGCACTGAGAAAAATACACTCTGTAATCCTATACTTCCCCTGTCTTGTTTGGAAGTGAGGACTCTTCAAAGGTAAGTAACTCCAGAGGAATTTGAAGCTTGTAGTGTAATTAAGGTAGTCATAGCAACAACAAAATCCAAATTCAGTGTGGTACTGACTTAATTGGCACAACCCTCCACAATAAAGGACTATCAGGGGTCAAGACGTACCCATTTCCAGGCTTAAACACTTTTTCTCTTAGTCTCTACTATCCAACAAGAGATATCCCAGTTTCCTTTTAATACTAGATATATATTTTTTTAATTTATTTTTCAATTACTCTTGACATACAATATAATATTAGTTTCAGGTGCACACCATAGTGATTATATATTTATGTACCTTAAAAAGTAATCACCCCCATTTCTATAAATAAATAACTATATAAAG